GGTGCACTGTAATTTGATTTCCTGGTTCCTGATCCCAGAAATAATACATGCCAAAAGAATCCTGCTTTCCTACATTGATTCCCTAACTTATATTAGTAGCAGAGCCATGGGGGGCAGGTAAAATGTTCTCGTTCCTCTTCCTTTGTCCCTCCGTGGATATTTTTTTATGTCCCATGCAAAATTCTGTGTAGAAAATGGACTGCACTTGTATTCCTATCCGAAGTTTACTGTCTGGTTCACTGTGATTTTGATCAATATTTTAACACATTACTTTATTCTCTTTATTGTGAGAATAAATAATATTGTGCAAATATTTCATTTACCATGAAATGACTTATGCCTATTATTTCCTGCTACTATTTGGATACATATTTTTGCCTCCTGCTCATTTCCATTTGGCAAAATTGTTATATAATGAGAAAATCAGATCAATGGAACATTCCATGGATAGTGGCCATAATGTTTTACTGTGAAATCCTGAAAAGATGTGCTACTCTTTTTTTCCTCTCTCTCTCTGATAGTTAACCATGAATATCTATGAGCAAAATGTGACATCTCAAATGTTATGAAGGGTCAGCATTTATACTTGACAATATGAGAGGACTAAGATTTTAGAGCAATCCTAGTCAAGCAACAGATCATCATAATTGTAGAAACTAAAAAGTCATTGTAGCGATTGTACCACAAGGGAAATTGTTCATCCATCAGTAAGATTGTTACAAGGTAGGAGACAATGAGGAAAGGGAGTTAAAATTGCTTTAGCCCATTGAGTCATCAGTTCCCTCTAGATTCAAAAGCCTGAATTGGTTTTGGAGAGAAGTGGCATAAGAGGATTGCTACGGGAAATCTTAACAAGTTGATCATAGTCTCAGTAACACTAGCAAGTGTAAGTATGATCTCTCCTAAGGAAAAGTGTAGGTTACATATTGAAGGAGAGAGAAAAGGATGGGAGTACAATTAGCACATGTCTTCTCTCACTTTTTTTGGGTCATGTGTATTTGGAAGATGGCTGTTCACAAAGGAAAACAGATGTGATAAATAGTGAAGCATTCCCATCACTCTGCAAGTAATTTATTGTAAATGTAGGCCTATATTTACAAATAAATGTATGCTGGCTTATGAGAGAGAGATCAGTGGCAACATAAAGGGATAAATGTTAGTTGTACTATGGATGTGGAAGATGTGGAAAATATTTGTGCAGAGTAGCATCCTACAGTACTAATATGTAAGATTAAAAATTGTGAATGGAGATTATTGACTACCTTTGTGTTCTGCTTAAACGCAATTAGAAGTGGGGACAATAATGTAATTGTGGCTACCTGTTTAAGAGAGCGTATAAAGTGGCCAATTGTCTTTTTGCAATTTTAGTCTATTTGCTAAAACTTACAAGATATGTGCGCCAGATTTATCTATGGGCAGGTGAGATATCTTTGAAAAAGTGCTATCTATCTTTTTCTTTGTGTTACAAGGAATTCTTTGTGCCCGTAAAGTCCCCAGGATGTTTGCTGTGATACAAAGCCCTTTGTTTTAAAGGTGCTTGTATGTGATGGTTAATGCATTTTATAAAAGGCATCTGTGGAAGTGATATCCTTCTTTGAAGTGACCTGCCTTAAGTGTTAAGAGTGTAGGGGAATATATGTGCAAATTAGATTTGAAAAGCAAACCTCTGCGGTGGGATGTATATGCACTGTTGAAGGGTCTTTGTGTAATAGTTGCCTCTGGAAAGGGATCTCTTTATGGGAGTAGTAAGAATGTTGGTTTTATAAGGAAGTGGCTTTGCAACTGTATGCTAGTATTACTACCATTGGTATGATCTAGCAGGGACTCAGAATATATATTTTTTGTATCACTCCCATCCCAGAAACACCCAACCACCCATCAGGAAAGCTCTCCTTCAGGGTAGGCCAGGGCCATCATGTCCTTTATTGTTGTAACTCCCAGATTGTGATACTCTCACAAAACTGTTGCTAGGCAACAAATGTGGTTACCAGGTCTCCGCGAATAGCTGAAGGGGAAAGCAAAGTGTTGCACCATTGTAGAGTAACCATAGCAATGACCTACTATTACAGAGTGGAGAATTATCATTAACAATGTTAAAGTATCATACAGGAGCCTGGGATCTGGAGGCTTCCCAGCAGCATCTCTGCATAATTGTGTTATATAGGAAGGGCTCTGAACTCTTTCAGGGCATCTGGTTGCTGGGTATTGGGGGGGATTATTAAATGCTGTTACTGTTTGGTTTATGAAAGAAACATGCAGGGGAGTAAAAGGTTTTGGGACTCCTTAGCCAATCAGTGTGAGAGAGGAAAAGCATATGTCAAGAACAATGATCCCAGATCCACCTCACTTTTCCAGAATACAGATTTATGGTGCTACAACATATATATATATAAGTATTAATCATAATAGATTTAATCTGTGTTTTTGCAGGTGTGGGAGACCATCACCATAACCACATACATTTGGTTTATTGAAAGAGAGGCTTTATCTAAGTGGATATGAGTGTTTTAAGCAGAAAAAAGTTGTTTCTCGGTCTGTTCACTTGATTCTTGCTTGTAGAAGAGTGAAATGCCTGGCCATACAGGAAAGTGTACCTAATTAAGCAGCTGTCTTTTGGAAACAAGAAACACTGGAGAAAAGAAGTTACGGTACTACTTCTGTTTGAAAGGCACCCCAGCTTTCCTAAAACAAGGTCACATATATTGCTGCCTGAGAGTGCCTTGCTAATCAAGCCACTTAAGTGTTCAGCTTCCCAAGGTTCTGTTCCATCAAAAATTGGGAATATAAACATAATAGGATGATCAGACTGCCAAAGGGCATTACTCCTACATCCTTACTCTTTGCAGACAAGATTTTTGCATGTTCAGCTTGTCAAGGATCTGCATCTGCCAAAATATCTGTTACTATGTAACTGTTGCAGGTATAGGAGAGTCTCTGCACCTGCCCCTAGTAGATTAGGATATTAGATTTGGACCAATGAGGCATGTATCCACTAAGTCTCCCACGTTTTCTCTTAAGTTTATTTCAGAACTATTAGCTTTCAGACCTGATTTCCTCTCTATAAAATGTGAATAACTGTGTAGGTTTGTTGTAAGGGCAGTATCTTGAACTTTAAAACAAATGAAAATGAAAATAATTAATCCCATTGGGAATGATCTAAATGGTTGGTGGAGAAAAGAGGCAGACAGGATACTTAGTACCAAACCGGAATCCTACCCCTTTTCAGTGAGAGCCCTTTTCCTGTCTTAAGGCTGGTTAACAACTCCTTTCCCCTCCCTGGGGCTTAATTTGAGTCAAGAGTTCAGAAGCTCTTTTCAGTGCCAAGCTGCAGGCCTGGTGAAGCAGGGGAAGGCAGTGCCCCCCTAGCATGTGCAGAATGCTCCTCTCGCAGTTGTGAGTTGCCACAATCAGCCTTGGCACGGGCAGCCTGGATGAGAGGGCAGGCCTTGCGGGCTGCCAGGCTTCAGAAAACCCCTCTCCCGTGCCCTGATGGAGAGCCTAACCTTTCACAGCCCCAGGCCTGGCTGCGCACTTACGCAGAACAAGCAAGGCCCCCTTGATGCCCGGGCATGCACTCCCGGGTCAGGGTGCGCAGGATTTCAGCCTGGGGATCCGGGAGGGCGGGGGCTGCCTGCGCGCCTGGCGACGCTGCTCCGGCCGCCGCCTGCGTCCCGCTCCTCAACTTGACCCCTGTGGCTCGCTGTCGTCGGGGGGCGGAGTGTCTTCCTCCCCCTCCCCCTCCTCCTCCTCCCTTCCCTCCGCCCGAGTCGCAGGCAGTGACGCTGTGCTTCTCCTTCCTTGTGTGTTGCAGGCACGGAGCGGCACGAGCTGACCTCGTGGAAGAGCTACGCGTCGATCTTCCGCTTCTTCGGCGACGCCATGGAGGCGAAGAGCAGCTCGGGCAAAGCGGCTCCGACGCGCCGCTCGCAGCGGATCCGCTACGAGGAGCTGTAACCGGGCGGGAGGCGGGTGGGCGGGCGGGCGGGCGGGAGCCGGCGCCTGCTTGCCTGCCTGCCTTCCCGCCTGTCCGTCTGGGCGGCGGCGCTCGGCAGTCCCAGCCCCTCATTAGATTGTTTTCTTCCTAGAGCACAGGGTCGCCGTGTCTACATCTAAGTAGCGTTTTGCATTATTTCTAGATGAGTGCAACTGTCAAAGCAATATGGGTTCACTGGTTGTGCTTCCTGTGGGCTGCGGCGGGGATTTCGGGCTGCCCATCAGTGCGCAGATTAAGGCTGACAGCAGCACCGCACCGCGCAGCCTGGTGCAGCTCTAATTGCCCTGACAGAGCCCGGCACCGAGCTGATGGCAGGCGGACGCGGCGCCTCCCGGGTCCTAGCGCCCGGCCCTCCCTGCCCCTCCCCGCCGTCGGAGCTCGCATTTGGTTCTCCTTGATTTTAATGGTGGACTTCAACTCTCGCTAACCTTGGTCCCGCCCACGCGTTAGGCTCTTTAATGATTTCCCGCAAACGCTTTGGGCGGGGTTTTTTAATAATAATAATAATAAAATGTTTCCGTGCTTTTTAAATTCAGGGGCCCTAATAAACTGTATTGACACAATGGTAGCGATCCTAAGCCCTCCACGTCTATGAGACTTACGTCTCGCGTCAATGTGTTTAGGATGCGCGTGTAACTCCAGCAATGGCTATTTTACTCTTTCTACTTCAGGCTGCAGAGAGGCTGTGCCACCCAAACTGAAACCATACATTTAATCAGTGGGTGCTTTGTTTGGTGTTTATTAATGAGGAAGACTTGAGCGACTTCAGCAAATCTGAACATGGAAAGAGGACTTAATTTTACTTCCAAATGCGCCAAAACTACCGAGCGCTCTTTGCTTATGTGGTTCCTAGGGAGTTTGCTGAGTCATTTTAAAAAAACCTAAAAGGATGTTTTAGCGACACATGTAATATAGAGCAAATAATACCAGTATTTAAAATGTTGCTTCTAATACTTGGTTGAAACGTTTATTTTTTATTCTAACAGAATCTCTATTTTGTGACAAATCAGATAGCGAAGAACTTTTTTAAAGATCCTGGACGCTCCCAGGACGCCGCCTCTCCGCCCTGGGCCTCCCGGTTCGAGGCCGGGGCAGCAGAGTTTTCCATTCCTTGCTGAAACAGGGTCCGCCTTTGCCGGGAGGGGCGATTTTCCCCCCTCCCTGCCGAAAGATCTTTTTTCTCACTCAATCTGTTGAACTCCTGAAGCCAGTTTCGATTTACCTTCACCGTCTGGTGACACTGTGAAATATTAATAGCAAAAAAGAAAGAAAGAAAAGAAGCATGTATTACTGACGTTGCTAATCACTTTTGTTATAAGCAAGAGGACGTCGTTTTTACATTCCTTAAATTCCTCATGGCTTTCAATGAGTCCTGACTCTTTATAATTCCACGCAGACCTACAAGTCCATCTGTTGTCACCGAGTGTTTCCAGTTACCATGATGCTCAGTAGGGTCTGCCTTCCACCCAACGCCGCAAATTCACGGGCTTCTAAGCCCCAAACTCGTGGCCAGTGTGGCTAAAAGGAGTGGGGTCCCTATGGGCCTCATCTCACCCCCCCCCCAAAGCTCTGCCCGACCCGGACTCCAAGCCTGGGGCGCCCTCTCCGCCTTCTCTGCCAGGCCACGAGGCTCAGCTGACTGCCGGGAGTGGCTGCCCTGCGCGCGGCTTGCGCAGAGGGATCCCCAGCGGACGGCGACCCGGCCTCTTCCAGAGCAGCAGCGCCTGGCTGGTGCTCGAGTAGGCGCGCCGGGGCACCAAGGAGCGTTTGAACTTTTCCTGGCCTCCCCTCTCAGATGTTACCCGAGCGAAAGAGGGGGTCACATTTCATCTCATGCATGCATTCAGTGGCTGGGCGATTTCGTTAGATACCACCACCAGCTCGTTTGAAAGGGAAGCTTTTGGGATTTCAGAACAGACGTGTTGGCGCACGTCTTTGAAAGCGCTGCTGTTAAGATTATCCCAAAGGGCGCAATTCGGGTTAAGGGGCCCTGTCGGTGCAAAGTGGAGAGAGAGAGAGAAGGGCTTTCCCTTCCATCGGAAACCTGCCAGCGCCATCTCTGGGGGCAGATTCAAAGCCAGAGTCAAGTGGCTCCAAGTGCAGAGGTGAAGGTGGCCTGTCTCGGCGCGTCGGCTTCCTCGCCTGACCTCCTCTCCTCTGTGAAGGGGTAGCCTTTCAGACTGGCAAGTTGCACACCTACTCTTCTGTGCAGGGAGAATGAACGAGCCATAGTCGGGCAGGCTTGCGGCAGGAATAGTCTCCTGATCGCTTCCCTGGTGACCATCTCCCCCACCTGATGGTCCCCGTCTCCTGTTTCCCCGTTCTCTGGAACTGCTCCTCTCTCTCACCCGCCTGGGCCCACCTTAGCGTCAGCTTCAGGGTGGTAGACGGTCGACCTGGTCTTTTTTCTTATCCATGCTTTTTCTTTCCTTAGCTGTGATCTTGTGGGCTTTTTCCACAGCAACCCTTAGACTTTACCCTGTCTTTTGTGAAAGCCTCTGGGGCTCTGCAAAGTGCCAAATCTCACCAAATGAGTTTTTTTCCTCCTCTCCAAAGTGTCACGGTTGAGGTTTCTACTCCTTCCGGTGTGGTCCCACCAGCCCCTTGTTCTGTATCTCGTGCCGTTGCCTGGGTTGTGTTCTCGCTGCTTCTGGACCCAACTGTAAAGCACACAGGGAGCTGTTAAAAGGGTTGTCTCTTTCTGTTTACACTGAACCAATAAAAAAATGGTTTCTCTTTTAAGATGCGGGTGTGACTTTCTTGTCTCTGGTCTTGTTAAGCAACTGTGCCAGGCGCAACAACTCAATGGGATGTTCATTTGCTGCTGGCCGGACAAAACCCGTTTGCCAGGAGCAAGGGGAGCGCAGCAGCTTCCAGGAAGGATCGCTCGGACTCGGTTGCCCCTCAGCAGAGCGAGCCGCGAAAGAAAGATCTTCCTCCACCTGGGCCGTTTAAGGCTGGGAATTATTTGCGTGGCCTCTGAACGTGTTTACGAATATCCAAGGCCTTGCAAAAATGCGAGGCGGGGGAAATCGCGTTTACTGTTAAAAGGGCTGGGGAGGAAAGGCACATATAGATCGAAAGGATGAATCGGGCACCACAGTGCATGGGAATTCCTGCGAAATGGGTGTTGCGGAGGGTATGTTTAGGAACCATTTTATCCAAACAAATTATATCCCCAGCTTTTGCCAATAAAAAAAAAATCGCGTGTGATGCAGCTGGGTCCCATTCACGCTTACCCAAAACGAGGCGCCAGTAAGTTCCGAGGGGCTGCATCCCCAGTACCTCCGTACATGAGTGCAAAAGCCAAAACAAAAAAAGGAAACCTTCGAAAGTGTTGTGTGGCGTCCAGCAAAGGTTCCGGGGCTTGAGCTTTCCCAGTTTAGCGTTTATTTCATCCGAGCCAGAAATTCTACCATGTATAAAAATCTCCACACCTTTCACGCGTCTGCTAAAGTCCCAAGTAGCAAATTATGAAGCATTTTTAGGGTCATACATGGGCTTCTCCCCAGTTTAAATCAAGGGGTCTTTCAAGGGATGCCTGCATGGGATGAGGCTCGTTCATTTTCCTCTTGGAGCCATCGCTGGTCTTTTCTAGGAAGGCGCTTAAGGCTTGTCAGCCCCAACCAAGGAAGAGTGGCTTTCTTCCTTGCACAACTGTCCTCTTATTGCAACTTGCTGGCGTTAGAAAGTGGGAGAAGCTGGGAAAGGGGGCATCCTGGGTGTGGAAATCACTTTTTACATGGATGGCACCAGGGGAAGGGCCAAGACCTTTCCCCAAAGGAGTAGCCCTTCCGCCACCCAGCTAGCCTTCTAGTTTCCTGAGGTCACAGAAGGAGAAGCTCATTCTGAAGTGCGGATTCCTGGACCGGGACTTCTAGCAATGGGTCCAGTTCTAAGAAGGGTTACCTGGAGAACAATAGTACCTAGTTCACAGGGGACATGTTGTATAGAATTTCGCTGTAAGCCATCCATCCCAGACATGTCACAAGTCAGTCTTACTCCCACTGAGTTGGATGAGGCTCTCTCGAAGGTAAGTGGAGATAGGATTGCAGCCTTCACGTGACCTACACAGTTCTTATTTCTTTCTTTCGACCACGTGGGACCCTGCTCACTCCCAGCCACCGCCGCTATGCAGTCTGCCCTTTCTGGACACGCTGCTCTCTGGTGTGCATTTGAATCTTACCTACTAATGGGTCAAATCGATTAAAAAACCTCCAAATCGACCTACAGGATCTTTGATAAAGGACAAGCCGGGCAGTTTAACGAGCAGGACCTCCAAGTGGGCGTTTGCTGCCCAAGCTCTGGGATGGGACCAACAAGGTGGGAGAGATGTGTAGCTCCAGGATCTGATGGGAAAAGGGGGCGTGTCCCCTTTTTGGGTGGCTTCTGTGATTCTGGATGCCTGGTGCAATGGACTCCGCTCTGTGTCTGCTGAGCTAAGCCTGATCAAAACTTAGCTCCCAAACCGAACCTGACTACCTTTGGCGGGGGAGAACTTGCATGTCCTTGATATCTGCCAAGGTGGCCTGAGCTAAAAGCTTCCCCATCCAAATCAGTGCACATTCTGACCCAGAAATGCGAGGAATCCTGTCCCTCCTTTCTGCTGCTGCTGCTGCTGCTGCTGGCTAGAGATTTTCCCTCCACTGCAAAGGAGGTCTCTTAACTCCTTTCCATGAATATAATTTGTGGGCCCTGGAGAATGGACGGATCCCACAGCACCCGAATGACCCTTGGCATCCCCTCCTCTCCCAGGCCTTCATTACTCTAGGAAAAGTAAGAGAGTCAGCTATAGACTGTAGCAGCATTAAACTGTGATCGTGCGTTTGTGACTGGCGGTGTACCTCCTAGTCGAGGGACAGTGATGCAAAATATCTGAAACACACACACACACCCTTGAAGCATTTTAGCTTTTAGCTCGACACCTGAGCTGTGTAGCAGTAGCAGTAGCAACGATCTCCTTTAAAACACACTTGGGAGGAATTAATGACCGAATGGTTGGTTTAATTGATTCCTCCTTGGATTGGTGGCTCCAAGTTTCACACCGCTGGTCTGTTCACAAACTGATGTCTTCTGGAGTTACCATAAATCTGGGCTAAAACCGCTCGGCTGAAACAGCGCTCCGGCAGTCCGGGGAGGGGTAGGGGCGAAGGCAGAGGATTGTTCCTGGTAAAGAATGAACCAGGGGCCAAGGCTGTCAGGATAGAACTGGGCTCCTGAAAGTGGGTCCCTCTTTCACTTGGGACAGTGAAGTAGCTGCAGCCCGGGAAACACCCCGCTATAAGTTTTAGAACAAGTTTAGTGCCATAGATCTGTAATGCCTTAAAGGAGAGAGAGAGTGAGAATCGATACAACTGGACCAGTTCGTAGTTACGCCGAACTCTGGATGGAGCGAAAGAAGAGGGGCAACGCGAAAGGAAGGTGGAACAAGCTCTTACTTTCCATTCTACTTTGACTAGGCAAAACACCTGTAAGAATGTCCCAGTTTTGCACCAAAGCAACTGAACGGACAGTTATGAATACATTCTGACTATGGGGCTCTAGTTTTGCCGGCTAAGAGGATCTGTTTAACATCAAAGGTTGCACCGGGTTTCAACTTCTGGTTGGGTGGGCCTGTATCCATATCTCCATATCTCTATATCTATCTGTAGTATATGATCCCAGGATTTATTTCTGCAGGACCCCCGTCTCCTTTTAACCGAACATATTATTTGTTAACCGCCCAATAACCCCGTGAAGTTTGTTCCTGAGAAAATGCTCCCATTTTACAGATGAACAAATAAGGTCGACAGGCCCCTGGCTAGTATCTGTCCTTTTAAAGTAAAACTCTGTTTGGGTTCATGACAAAGAGAGTTTCTGTGCATGCCGCAAGGTCCTTTTATGCAGCTTACTACCTTCATTCTAATACATGAGTTGACGTGGATTCCTAATCAACTAAAGTGGGACGTTTAAATATTTCTTTTCTCAGAGGAAGCGCACTTATTCTGCCCCCCTTCTCTCCCCCCCCTCAGGAACCAATTCTCAAGTACAATTGAAAGCTGTCATATAAGACGACGGCAGTCTGTGTGCCTGCGCTCGAATTTCTATTCCAGTTGAAGTTAAAGTAACCTGTTAAAGGATGCGGAGTGTATTTCTGTGTGTATCTGATAGACAGATCACGCTAATTGTTGACTTAAGTCCCCCAAAGTGTGAAAAAAGAACTTCCCCAAACTTTGCAAACGCTGTCATTGCTCCTAATCCCCCACATTTTCCACTTTTCTTTCCAGTTTCGGATTGCGTGTGTTTGTGAGCATTTCACCAGATCAGTGACAGCTCTTTATTTGCATAATTATATGCTCTGGTCTGAAGAGAAAACTAACCCCCAAATTTCATGGGTCACCAAACTACGACAATCAATGTTTTATCACGTATGCTAAGCAAAAACCTAAGAAGCTATATGAAGTTTCTTGGGGAGGTTTTTACTCCTCAGAAAATTAAAGACGTGGTGCCCCTTCAATAGATGCAAAATCTTTCCAAGCTCTTTGTAACTGAATTCTGTTTGAAGGGGGAAACCAGAGATTAACACGTAGATCTGGGGAGAGTGAGGCGGGGGCAGACCCTCGAGCATCACTTCAAAGTAGATTTCCAAAAAGAAGCGCCTCTGCGTGTTGACAGTTGCCTGCTCCAAATACTGTAAGGGGCCAATCCTATACGTGTATGTTGAGCGTTCAGCGGGGCTTACTCCCGGTAAAGTGGGTCCGGGATTGCAGCCTAAATCTCATTCGCAACAAGAAAGGGCCCGCAGACCCACTCGGATCCCCAAATAGGATTGTTCGTGTTGTTTGCTTCCCATATACAACTCATGGGTTTAAAGCTGGGATCCCGCTTTCCTTCCATTTATCAGTGATGGGATGGGAGGGTATAAGCCATCTAATCTATCGATCTATCATATTTAAAAATAAATAATCGTAAAGACGACCTTAATCACCCCCAGCCTCGCAACGGGATTTGTTCTGGTCCTTGAATGCACCCAAATCCGTGGGAGGCCCCATCATTTTGGAATGTGATCAACGTGCATGGTTGGAGCGAAGAATGGATTTAGGAGTGATCACAAGCCAGAAGGACAGGAGAGAGAAAAAACACCCACTTGACTGAGGACGCTGCAGAACAGGCGGGAAATTCCTGTGGGGTAAAATGGGGAAAGAGTGTGTCGCGGGGCTGGGGGTGGGAGTTGAGGTCGGAGCAGGAAACCCATCCTGGGGGTCTGCTGGTCCCCCTTCATTGGGGGAACTGAATTCGGAGTCCTTCTTCTGCAAGTGACTTAAAACTAAAATGAGGCGAAGGGATGAGAAAGTAGGACATTTCTCCTGATCTTTACTAAGCATTCGCTTCCTGACAGCTTCGGCTGAGGACGATTAAGCCCGAGCCTCGAGCAAGAGCGCAGGCTGGACATTTGGAGCCGACAGGAGTTGTGCCTGTCCCGCCGCCAAGGCAGCCTCTGCGCCCAGGAAGGAGCCGCGGTGGTTTGGCCGGAGTCGCCACGAGAGCTGCCCGCGCCCTGGATGAAAAGGCCGGTGATCGCCTTCTTCCCCTTCAGAGCATCAGATGAGAATAATCTGGGGGAAGAAGAAGAGAAAAGCCCTCGCCTCTTCACCTCCATGGCGAATGCGGGCTCTCTCAGCTGGAGGAGTAGCATCTGACATTCCTCCTCACAAGAGGGAAACTTCAAAAGAAGCGCAGGGAACTGGAGAGGGAGAATCCAACAGGCGAATATTCGCGGCACGAAGGGGGACCGCTCTGGACAGCTCAGGACCAGCCTGCCTCAGGTTCCCTCTGCCTCTGGCCCGGCTTCCTGGGGGAAAGGGAGCAGGTCGCTCGCCCCGACGGCCGAGGTTTTGCTAGCCTCTCCATGAGAGGGTCCCCTGCCTCCCAGGCTCTCCCTGCAGCCCCGACATGCCTGGGTCTCTGTTGAGGTCAGGTGACGAGAACGACCGGCTAGCAGTTCCCGGCTCCCCCCTCCAGGCTGGACCCGCGAGGCTTGAAAGGAAAGGCCCTGCTTGGCTGGCGGGGGGGGGGGGGAGAGACTTTTCACTCTTCCTTCCGCATAATCCCTTCTGCCCCCTCCCAAAAAGCCCATCTCACGCCCATCGTCTAACTTTTGCTTTCGAATTCCCCCTGTGGGGGAACAGTAGAGCAGAGCTTCGACCCACCCAGTGCAATGTCTACTGCCCCTTCGGATCACCACGGTTGAACAAAGAGTAAAATATGAGAGAAGTTTCTTTGCTTCTGCGTTTAATGAATTCCTTGAACGGGTTCCCTAGACCCAGAAGGAGCGCACACCAGTCTTAATTTCGCCCCAGTTCCGCCTGCGATTTACTCCTACTTAAAACAAGTTAAGAAGCATCTTGCGGGTAACATCGTATCTAATACCTTCACGTGCAAGTGTTTGGAGGCTGGGTGCGCGCGCGGACCTCCTCTTTCTCCTCGAACTTTTTTGTTCTTTAAAAAAGTTTGGGCTTGTCCCTCAGTTATTAACCAGTTGGTTAATTCACTTTCCGTTTCCTAAATATAGGTGCAGGGCTTTATCTTAAAAAGTTTGCTTTTGCATCCTAATTAATTCTTCTAACTAGGGGAACCTTGAGAGCCTGTTAATTAGTAACGTCGATTTAACTCCTGTGCGACTTTCCTGATCTTTGGCACAAATCAGTATAGCTTTTCTGCTAACAGAGAGATAGACTAGAAAAGAGAGGATAAAGAAAGACGTAATAGCTGCTTCATGGATCGCTGACCATGTGTTCATTCGGGCATCTCTATCTGCACATTTTAAAGCCACTTTAAAGGATACCTAAGAAATCTGGAACCCTGGAACCCTCGGTTTAGCCCTGCTGAATCTCTCATTTCACCCTTGCTTTTCCTTAAAACTCAGTGTGTTAAAGAATCAGGATCAGGTTTCCATGTTAATCTGCTACTTGGAAGCAAGTTGGAAGATAACGACTCAGTCCTTCAGCTTCCAAAGTGGGTGGGCAGTTATGATACGGGTGTTTTCTGAGCCTCCCAAGTTGGGCTGTTAAGATTTAGAAAATAGAGAAGCCATGTCAGCCGCGGGAAGGTGTCCAAACTTTTACCAGGCTGGGGTGGGGGTGCGAATTGGGAATCCCTTGATAGAGCAACTGAGGCTGTGACAGTCTCTCTGCCAGGGAACCCGAAAAAGCGGAGCGGAGCTGGGTTTGCGCCATCCACTCTCTGTAGCACCATGGACAGCTCCTAGTTCTGAGCTGCCCTCGCCCTAAACAAGCCTCTCCTTGCCTCGTTCAGCCCAAGCCTGGAGCAGGCTGCGGAAGACCTCGCTCTCAGAGACGACGTTTTTGTATCCTGAATCCCGCCTGCTCCGCGCTTCCTCTCATCTCCCTTGAAGGGGGGAGAGTTAACCATGCATTTATGCCCCCTTCTCAGGACTTTCCACCTCATGTGCTCTTCTGGTCCGATTCCACTGCCCTGGTCTGATGCCACTGCCCGCAGGCCCCCGATTTCGTTTTCATCCTCTGTCCTCTCCCTAAGCTCCTTCCGCCAAGATTCCCGCATTGCCCATCCTTGGTTTCCAGCTTTGCCCAGAACCAGACCTCCTCCTCCTCCTCCTCCTCCTCCTCCTCCTCCTCTCTCTCTCTCTCTCTCATTGCGGGGATGCGTGCATGCCATTTCCCCCTTCCCATGCGATCTTCATCTTTCCCTTGGCTATAGAGGCGATACTGGTGGGGGCGGGGATCTGAGGTCCTCCTGGTTGGTTGCAAAGCAGATCCGCTTCCCTTCTTTGATGCGCGCCTACTCGATGCAACCCCACTGACTGCCAGGCAGCTGGTTAATTGCAGCCTCGGGAGAGGCACCCCAGAGCCAGAGCCCTAAGAGCCTGGCAGCCCTCCCTTTCTCCCTCTCCACCCTCCCCGCTTTGCTAAAGGGTCGGCCAGTCTGCGCGTCTCAACCCCGTAACTTTACCTCCCTTCAACTTCCCCCTTCCAGACCCGCCACCTGCTGTGATCGTCGGGACTTTAAGCCCTCTCTCAGTCTCCGCATCCTTTAATTCAAGTTATGCGCAAGGAGAAAGAGAGAGAGAGAGAGAGAAATAATGTCTCTTTTTTCTTCCTCTTTGATCACATCCCTGCCAGTTTAGCAAACAACTTGCAGCCGTGCAAGCTTGTAAAGTCAAGCTATTTACGTGTTCGCTATTTAAATGCAACAAGATGCTCTCTGTTCATTAAAATGTTCTCGCTCTGCCTTCTTTTGCTGAGAGATCCGATTCCTTCCCATTTGCTTCCCCGATCCGTCCAAAATTACAAAAAAGGGGTGAGGGGGGATGAGCAAGTTGGATAGCTAAGGATTTTCTGGCTTCCCCTTAATATAAATACCCCCAGCCCCAGCTGAGCAACGACAGCGAGGAGTTACAGACCTCCCTGCTTTTGAGTTATTGGGGAGGAACTTACTGGAATGGCTTTGGGGCATTAGGAAAGCAAAGTTATAGCCCAGTGCTCTTACTAATATTAAACACTATTACGGATCATGAGCCAGATTCATGGAAACGGATATTTAGATATCCACAACAGGGTTATTTGAGGGTTATTTTCCTCCCCTCAAATGAAAGAAACCGCTGCCTTCTCTCTGCTAGCTTGTGGAGAACATAGTTCGCTTATTAAAAGGGTTCGCTCCAACGTCCGAGTCAAATTATTCTGTTTTCAGCATCAACTTTGCCGGCAAGTTCACGAGGGAAACCTCGAACCCCCTTTTCGTCATCACGACCCCTTATCCGTGTTACGATGGATTAAATGGAATCCCTTCTTCTCGACCCACCTGTAGTCGGTTCGGCTCACACATACGCGCACCACCGTTTTCACTGTTCTCTATAGGGCAGCTTCGTAGGGGGAATTCTGTTTTCTCTGCTTGATCTTCATTTGCACCCACAAAAAGTCCAAGGAAAGGGTCCACTCGCTCCCCCCAACTAGCCAACCGGCCCTGGGTAGGAGGAGGGGGCCGCTTTCGTTTTTTGTAAGAGGGAACCCCGAGGCAGAACGGTTAGGAATTAAACTTTCAGAGGAATAACCTGTTGCACGCTTCTGATTTGGGGAAAGTGAAGATCACCGTGGTATTTTATTTTTATTTTTTTAATTCGTGGTATCTTCTATCTAACCAGGATATTTTATAGCGTGGATACTGATAGCTTTCTGATCAGTAATCGAATTGATTCCAGACCATAATTCAGACATTGTTGTAGTGAGCAATGTTACTATAAACCAGTTTTGTATTATTGTTATTCTTATTATTATTGACAACTAATTGGCCGAGTGAAAGTTAGATGTCTGCATATTTAAGAGGGGGAAGGATTTGTGTTTCGAGGTAGCTCACCTTCGGTATTAAATATTTGCTCCTTTCTTTGATCTATATTAGGATATTAGGTTTCTCCGGAGCGTGAGCCTCACTGACTAACAAAAAAATCCCTTTTGTCAATCCTGCATTAAACCTTCTCATCTCAGTTCTTACAAAATCCTCTTTCTTCTGGTAATTTTGCTTTGTGTCTCCCCCACCTCCATTATTCTGAACATACATATCCTGAACATATCCTGAACAATTTAGCTAGTGCATGTCCGTGTTAGTAATCTTAAAAATAACTTTTAATGGGAGACATATAGAAAATAATGGAATCTTAGAAAGGGGAAAGAGAAAAGGGACTAGAGATTGGGTGTCCAACATGAAAGCATTTTCAATTATTTGCTCCTCAATTATTTTCCCCAGCTATGGTTTACCTTGTGATTATTTTCTTTTTTTCTTATTCGTGACATGCGTTGAAAAATATTACTCTCTCTCTCTCCTCCCCCCCTTTCTTACCTCTTGTAACCCTTCAAAGTCGTTTGAAATTACTTTTCTTGTCTTTTGGCCATTTGTCAACGTCAAAACTACCTGGGCTATCTAGTGAAATGAAAGTGTTTCGTGTATATCTTAGATATATGAAAGGATTCCTCAATAGAGTTTTCCGGAAATCAATAGACACCCATTAATGTCCTAAGTGCCTACTGGGTATTTTTTTGGGGGGAAATAGTCAGCTCCTTGGGTATAATATCCTGGGATAAAGTTGCAGGATCCTCATTACAGTCCACTGGGATAGCGGAGTTTGACAAAGAACATTTTCAAGAGTAATTACATTTAGGGAAGTTTTGAAAACATGGGGCTGCCACCAGATGCTGCTTCTGAGCTCTGTCTTGCTTCAGGAACACATTTCTGTCGCCTCTCTTCCACTGAATGATTGTGGATATATGCGTGTCATTTTCCTGTTTATCTATCTGTGCTCAAGCCTAAGTAATTTTTTTTACTTTTAACGTGCTACAGTATGTGAGTGTGAGTTTCTCTGTGTGTGAGCACGCACAGAAATCACACATTTATTCGCTAGCATCCTTGTAATAATGGGTTCGACTTTCAGCCCCTACAAGACAAACTTTATTCTGTTCAATGGAAATGAACCTCAGATGTGCAGATGAACTCTATACACTTATTGAGTAGAAGCTACACTCCGGCCCACCTTATTAACGATTATAATTGTGGCTCCCTGCTCATCAGGACCGGCTCTCTGAAAGAGGTTTCTTTCTGCTACTCTCTACTTCCCTTCATACCCGCACGATGCTTAAGCTGACGACCCCAGAGCGTTCAGAGGAGGAGGCACATATCCTAAGACTAAGCAAGGCAACCCAGCTTCTTTCTCCATGGGCAGTTCTGCCTGGCCCACAAAAGACGGGAAAGAGCCTTGCCTGCTTTAAAGCACTGCTCTTTAGAGATCAACTGCTGAAAGAGATACCTGTGCGCTTTGAATTGCTTTAGGGGAGGGAGGGAGAGAATCAGAGCGAGGTTCTGCTGGCGCTGCACCTAAAACCGGAATGTCCCAGAAAGGTAGAGGGATTCGTTCATGTTGGTGCAAGTGAAGCCGTAACAAGAGCCAAACTCTGCAGCATTTAAGATTTCATTATCAGCTTTCTTCCTTGGAAAACGAGACCCGTTTGCTTAACTTAATCCGGAACATATGTTTGCAACTGTAGCGCCGTGTGTGTGTGTGTGTTTCTCTGTGTGTGTGGTTTGAAGTTGATCAAGTTGTAAATTTTCCGCCTTAGGTTTTCAGCGCCTCCTAGTTACAGCCTAACACTTTGAGATTTTACAAAGGCTCTAACTAAAGGGGAGAAAATGAAATAACAACCATGTAATTTATCGAATGTTGCGAGTCGCACCAAACCAGCCTATTTTTCTTCCCCTGTGGTAGTGGATTGTTGTTAAAGACCTGCATTTCTGAGAAACTGAGCCAGAAAAGAGAATGCAACAAAATGACTTCTGAAAAAGGAACGTCTTTAATATGCATTGCTGTTTTAACACTTAAGAATACGCTCTTCCTGTTTCTATAAACGTAACGATGATCACAATAATAGTATTTGAAATCTGGAATTATTAATAAATTAAAAGTACTTTATACTCTAATACATGTACCTGTCAATACAAAACTTTCAGATTACTTTTTCTAAGGAGAGGAGTTTCCATATAATGAATCCCTAATCATATAATCAATAGAAACAACCGAGGCTTTTAAATTTCTAAACAGTTTTCTTACTTTAATGAAATGAATAAATTTAGAACACGGAAGGTAATTTTGCAGAATAAATTTAGACTGTAGGAGATACAGAAACAGACCCCCAGGCTTTACAAACCTAAAAAAAAAAAAGATGAAAAGAGAACGTACATTTGATTTTGTGGCATTTTCACTTTAAATCGCTCATAATTGTTTTGATCTATTCATGAAAGAGTGACAAGGAGGCTAACTTAATACGACCAGTTTCTGTTTCTGGTGAAGCTAGATCTCATGTGCGTATTTACATTGCCTGCAACTAATGAAAACATGTATCAAATCTCCGGGTTGTGTGTTGCTTTTTTTCATTAGGTTTCCCCAAATACAAATTAGCTACATTTTGGTCCAGCCACCAAAAAGGAGGGAAATCATTAAGTAGATTACAACATGATTACAACATGAATTGGCAGAGAGTAAAGACGCCATAGTTCAGATTTTGCTTGCAGGCTGCCTTTTATTTTAATCGGGATATTTATATGATGATTCTGTATGATTCTTAACATTATTTAATAGCACTTTTTCTTTTTTGCTGGAACTAAAGTGCGTTCCTCGCAGAACGAAGCGGGGGTAGGTAATCTGATTTATCTGGGGGAGGATATACGAAAAGGGGCCGTTTTAGCTCTGAATCGGAATGTATTGAGAGACACAGCGCCATCTAGCAAACAAACGGAGAATCAAAGGCGAGGAATCGGCGAGGCCCTTCGGGCAGTCATAGAAAAAGAGGGGGGGAGAGAGAGAGAAGCGAGAGAGAGACTGAGCAGGAAACTTACACTGCCTCGTCAGTTTCACCTGAGCAGAGCTCCCCCCTCCCCCCCAGCAGACAATCCGCACTCCGTTCAGTGTTTCGCAGGGCTCTGCCCTTTCCCTCCCTGCTTCTGAAAGAGCAACTCGGCTCCGTGTCGTTTGCGCTTCGCTTCTGAGTATTAGGACAGGCAGGTTTCCCTTAATCAAGGTCAGATATTACTAGCACTATCTGGTCCCTGGGATGTATACAACCGAGGTACACGCACCTGCCAGGCGCTTAATAACTTTTTCTCTGCTCGTTATCTCCAGCTCTCGTTTTTAGGGATGGGGAAAGAGTGAGAGAAGTCAATTGAGCAGTACAGAAAGGACAAAAGTCACCAGGTCCCCTGACTGTTCTATCCTTGCATCTCCACCACACCCCAGTATAGCCAAGGTGGTTGGTGGCTGCTTGGTTGCTTTGCTGATCCGGTGAAATGCAAGCGTTTAAACGCTCCGTGAAATAGATGTAATATATTTTCACAAACTTAAGATGCCAGGCGGTGGCCACGTCGCTCAAGGGAAGCAACGCCCTTCGATGTGTATTTGCATGGCTTTCGAAGGACTACAAAACAAAGGCAGGGCATATTCCATTCTCGTAATCTTTGCTGTTCGATTAATCTTCTGTGGCTTTCTTTCTTTTTTAAAAAAAGGATGGTGGAGGGAGAGGAAAGGGTGTGTGTGGGGGGGAGCAGAGAGAATAAACCAAATAATCCACCTCTGGGTATTTGCAAGCCATGTTTACATTAGTTCTGCAAAATTAAACAAAGACACCAAATGACTGTGAGGAAGAGAAATTGTTGCCACTCTGCAAGCACGCGGAAGGCTCTCTAATAAAGGGAGAGTCATTATCGAGGCTTCGTGGAAATCGTCGCGGGTTAGGAAGAGGCGACTAAGACAAATAAGGCGCACCTTTGCCTTCACAGCTCTTTATTGCCACCTGCTCGAGAAATGTTCCTGCGGAGTATCAGAAGCCCAAATGTCACCCGTCGCTCTTGTGATGTTGTTGTGAAGTGTCTGGGCTGTGAAAGATTGTCTCCAGATGCGCCCACCCTTCAGAACAGGCTTCTGGCGCCCACTCGCCTTTCAACTGGCCATGCATCTTTCGACATTCCCCTTTTAGAAGCCCAGTATTCAACATCTCAGCTAACCTTGCATCCTTCCCAAAAAAACCTCCCCCCCCCACCTCTCCCCGGCCATTCAGATCCTTAACATGGCTTGAAACTAACAGGGGTCTCAGAACGTGTCCGTCGTAACAACCACAAGGGTCCGATCCACCAGCTCTAGTGTTTGCTTGCCTAACTCCCTGTAGGAAAAAGAGGGTGGTCTTCCCCCTTCCTCCTCTAGTTTCTTTTTTCCCGAGGTCTGAGCTTTCCGTTCTGTGAGATCCGTGGGAAATACGGGGCAGAAGGGTGGCCTTTGGGCTCTGTCCAGCTCTTGAAGTTCCTTGGAAAAAAGGAGAACTATATTGGGGGAGCGGGGTGTGTGTAGGGCAGGGAGAAGGCTGCTCTCTTTGGGTGGTTTCATCTCTATCGCCTGTTCTCGTCCAGATTTTCTTACCCATGAAACCTGCTCCGTGGTGGGGTTCCCCAGCTGTTTAAATGAACATTGATTTATTGCGTTTAAAAGTAAATTTACACACACGCCAAGATCATTCCGTTTTGTTTCCCCAGACCCTAAGATTTATTTTCTGCTTAGCGCTTGTCTGACAAAACAATGTCCTTTAACTTTATTACACATCGATGAGGAAATCTGTCTTATTTCCCCCCTGCTTGGATTTATTGCTCTTGTTACCTGGTTTGTTGAGGAAGGGGTGAGTGGAGAGAAGGCTGTGGAAAGCGGGGAAATTACGGAAAGAAAGAAAGAAAGAAAGAAAGAAAGAAAGAAAGAAAGAAAGGCTGACTTGAAGAAATATAGGCGCACCTCGCAGGTCCCGGGCTTTGGGAAAAGGGAGCAGGGCGGAAGAGCAGGAAAATACTAATTTTCACAAATTAGAATGTTCGAGTGATTTGTTTTAAGAGACACAAGACGCTCCCTTCATCTGCTAGAAGGCCTGAAGCTCTTTGCACAAACTCTTTTGCAACAGATCCATTACTGAGAAGCAAAAATATAATGCAACAAAACAAACAAAGCAAAATAAAAATAATCCTACCACTCTGACTTACCTCTGCGCAGTAAAGTCCCAATTACTCAGCCTATGGGATGGTTGCTCTCAGGGGATTGAGCTGCACTTTGAAACAGTCTTTACGGTACACTTCATCTACGTTTTTGTTGTCTTTAGTTCTCATTAAAAGGCCACTTTATTCTTTTCACTGATATACTGTCTGTGTTCTTCATTTCACACTCTTGAAAGCAAAGTTCTTACAACTTATCAGGGAAGAAGGGCTCCGAGGCTCTTTGGGGTGGGGTGGGGCTGAAGCTAGAGGGGATGAGAAAGAGAGGCAGGAGAGGGAAATCCGTGGACAGGAATTTTAAAGATTTTTTTTTTTTTTTGAGCACACAGAGAGAGAGAGAGACAAACAAGAGAGGTTGTTGAGGCAATGTGCTATTTCAGGGGTGTTGGTGGAAAAATTGGAAAGGGCTATCGGGCAGTCATACAGCGTTAGCCAGACACTGTGTGTGTGTGTGTGTGTGTGTGTGTGTGTGTGTGTAGCCTGGCCTTATTCCGACTCCCCTACTCCCCCCCAACCTGATTTATCACAGAGGCGTCTAATAATCACTTTGGAGATGTCAACTGAGGACTGTCCCTTTGCAAGGCAAAAGTGAAGATGTAAGGAAGGGTGGGGGTTGCTATCCTCATCAGTCGGAGCAATTCTTTGTAGAGAGTCTCCCATAAATGCACTACCTTTCAGGCCAGACCCCCCGGGCTCCGAGAGCCGCTCCACCCGCCTTTCCCACTTGTTGTCCAGACCGGCGAAAGAAACCCAAAGCGTTTATTTGGAAGAATATCTTACCGAGCCAGAAAGAGGGTAGTAGGGTCAGTCAGCTACATCGGTCTAGATCGATCTCGAATCAATATCGATCTCGAATCGATAAGACCTTTTTTGCCATTCGCGCGTGCGTGTGCCCAGATAGCGTATACACGGCTCTAAGAATGCACCCAGGATCCGACCCGAAGTGGAGCCAAAGAAGAAAAGGGGGCAAGGCTCTTGAGCATCCCTCTATTCATATTAGCAGCATTTCTTTTTGCTTGCCCTTTGAATGGGGCCGTGTCACTCAGAGAACTAAGGGCCATTTCTTTAATCTCTCTCCTCTGCCCTCACAGATCGACAGCCTTTCTCCCCTCTCCCCCCCTCATGCCCCCCTCCCTTCAGGGCACAAGATCCCCGTCCAGCTAGGCTCAGGCCGTCGCCGCTGCCTTCAGTGGAAGATCATAAGCCGGGCTACGTCCCCTGGTCCCCGACGGGATAGACCCCGGGGCTCCTGGAGAGCCGTGCGGACCCCTGGGCTCCCCCACCCCTCACTGGAGCCATGCCCCAAAGAAATGGAGGGCCTAGGATTGGTGGTGAATTAGTCTTTTGGGGAGTGGGATGATTTTTCTTAATTCAATCTGTCATCCTAAAGAAAGGATGGAATGCCCCAGTATACCTATTTGTGGATTAGAAAACTGCATGGAGACGTTTTCAAATCGAACCGACGTTCTATGGATTCGAATTAGGATGGATCTTTTCTTTTCCCCCTTTTTTTATCTACCCAGTTATGCCACAGTGGTGAACCAGAGGGAATTAAGCCCTCTTCAAGTCCAAAGGCTTGGATTCCTCTTCGAGGAGGCTCGGGCTACAGATGGCTCAGGGCACTCAACCAGCTTCATAGGAGCCAGCAAAGACTACGAACTAGCTGCTGCCATACGTGTGTGTGCGTGTGCTGGGGATATTTTTAGAGTTGGAGTAGCCACTCTACCAGGCAAACGGAGAAATGGTTCAAAGCAAGATCTCTACTGCTGCCCTCCTTTACTCACAAGCAAGCCAGCCCGCCTGCCTGCCTCCCAATTTCATGAGGCTTAATCCCAAGGAGCCGTGCACAGGCGGCCTGTATTCAAGGGAGAGCCATTTTGCAAGGGGCACCCGCGGCACTGCTCTGGCATGATGGGCGTCACCAGCTGCCCCCTCATCCCAGCGATCTCTGATCCAAATGCACACGTTCTTTCCAAGCGGATGGAGAGAAATACATAACCTTGTTGAGGGTGCATGCCTTACACCGCCGCCTCCAATAAGCCAGGGGCCTGTTTCTCTCTCTCTCTCTCTCTCTCTCTCTCTCTCTCTCTCTCTCTCTCTCTCTCTGCCCTCCGAGGTACTATTGAGAGAATTGAGAGAACGTCAGCCCCCCCTCCCCGGCTCGATCCTCGCCCAGATTAAGCCGCAGTAGTTCCCTGCCAGCTGATTTCCCACCCCACTCAGAGACACCTCTGACTCGATTCCGGGATTCTGAGAAATGTAAATAAAAGGGCATCGGACTGGGATGTCAGGCGCCCTGGCCCCCCGGAAATTCAAGTGGATGGCAGATTGAATAAATGCCGGCATTACCGAATTGTGGGCAAGTTTGGGGGGGAAAGATGAGAGGAACGATCTGAGGGTGGGGGCAAACGGTCGATTCACCCACAGAATCTGACATGTTATTTTCTCTTTGCAGCAATAATAAATAGGCACTAATGAACCGAGGTACTAACTGTGTCCCCTAAGAGGGCAAAGCTCCAGACGCAAAGATGACTACCCGTTGCAAATGGTGAACAAACACGCGCACACACTCACAGACACTCACAGAGAGAGACCACTAACTTGGGACCCGCGCGGCCCCTTCCCAAGGAAAGGCGAGGGCAGCCGAGAACGTGGGTGAATAAAACGCCAGTTAAAACGCTATTAAACAGCGCAGAAGGTGCAAAGCTCGCGCCTCGTTCCGCCTTGATATGCAATTAAATTACAGCAAATTCCTTTTTAAATAATATCGTTTGGAATCCTTCGCTAAGATTCAAGGATGTCTGAGGTTAAGTAGCTTTTAAAACGTCAGTTCTAAATGGCTTATGCAATGAATAGCTACCTTTAAATCCTAACACCATTATAAATACTCTATACATGTGGATGTCAGTTTATCTCTACATATTTCTTCTTCAAATGAGGAAAGCATTCATGATCATCATAATAAAAAAGCTCCTTGACATATTTGAGTTTAGAAAAGCAGATGTTAATTCCACCCTCCCTTCTCCCCACATCTTGTTTTATGACCAACTCTGTTGGAAAGGAGCCAACGGCGCCCTGCGCTTTGCTCAGTGACTAGTAGCCCGGGCGCATTAGAGCCTTCGCAGCACCAGCCGAGACGAGGCTCGAGCCATAAAAAAACCCCACACATCTGGGTTTCTTTCCCTTTTTTTCCGTAACAACAACAAAATTAAATTAGGGAAAGAGTTGCAATAAAAATGGGAGGAGGGGGAAAGGGTCTTGGGGACTTGGGGATGGATGCGGAAAGAGAACACACCTGCAGCCGCGCCGGAAAAAGAAACGGCCTGTGGATATTTTTCAAGATAGAAAGAGCCTTTCTGGGGGCCTGGCCAAACAGGCGTGTATTTTCAGTGAAATAAGTAAAAAAGAATAATAAAATAAGAGGAGGTGCCAAATATGATTGCCAGCTCCCCACAGACACAGAGAAAACAGTGTTCTAGGACACTCCCCCCTGTTTTAGGGAGAGGGACACCTCCCCCAAAAAACCAATGGAAGTGATTCCTGGACAAGAAATGCTTTGCTTCAGAGCACCCCCCTTTTTAGCTGTTTTCACATCCCCATTCTCTCCAGGCAGCCTCCCTTCCCTTCCAAGCTGAGGGATCAAGTCTGAGGGTTCCCATCGTTTTCTCGCTCCCTCCCCCGCTCCTCTTTTCGCCCCATTAACTAATATGTTTGAGAAAGGTTCTTGTTTGCCCTGAGTTACACGGGGAGCAGAAGACATGGGAGGGCTTGAGACAGCGACGGCACCGCCACACAAACCCGGAGCCGAGCTTTCCCTGGCATCACAATTAACTGTATGCAATATTTATCATTCGACAATGTTTGCCATCAGGAAACACCAAACGTAAAATCGGTGGAAGTTTAATAAACAGACACCCAGAGATTGATCAAATAGAATGAATAAACATGCCTGGATTTTTTTTTATGCGCACGTCTGTGCTTCTGACTATTAGGCGATAATCCTGAGTGAGAAATAAATGCCATTGGAGTCCGCGGAGGAGGGGCGGGCCGGGAGGGGAGGGGAGGCGGGGGCTCTCTAGCCAGCCAGTTGGCCTCCTACTGAAGTTAATTCCCACCGGTCCAAGTTCCCTGCGGCTTGGAAAGGTTAGGACTGCATGCTTAGATCCCCGGGAACGCATCCAGATTCCTTGCCCGACATATCCCCACACCCCATGTGGAAGGAGCTATGAGCGAGGGCCACGGTGCCTCCCTTAAGAAACTGTGGCCAGTGTTGCTTTTAAATATATATGTCTCTTTATGGTTCAAAACTGGGGGGGGGGGGACCATGGTCGTCTGTCAAAATGGTAGTCAAAATGGTCTGGTGTGATTGTTACAAAAATAATAACAGGACTCTCTCTTTCTCTTTCTCTTTCTCTTTCTCTTTCTCTTTCTCTCTGTCCTCTTCCTCCCCGCTCCCCTCTTTTTTTTCCTTTTTAAATGCAGGATCTCGCCGGCTGGGGCAACACAATGGCAAGCCATCTGGTGCGCAAGAGAAGCGGTGGAGACGGCAGCGAACGGAGCCATCCGCAGCTTCCTAGAAGCGCACGGGGCCTGCAGGCTCCCCCCTCCCTTTGGCTCCCCGGCCTATAGCTAAACTTGGACGATGGTCTGTGGCTGGTGATCTCGGGACCCGCCGAGCAAGCAAGCAAGCGAGTTGCCGCCCCGGAGCATCCCGAGGAACCTCTCCACGCGCGCCAAGCGCCGCTTCGCCTCCTGCTGCTGGGAGGTGGTCCCAAGCGCAGGAGCTAGCGAGGGAAGAGCTCCACCCCCTTCCCTTGGTCGCGGAGACGGATAGGTCGGGTGCCGGCTGACGTCACTCCCCATCGCACAGGAGAGGAACCGGGAGCGCGGGGGAAGGCGCGGGGGAGGCAGAGAGAGAAGCTTCTTGCCTGCTGGGCTCTACAGTTGGGAAGTTTTGCTTGGAACAGCAGCAGCAGCAAGAGTAACAACTCAATAATAATAATGGAAATTAGCCCTTTGCGCTTATCTCTCCGTTCCCTCCATCCTTGTTTAAGCTGGGATATCTATTACCCCCCACTGCAATGCATGGCTCGATTTAAGAGCACGCGGCAAAAAGGAGGGAAAACAGGTGGTGGGAATGGGGGGGGGGAGAAAATGTATTAAACAAACCCTTCCGGGTGAACCTGACCCACGCAGAGACCTGTAGCAGATGACCTGCATCTCTCTCTCCCTCTCCCTTGCGCACAGGAGGGTTCTCATCTGACTTGTCACCGCATCTCTCACCCTCACCGCCTTCCTTTGGCCCCATATTTCTGTCAGAAGGGTCGCTGGTGTCAGACCCGCCTCCTTCCCCACTTGGCCCTCCTCCGTCTTGCAAAGCATCCCTCTGAGCTGAGGGTGCGCGGCCCTAGCTGGCTCGCAAATCGCTCACAGCCAGGACCCCCCCCCCCGCCCCAGCCACCCCTGATCAGTATCCCATTAACCACTTACTTTGAAAGCGGAGCCTTTCCTTCGGCTGTTCCTTCTTCTCTTCCTTTCCTCAAGCACTGCCTTCCCAGGCCACTCAGCCTGGGCTGCAAAGGCTTGCTCGGGTAGTCATAGGCCAATCATAGCGATCAGAAGAGAAATAAAACTTTCTCTCTCCTTCATTTGCCCCCTCTCTCCCTGCCCCCTCCCTTCTTTTTCCCAGGCTCCGCTGTCCTTTGGCACCTTCTGCAAGAAGGAGGGCTGCAGTTCCATCCCATCCCATCCCCTGGAGAGCGTCTTCCTGGGGACGCGTCTGCTGGCCTCCCTGCTGAGGTAGCCGCGCGCTTCTGCTGCCGCTCTTGGGAGCAGGGAGCCCCGGCCTCCGAGCGAAGTGCAGATTGAGACATATCGGGATCCCTATAAAAGGGTCATTTCGCGAGGGAGGCTGGACACAAAGTTTGGACTCGTGACTGGCATTCCTGAGAGGCCTGCATATTTTAAAAACAACAAAGCGAGCCCCCAAAGAAGGGATGGGGGGGGCGATAGAGCGAGAGAAGAGGAGAAATAGTGCGGGGGGGGGGACTGGGAGAGAAGTTACTAAGTGACAAACATCTGTCAACATGAGCTAATTTGTAAGCTTTTGCTGCGAGGAGAAACTGACTAGTTTTGTGAGGGTCTGTGTTGGTCGATGCAGGGATCTTTGTCTCTAACCTCCCGCCCCCTACCCCTCCCACCCCGCTTTTATGTGAGTGTTTAATCCTAGAAAGTTCCTAAAATGGATCTAAGACCAAACCAAACGGGGAAGTTTGACCTGAAAGGTCTTTCTGGCCTTCGGATTAAAGCCCCCTCTCCCCTCTCCTCCCTAGGCCACCGTCCTCCTCTCAGCCGCTCCCCTTTCTTAGCTCTTTATAAACCGTTTCGAGATGGGGGGGGGGGGGATATAAACGTGTCTCAATGGCACAGCGACAAAGGCCAAAAGAAACACAGTGACATGAGCTGCTGTTGCCCCCCCCCCCAGCCCCCAGCCCACCGCAACCTTCTTAACAATAAGGTTTTATCTTGCAGCGAAAGAATAAGATCCTCCTCTTTCCTCTCTTGGAATACGATCACATTAAAAGCTTCAAAAAGAGAGATAGAGGGGGAGAAAGGCCGGTGTGCGATGCGGAGACGTCCTCTCTGGCCGCATACGCGTCAGGAAAGTCGCAGCAAGTTAACTTTCCCAGCCTTTGGCGCAGATCTGGAAAGCAGGCGCAGGCTGGGCAGAGGCGGGGGCAGCTGGCGCAAGCGGGGAGGCGAAGGAGCGGGGGCGGGTCTGATGTTGAGGCGATTTGACTGGACTGGGTGGGATCCTCGGCAGCCCCAGGATCAGGGGGCCGTTTAGTGTGTGCGGGGCCCGCGGAGAAGCCTGTTTCTCTCCTAGACAGCTGAAGACAAAAGGAGAGGAGGCCTAGTGGTGAGCTGGATATCTCTGTTAGTTGTCAGCTCAGGTCCAGGGGCAGGCGAGGAATGCTAATCAGCCATTGCAGAGGGGCTAAAGGCTGCAGATCTCTCGCATAGTCACGTCATCTCTCTCTCTCTCTCTCTCTCTCGACGGTTGTTTCGCTCTCACTCCCAGGGCACTTGCTTGGTTTTTTGCACTCACGTCCACCAGCTACACACCCATCCCTGGATCTTTATGTACTCAAGAACACAATCCTTAAACATACACAACATACGCACATACAATGCTACTCAGGCTTTATTCCTCGTTCTTCTCCCCCTGGGGTGACATAGGAAAGGTTTGCGTGGAAGCAGTTTGAGTGCCACTCCAGCAAACGGCTCGCATCGGCTGGAATCCCAAGGGTTTTCCTCTAACTGGTTATGACTGTTCCAGACAGGGTGGCTCTTTGGGCTCCACCGGCGAGACCGAATCACAAATTACCATGTTGTAATTGTTCACTCCTCCATAGCTATCCGAGCTTCGGTCTTTTTTTTGCTCTGACACACAGAGAGGGGGCGGGGGAGGGAGAGAAAGAAAGAGGGGGGGGGAGAGAGAGAGGTTCCTACCTCCTTCTCTAAACAGAGGGATCGATAGCTGACCCCACGGTTTGGCCAGTGCTTTATTTATCTGCCCGAGCAATGATATTATCAACCTTAAACGTTATATACAGCAAATGTCTTCCTAAATCAACACACAAGGATATCTCCCGGCAGCCAAGCTGCTCTGCTTTCAAGAAGTTCGCTCTGCCTCTTGCCCTCTCCTCCGCTTTCCACAACAACCGGGGCCCGTTTTACACTCCGTAGTTTTCAACGGGATCCTCTGTTTGAAGCTTGATGGTGGGCTCTGCAGCCAAGAGGTTATAGATACACGATTGTACAACCCCGCTTGCTGTTTCTTCCAGGGATTCGCTTGTCAGCCTGGCTGGGCTGCTTAAAGGCTGCTCAACGCTATCCCTTTTTTGTAATGGGGGTGGGGAGGAGATCTAATTTCCCACTGTCCTCTCTGTTAATTGCTTTCTTTCCTTGCAATTATATGTATAAACCGATTTGCTCCTTTCCATGTTATGGCTTTGTGATTCTAATGCAAACCACTTGAGGGGGGTTGGGGGTGGGGAGAGAAGAGACCAGCCATCTCCCCCCCACCACACACAGGCAAAATGCATCCCACCCCCTTCTTAGAATATGCGTCGGTCCTTAGGGCTGCAGTGCATCTCACGGCATTTAGCAGGATGTGCTTCTGAGCAAGGCGGGCAACACTTATTTTCAAATGTATGGCAGCCAACCAGATCGGGGCCTTCCGGTGAAATTCACCATACCCAGAAATTTGACCCAACACCGAATTGCTCCGGCATGACCAGACAAAGGATGGGGACCCTCAAGGCAGCTCATCTGCCAGTCCTACTCCCCATTCACGTTCATCTCCCTTGGCTCCCTCTACAGGTGGCTGCCCTTGGCACCAGAGGAACAAAGGTGCCCATGCAGACGCCCCTAGTCGATCTAGCAAGTCGCTCCTTCCTTTACTCGTTCTGCCAGCATGGCCCACTGGAGAAGCCCAGCCCAATTTATTCCACTTGTTTCTGCAACCTTGACAAGGGTGCAACGCTAGGTGCGCGTTTGAAGCCCTAAGTTGTAGGCAGAATGACTGGCAAAGCCATCTCCAACGAGCTCAACAGAGATCATTCGGAGTGCTCGGGATTGCCGTCTCCGCGGGAAGGGGTTGCCATGGAAGGCAGCGGGGTAAAAGAGGCTGAGAGTCTGGCTGAAGTCCTTGGAGGCGCTTCCGCCAACTTCCAAGCCTCAGAGTGGGTGGAAGGCGAGAGGGGAGCGGAGAACGTGACGCGGCTCGGAAGAGAGGCAGTTCTGGAGAGAGAGAGTCACCTTGCCTTCCTTCCAGCTTCTCTGCAAATTTCTCCTTCCTTTCCAGCTGTTTTGTGCTGACTCTTCTATGCGATGTGCTCGCGGGGTGGGGAGAGAAAAAATTGGGAGGAGGGCATTGAGGGAGCATATTTTAAGTCCAGAATCCTCAATGGTTTCTTCTCTCTCTCTCTCTCTCTTTTAAAAGCCACACAACCCAACTTTGAAAATGGATTCGCTGACAAGTAAGGATAATAAATTAGAGGCGCTTTCAGATAGATATCTCAGACGTGAAATTGCGCCCAGCTGGTTGTGTAAGCAAACAAATAGCCGCCGTGTTCGAGGGCTCGCGGCTTGATGAATAGAACACGACAGAGGTAAATGGCTCTTTAACTCATTTAGGAATAAAACTCTCCGGCTCCCCGAGTCAAAGAGCCCCGGAACGGCGTGGATCCTGAGCGAGCCCTTTTAAACAAGAGTTTTATTGGTTTCCACTTGTGAGCCCTCATCTTTCCCCAATTCCTCCCTCCCACCCCCGCAGGGAGGCCTCGTCAAGGCACCAACTGACTAGTTAAAAAAAAAAAAAGGAAGAAGAAGACAAAAACTTGTCAGGTTCCGAAAGGTGTAGTAGCCACATGGCAAACTTGAAAATCTGCCAGAATTATCAGGGCTGGTTCTGGCTGCCTGCCTTTCCCGCTAGAAACTCAATAGAAAATATGAACCGACTGTATTATTATTTTTCTTTTAAAAAAGATTTTTTCCCTAGCATCAGGACGATGTTGCCTTTTCTTTCTTTCTTTCTTTCTTTCTTTCTTTCTTTCTTTCTTTCTTTCTTATTACACCCATTTATGTAAACTGGAGGTGGAAGAGGGACAGAATCCATTTCTCCAAAGGTATTGAGTCTCCCCTACCTCGTCTAGAAGCCCAACCAGCAGAGAAGCCCCTTCTCTTTTACTCAGACTTCACTCTGGGGAAGGAACACCGCAATCTCACGCCACGAATCAGCGAGACTTACTAGTTTCAGGCAAATCTGCTTCGGGCCGAAGCTTTAGCTCCAAAAGGTCTTCTCATTACTAGGGAGGAGCTGGTGTAGGTCTGTCTTCTCTCTGTTTGTCTGCCTGTCTCTCTCAAGATTCACGAGGCGGGGAAGGGATCTCTCTCTCTTTTTCTCTCTCACGCCACCCGTAATTCCTGGGGGAAACTTTTGTCCGACCCCCATCCTCTGCCTTTAAAAAAATTTTTTGGCTGGCGGAGGGTTCTAAAAGCAGCTTGAATCTACAACACTTTGCAACCACTTCAAAGAAATATTAAGCTCTCCCTCTCCCGAGAACGTTTTGCTTGCAAAAAACGAACCCTTTGACTTGCACATCACGCACGCATGCACATTTAAAAGAGAGGGATCTATGCCAAAAAGAGTGACTTCGGATTAAAGCATTCAGATCTATGTTCTTATTGATGTCTAGAACGAAAAGGAGTTAACCCAAGTTGCCTTTTCCCAAGGAGAATGGCCCACAACCTCAAGCTTTCGACCAAAATGCTTTCTCGGTATTATCGATCTCTGCCAGAGCATCCTTACATGGAGAGCTGTGTTTGAAATAAATTTATTAACCGTTCCCCCTCCCTTCGATGACGTTAAACGTGACTCAACAAAGCTTTCTCTCTCTCTCTCTCTCTCTCTCTCTCTCCTTTCTTCATTCCTTCCTTCCTTCTTCTCTCACCTAATTTGGTAGACATCCACATGTGGCTCCTAGATTCTTATAAAAGGAACAAATCTGTTATTCGTTGGCAGGTGAACCAGAGCGCTGTGAAGCCCTGAGACATATTCCCTCTTCCCTTGTCAAAAAAACTGTCAGGGCTCTGTCGTCTGCCCAGTTGGGCTGAAGACCCACAAACACCTTACGTTTAAATCAAGCCTCACAGATGATGGGAGTGGAACTGGCTTGCCAGATCCCTTTTCCTTTCCGGGCGAGCGATGATGATCCACACACAAGACACTTCCAAGTACATCGTTTTAGGCCACTACATTCCACTCTTATATATGAACATTCCTGACCAAATGTGCAGTCCCATTAACATCAGTGGTGGGTCTAAATCCGTATCACACCAGGGCACCTCCGCTTTTGGGGGGTTGTTCTCGTTAAATGCGACTGAAGACTTCAAGGCAGCCACATGTCCACATTGCAGAACTAGTTGTTTATTATTATTATTATTATTATTATTATTATTTCACAATTATTATGTACATTAGGAACTCTGCAATTCTCAAGCTCCATCGCCAAGGAAGCCCCAAAATTAGAATGACTAGAAAAGACTTAGCTGGGATGTGGGAGAAAAGGAGGTCAGCCACCCTGAGAGTAGGCAAAAGGCGATGCTTATTGTGGCCTAACGCTTTCGAAAAGCGAGTGAGGTTTGCTTAGGATGCTTGTGTGAGAGAGTGTGCGTATGAGACAAGGGAAAGAGGGAGAGACCTAGCCAGTTTTTTTATTATTATTATTATTATTATTATTATTATTGAAGGTCTTGTAACTGCAGCAAAGAGGAGCAGATGAATCATGACAAAGCAGTAGACAGATAGTATTCTGGTCTTAAACAGGCTCTAGAAGAAGGTGTATCCCAACAGAGCATCCATTTCTGTAGAAGGGCAACGGATTCGTGACTGGGTGGCATGTCTAATGGAGAGAACGCCATGTGAGAAAGGATTGGTTTTTAGTCTCAGATTGACTAACAGATTCATCATAATATGTAGGGTAGGGTCCAACGACATCAGTTAGTTCTTTAGCGCTTTATACAGCCTAATTCGTGTTAAATCCTTGGGCCAAACTAACGGAAAATCTCCCCCAAGCATCATCTGAACAGTGAACACCCTTCCCAAAGGAAACGGTCAGGCTTTGTTGCGCTCGTCAGTAAGGAAAATGCGCCCAGAATATCAACTTCCTTTTCTACACCTTGTCTAGAACTGGAAGGATTTCTCCACTCCCGGCATTATTGTGTTACAAAATATTATTTAATATCATCGTTCCCCAGAAGGTCGAAAATGAATGTGGGGTGGGAAAGACGAAGCATTACTCGGGTTTCACCAGGGGTGCATGACATACCAGCGCTTAGATTTACTTCTGGTGCGAAGAGGACACTTTCTGCGGCCTTTTCGCAAGATCCTAATCCTATCCGGGCCTAAATCTTCAAGGGCTGCCTGGTCTTCAGGGCGTTGAGGTGACCTTTCCCTACCCGGTCTATGCAAAAACAGGGCTACCTCCGGCTTTGGCAGCTACATCGGTTTTTTCAGAGCTCGTCCTGGCTAGTTAAGAGCCAAAATGTGCATTCTTACAGCCTGCCTATTGAAACTGACTAGTCCATAGACTGTAGCTGTTGGCAATGTTATTATGCAGCTGTAAGTGCCCGCCATATAGAAAATGCGTTCTCTCTCTCTCTCTCTCTCTCTCTCTCCAGGGATCTACTGCGTCTAGAATATTAAAAAACCCCAAGCGGGTTAGGCTGAAGGATCTTGTTAATGCAAAATAAAAAAGTAAAAAAAAAATCTGGGGAGTGTAGACAGCAAATTAACAGAAAAAACACTGCCAGTGACTCCTCCAATTGAAAATCCTGCCTCATCCTGGATGTGTTTGGAGGGCGAGGGAGAAACTGGAGAATGTGAGGCGGGGGGCGGAGGGGGGGAAGACACACGAATGTTATTTTTAAAGATCCGGCTTTATTAATACGCTAAGAAAGAGCTCCCTTGGCAGTGTGTGTTCTTACAGCTCCGTCTCAGATCCTATAAAACATTAATGCACTGAAAGCTGTTACAGAGATCTGCAGCGACCAGCTCCAAGCTCTGGGAAAATCTTTACCTTCAAAAGGGGCTCCACTCGGAGAACGAATGGTATGCTGGGGGGGAATGTGTGCGTGTGAGTGTGTGTGTGGGTTGGAAAGCTGCTCCTACAGTCATTTGAAGGAGACTAACAGCTTTAGGATTCCATGAGCCCACGGGAATAGGGGCGCACGCGTGTCCTTGGATCAGTACACACGACCAGACATATGCACCTCCCTCTCTCTGAGGGTGGCTTTAGAACTCAGGGGAAACTCACCAGCCCGGAGAAAAGACCTGTACCAGGAGGAAATTGCCCGCACCTGACACAGAGACCTTTACAAAGTGTAAGGGGTGGGGAAGGGAAATAAGAGCTTCAGTCCAGACGTGACAACACAGCGCTCCAGAGCAGTGGAAATTTACTTTCAGGACAGGCCAAAGACATTTCGCCACCCGAGGCAGAATAGTTCACTTCGCCTTACCTTTATTAGGCATTGCAGGCAGAACAGCAAATGGATCTCCTCTCAGTTAATCCAAGGTGCAAACCCAATGAGAAAAACAAAAAGCCAACTAGCACAAACGCCTCTCGCTGGGAGCAAAAATATAATACTAATAAATTAAAAACAACAACAACTATCCACTGTCCTTTCAAGGCACCTCAGAATCAGCTGCCTGAGTCACCCTCCTTACTCTATCTAGTGGTAGGGCTGGCCCTGTTTTCTATTCCGGATTATTCTCATAGAACGCCAGTAGGCTCACGCAGAAGTTTAATGGGACTCCCTCCCAGTTAAATGAACGTAGGATTGCAACCTAAGGGAATTCCTCTTAACTGTCCCCCCACCCCCATTTCGTCAGCATCAGTCTCCAGAATCGCATTAAAACCAGGCAGCTTGGGAATACTGAGAGGTGCGTGCACCTTACCAGCAGCATGACCACTGTATCACTGTATTTATTTGTTTTTGAACAAAGACCCCACACCTTGGACCTCTTATATAAGGCACAAAGCCTTGGCGGGGCGGGAAAGAAACCCACCACCCGCAAACCCAAACTTTAGGTCTGCTTCAAGGAACAAGAACTCATGGATTGGCGTGGGAATCTGTGTTGGATGTTGCGCTTGGGTTGCCTTTGTAATTATTTTTTTCTAAATTCTTTTATTTTTGTTTAAATTCTCACTTCAATTTTAATTCTTGAAGAACAGCTTCGACAACATATATCGCACTCAATATAAGAAGCAAAGGGTTATATAAAAAATTATTAGTATAGAATCACAGGAAGCCTGGTTTGGAACCAGAAAGAAATACAAAACAGATATAGATACATACACACAGAACAATTCCTTGTTGTTTTTTTAATAATTATTTGGAAAATGTTATTTTTTCCCCTCCCCTAATTCTTGTTTGTTTCTTGTGGTGTTTTTTCCCCCTCCCCTCTCGCCTCCTTTATGCGCATACGATGTTTTAAATTTTACAAAAAAAGTGAAAATAAAGACTAATATCTTACAAAATGAAGAACAATGTTCGTGGAAAGTGTTTCGCCTTTGGGTCCCCCTCCCTCTTTCCCTCACCCCGTCCACCAGTTCAATTCGGCTCCAGGTTTTTGTTTGTTCTGTCTCTTAAACTGTGTGTTTTGTTTTGCTGTACAGACGATAGATCCACCTCAGTCCATCCATCATAAATCCAGGGAAATCCGTTCTAGTCTTCTTTTTTTAGGGGGGAGTTTTTGTTTTAATCTCTTCAGTCCTTTTTTAAAAATGGTTTTTGTTTAAAGTTTCCCATCTCAGTGTCAATGGTTTGTTCCACAAAATACTAGGTGTCCATTTCGCCTTCATCATCATCATCATCATCATCACCGCCTCTCTCAGCCGGGGTCTGATCCTAAGCGAGTCTTTCGTGCAGTGTCTGAGGGGTCTGCTCCTATCTCTCTCTCTCTCGGTCCTCCCCCCTTTCTTTCTGCCTCTCTCTCTCCTCGGATCCCCCCACCCGGCTGCGTGCGCCCCCAAGGTGGTGGTTGTCTGGGCCGGTCTCTGGCTGGGCTGGAGGCCTTCCTCCTCCTCCTCCTCCTCTCAGGGTCTCTTAGCGGGGGAGCCCAGGAGGTGCTCTATGAACACTGGATGGACATGTAAGGCCAGTTGAAGCTGCTGCCGGAGAGCAGCATGTCTCGAATGAGCGTCTCGATGGGGGTTTTACCTACCAAGCGGACGAAGAAGAGCTGCTCGATGACCGACGACGAGACGGTGCGCAGCGAAGGCAGCCGGAGGAGCAGTTTGCCGAAGCGGCTGGGCTGGTTGGGGTACTGGCTCCGCACGTATTCCTCCAGGGCGCACTGAGACTTCTCTTGCAGGCTCTCGATGTGCGCCGCGTCCGAGAGGCCACAGGCATCTGCCACGCAGCGCCGGGGGGGGGGGGACAAGGAGAAGAAGAGGAAGAAGAGGAAGAAGAAGAGACACGGTTAGCCAGGGAGGTACCAAGGCCCACAACTCTCCCCACTCCCCCCCAAAAAAGCGCAGCAGCAGCAGCAATAACCAGGCAGCAGGAGCAGCAGCAACCCGGCCTCCGCGACCCCGGACGCCCCCTCCGCCCCCCTCTCTTTGTGCAGCTTCCTCCACCTTGCAAATAAATAATGGAAGACGCGGAAAGGCAGCCGGGAGGGGAGCCGGAGCCATCTTTCCCCAGCCAGCCAGCAACCTGCCCCCCCCCCATCAGCCAGGAAAGGACGGAGGCCTCGGCTGCTGAATCCTATTGTTACATCCCATTGACATATACCATCTCCCAAGACAGACAGACACACAGATACAGCCAGCAGGGAGGGATTCCATTTCTCCCAAGTACTTTCTCCCTCTCTCTCTCTCTCTCTCTCTCTCCTCCCTCCAACCTCCCCACCCCCATCCCGCCCAAGACAAGCACACGCAGCCTCGTCCTCAGCTAAAGGAAAAGGGCTTCGGGGTGCAAGAAACCGGGCCAGGAGCGCGCGTGCGAGAAAGCCAGGCGAGGATTTGGAGTCGCTCGCACGAAAGGCGGCCGCGCTTCCATTTCCGATCGTGGGGGGGGGGGGGGGGGGGAGGGAAAAGGAGAAGGGGAGGCCCTGCTTTGTCTGGGGATCTCTCGGATCGAGTAATTGAAAATTGGTCACATCTCTGTAAGCTATATAATCATCGCCGGGAAGACGGCTCGGTCCGGGCTGCCTCTTCCAGCCCCGCCAAGCTGCCCCCCTCCCGCACCCCAACCCTGCGCGCTAAGCAGCCGTCTGTCTGCAGCTGCTCTCGCCCTCGCTCGCACGCACAAAGCTGCTGCGCCGGCTGCCTCGCTGCAGTTGCTGCCGCTGCCGCTAAGGCTCGATCAAGCTCGCCAGAGAGCAAGGCAGGAGGCCCAGCTCTGGCGCCCAGGACCCCGAGATCCCGGGCATCTGGCACAGCCAGCAAAAGGCGCAGTAAGAGGAAGGACACCCAACTCCCTCGCCAGATATTTCTCCTTCTGTCTTAGAAGTCCTAGCAGAAAGTGTTAAGGACTATTCAGACCCCTTCTCCACTGCCTAAACGCACATACAGACACCACATAGTATTTTGGGGGAGGGACAGAGGAAGCCCCCCCCACCGAGGCGGTGGGTTCTTTGAGCTCAAGCATCCGCAGGCCGCCTCCTCCTCCTCCCACCCCCGGCCTGTTTTTCTTATATTAATAATAAATATTTCAAAACACCCGGATCACAAGGCGGCCGTCAGCTAGCAGGACGGTTTAGCGCAGATCAAAGGCGGCCTCTGCTAATATAGAAATCTATATAAGAATTAATCGCAGAGTAATGGCCCCCAAAAGGAATTCACGAAATTGCCCATGTAAAATAAGGATGACCCTGCAAAGGCGCTCCAGATTTATTCCTCATAGCAATCCATTAAAAAGGGGAAACAGTGGCAAGTGGATTTCGTTGTTGTTGTTGCTGCTGTTGAACTTGCGGGGTGGGGTATCCCTCTCCCTAGTTTCCAAAAGTGGCTTTTTAAAAAAGCATGTCAAACACCTTCATCTCCAGGCCTCTGGCCTCCAGCGAAAACAGAGAGCAACCAAGCTGTAATTCTGGCTCTTCTGAGGAAAAGACCCCCATGACCCCAGCCACGGCCTAAGGAGCGCTTAGATCCGCAATTACCTACGCCTGACTGTTGTGCTAATTTCTACTTTTGCCTTAAATGCAGTGATCATTTGCAACATCTAACGGGTGGGCGAGGAGGGAGCCAGCTTGCAACCCACACACACCCAACAGCGGAGGCCTGCCCTTCTTCGTGGTCCATAGCCGAGAGAGTCCCTGGCCTCCTCGGACGGGGATTGCTAGAGATCACCAGCTAACTTCTCCTTTGCTATTTGCCTTGTATTGCTACTCGTCCACTCAGGCGAAAGGTTTCTACCCAACTTTTAAACACGGCAGGACTTCAGGGCCTGATTGCCTCTTCCTCACATTTATCTGGGAGGTCCCATTCCTTAGGGAGGGGGTGAAATATTTATCCCGTCTTTCACCTCCGGCGCAAAGACCACCACCGGATCTTTGAGAAAAGGCACAGACCAGATCTTCTATCAGATAGCTTCTTCAGCCTGTCTCTCATTTTTTATTATAAAAAAAGATAGAAAGGTCCTCTCAGGTATATATGAGAGGCACGCTTGGATTTTATTCCGCACCCCCTTACTCGAAACACCAGCCAGCTCACAGGGACTCATCTCCCCCCTCTACATTTCAAACAAATAGCGCTAGGATCGGGGGATGCTTTCAATCTCCACCGCGAACCAAGAGGATCTGAAAATTAATTAAACAATCTATGCTATCTGATCGATTAGCTGATTGAGTTAAGATGAAATAGACCAAAGAAGGGAAAGCGATGCATATTCACCTTCTGTGAATTACATCTCAGCAAGGATGAAGGGGGCGGGCTGGGACGGGAGAAGGGTGGGTTTGGGTGGAAATTGTGCGTGTCCCACTTTTTAAGATGATCATATTTCTTCCTGCAGTCATTATTTCTCAATATTTCTTCCTCCAGTCTATGGCGAAGAAATGATGTAAATAAATAATCATTACTGTTCAGCACACGCCAACCTGGGCCTTTGTAGTACAGGGAATGTATTTCATGTAACGCATCCAGGAGAGTTTAGTGCTCAGAAAATATAGACGTAATCAGCTCGCATATAACGAGAAATCAAAGTTCTTATGGCGCAGGAGATAGATTTATTGAGCTGATCTTATCTAACCTGGCCCCTCCGTGGAAGATTTTATATATCGAAGTGCGGGGTGGTGTCAGAATTAGAAAGGCAATTCTTTAATGGAGTTTGCATATCTCTCTGTGTGGGAAAACAGCAAATCAACCAGCGCTACTTTCAACACAATGCCCCTTCCTGGGACAGGCTCCAAACTTTTGTGGATGGAAAATAATATCCGGAACCCAAATGGGCAGGAGATGGTGGAGGAAGAAGAAGAAGAGGCAAGCAAGAAACTAGAATAACTTCCAAGCCAGTGACCCCTGCTGATCTTAAACACCAGTGATCTGGAAGCATTTTACGTTTGGGATCAGGTTGTTGAGTTAAAGCCCCTGGGACCAGGTGGCTAAAAATGTCTTTTCCATCCATCAAAGTTTCCTTAAAAAGTTGGAGGACTTAGCGAAAGCCGGGCCATCAATTACCTTCTGGCTAGCAATCAAAACAAGATCAGGCCCAAGTGGAAATGGGTGTAGGGGGTAGAAGTGGCGGCGTTTGAGAGAGGAGGAGGAGAAAGACAGGACATAACTAGAGTGGGAATTCTGTGTCTCCGCCATTGGGGCTTCCACCCCATCCGAGTGCTAGAAAATGCTATTATTATTTCAGCTTATATTGGGATGTCGCCAATTTGCACTGCCTCGATTAAAAAAATAATGTTGCATTGTGTACCATCAAAATATATGGACACACATAAATATAGCAGATGCAGCTAGCACTAAGCCATCCTGGATTTGAGAAAAGAGAAAGAAAGCGCCTTTCGAGGGGGCGGAGGGGGGGTCAAACCTTTTAGGCAAGGGCTTTTGGCGGTGAAGTCAATAAAGCAGGCCGCCCTCTTTCTTTAACGCTGCGGCCTAAAAGCTGCATTTTCCAAATGGCCGGGCTATTCCCGCCCAGTTTAGATCTAACCGCCCCCCCAATGAATAAACGAGTTAATAAAAAAGCACGAGGGGCTGCGGGAGGACCCTCCAGTTAAATCACCCTGAAAAATGCCACCAGGGTCTCTTTTTGTCAGTTCTGAAAAACACGTTTTCGTCAGGCAAGGCTCCTGAAGATAAAACGCACCCCAACGTCTCTGCGGCTGTTCAGTAAATCTCCCCCACTTGTTTTAAGACCTGTACTTGATTCTCTGCGAAAAAAGAGCCCGGCCTTTTCCCACCCTCGCTCTGGCCTGCATTTGCAGCCTGAAGAACAAGGGGGGGCAGTCACAGTCCATGTCTACCAGCACCACGCATACCAATGAGATCCCCCTGTCTAAATAAATAATCCGATGTTCAAATCGATATTAATACTACATTTGCTACATTACAATATTGTGCAAATTTAAGAGTCATTTGACTACAATGTAAATACTATTTCTCGTGCATGAAAGGCAACAAATATTGATGGGTTTCTCCCCTCCAGCCAGACCCTCGGAAACAGCTTTGTTTTCCAAAAAGCTTTGTATATCTTCTCGGGCCACTTTTAAACGGGGTTACGGGGGGTGGCGGATTTAATGGTATAAGAACCTGAAGGAGATATATATATGAGAGAAAAGTTTTGCAAAAAGTGCTCGGTGAACAGACTAGCGCCGCACCCCTCCACCCTCGCAAACACAACGCTCCCCCCGTCCCAAACGGCTCCGCCAAGTTCCCCCTTGTCTTTGTTCCTTATTCCTTGCAGGTTGATGTGTATATATGTCTCTCCCACAGGTTACAATAATAAAGGATGTCTTGTATTCTTATAGGCTCCAACCGGAGCACTTCAAAGGCGACGTTAATGCACTCTCCTGCAAAGTTAATTTGAACCATCTATCATAAGCAAAATTGCTAACATGCACGTTACCCCCGCCTACCCTTAATTTGATATTTTTGCAGGCAATCTGTTACATTTCCCAGTGTTTGCGTGGTTTTGCATTGTTTAAAAAAAAGAAGAAAAAGAAGGGAGGGAGGAAATGCATCTGCAGGTTGGTACTCTAAAGCCTGAGGCTGGGTCTTATTTCCTTTATTTTGAAGGAGGGAAGTAAGTCCTTTTCTGGCGCTCGAATCCATTTTTACGAGCGTCACTAACCACAGCAACTGCAAATATGAATGGCTTCCGATAAGGGTGGGGGTGGGGGGGATCAGGCAGCAATAAAGCAGTATTATTTATGATTTATTTGTGCTCCTGCCTGCCTTATTGGAAGAAGATCTGGCGAGAAGCCCTTTCAGCGAGGCCTAACCACTCTCTCTTCCCTTCCACAAACAAATAAACACACAAACGCACGAGGAAAGGGTGGGGGGAATTTATGCTCCTACCGCACCCCCCTCTCCCCCACCTGAGGCCGAATACCACCTTCTACAATGAACACAACGCTACACCTTCGAGTTAGTCGATTTCACCCAAGGCCTACTGGAAGCTGCCAAAGCCACCCGCCTGCCTAAGGGGAACAATCCAACGAATGCTTAAGAAGACTGGGAGCGCAGGAGGAAGCTGCAGCCGTGCTGCGGGGAGGGCAGGGATTCGTTTTCCCAACGCAAAGTGAATTTGGATGAGGCTCTGGTGCGTCTACTGCACAAACCTTCTGCAGCAGGCTGGCAGGTTTGGCCTCAGCAGGCCCTGCGCGCCTTTCCTTTCTCCAGACTATCCCGGGGGACTATACCCAAACCAGGAGGCCGATCTGCTTGGAGAGGAAGGTGCCTGGGCTTGCCTAGCCATGCTCCCCTGGTGTTGCTGCTCACCCCCCTAACACGCCCCCCCCGTTCCCTCCCGCCACTCCACTGACCTGACGTGAAGAGGACGATGGCTTTGAGGCAGCTGTACTCGGCCGAGTCTACGTGCAGGGCCTTGAGCTTCTCCACTTGCTCCTGGAAGATGCGGATGTGGTCCATGAAGGCCACCACGCGGTCTGCGGACATGGGCGAGGCGTGGAGGCCTGCGGCGGCCAAGAGGGGCGCCACGTGCAGGGGCATGGAGCACTGGGCCGCGTTGAGGACGAAGAGCTCGCTCCAGGTGAGGCGCAGCAGGGCCACCTGGTCGGTGATCTGCAGGTCCGGGAAGAAGGGGATGTTGCGGGCCCACTCGACGGCGCTGAAGAGCAGCCGCGCCGCCAGCTCGCAGATGTTCTCGATGCCCATGATGTTGTTGGGCTGCATGCACTGGCTGCCGTAGCGAGACGTCGGGTAAGGCTCGGCGCGCAGCAGCAGTGAGATGTAGCCCGACAGGTAGCAGTGGCCGTTCAGCGGGTCGCCGTTGGTCAGCGCGTACTGGCCCGGGTTCGGCTGGCTCGGAGGCATCCTTCCTCGCTGAACCGCTGACGAAAAGAGGGAGAGAGAGAGAAAAGGAGAGGAAATGTGCATCCAGCAGCCTTGGCGAAACCCAGCCCGCTAGCCGCCGCCGCGCAACAAAGCGGAGCCTTCTTCCCACAGCAACGCGCGCACACAGCGCGCACACAGGCGCACAGACACACACACAGGCGTCGGCTCTTTCTCTCACACAGACACGCACAAATCCGGCCGGGAGGGTGGCAAACACGCACAATGCAAGCCTGTCCCCCCCCCCACCTCAGTTTGCATTGTTGTGCAAATGGGGACATGTATACTGCCTTACAAGACTGCCATTCTCTTTGTAGTAATAGTAATAATAAGAGGAATGATGAAAATAGTGGTGGTGATGATGATGATGAGGCAGTCCCTGAAAGAACTCTCCAAAGTCAGGGCCCACCTCCAAGTTGCTCCCTCCTAGCCTTGCCTGATAGCCAGGTAGCCATCCTTGGTCACCTCTCGGCCGATTTAGCGCTCCGAGGATTGGGAATCCGGAAAGGCCATCCCGCGCAGGCTCCCCGCTTTATTTGCCAGTCCGGAGTCCCACTCAGCAAATAGGCTTGCAAAAGTGCTTGGAGTGGGGGTGGGGTGAGGTGAGGTGAGGGGTGGGAGAGCTACCCCCTAAAGCGCCTTCTCCCTAAACAGTTCCCAGGTTCAGCTGAGGAAGCTTCTCTCCTGTTTGCAGCAGAGTTCTTTCTCCCTGGCTGGAGGAGGACGGGGCGGGGGGAGGAAAGGTTTGACTGCTGTTGTTGTTATTATTAAAAAGGAGGTCAAAATGAAGATTTCGATTTACGGAAGCCGAACATGAGTGTGGGGAGAAGGGCGAATAATTCTCTGCGTGGTTGCAGATGCATGAAAATGAAAATTAAAGGAGGGTGGGAAATATATGCCCACGATCTGGCCAGTGAAAACACACGTTTGCAACTGTGCAAAAAGAGACGCGCCGGGCACACAAACTCACGGAATTCATTAACCACCCCAGCCCCAAACGCCAGCATGCTTGGAGTTTCCGAAGCTGAGCAAAGTTTGTGTGTGTGCGCGTGTGTGTCCGGGTCTGCTTAATCTGGGTCAGCAATTCACACTCCTGGCATGTAAACAAAGGTAACTTAGAGCAAAGAGAGGACAACTGAGAGTTATTTCTTAGGCGCAGAAAATTAATATTTTCTGTTTCACAGGAAGAGTTATTTTCTTCAGGGTTTCCTGTTTTTAATCATACTTTTGATGGGGGAAAAAATTCTAATATTCCCATCGAGCTGTCAGAATCCCCCTTTCCTCCCTCCTCCCTCTGCAAATTATACTTCCAAACCTGGCAGTTCTGTGTTTCAATTAAATGCAAACACAGTTCAAAGGCTGTGAGAGGGCTGTTAGCTGCTATACATATATATCCCTGTGCTCCCCCTCGCTCTCGATATATACATTTTTCCCCGAGACCCCTATCCTGACAACAGCTCTCCGAAACTCCTAAATGAAGTCATCAGTGGCCCGTTTTAAAAGGATTTCCATTCTTTCCTTGTGGCACCCGGGAGAGATGTGCTTTATTTTTTATTTTTTCTATTATTTTCAAGCCATTTCCATTGCCGAAAGTGTTTGGCTCATTTGACTCCTAAGGACCTCTTTAAATAGGGTCACGAGGCTGAATTTTCAGCATCAAACAGCTAAATAGTGTGTGTGTGTATATATCTATACAAGTATGTGTGTGGAGACCAAAAACACCGCCGCAGTAAATCGCTCTTACTATATATACACAAGCACACACGTACACCCCCCCCCACATACAAATACATATAATAACTATTCCTTTCATTCATATAAATATAGATCTCTCTCTCGGAATTAACACACACACACAAACACACAGAAAGAAAGTACCATCATAACACTGGAGGTATTCCTTTTCAAATAAGCACCACATTCCAAAGGCAAGCTATGCTTAAAAATAATAAGACTAATAAGAACCAGTATTATTGGGATGCAGTATAAAGCGACGATGGCGTCTGATGGAGAAATAAAACAAGCAGCATGCACACGGGGTGGGAAATGACAGAACTGTAAAAGCAGTGATCGTTCACAAACTTCCTTTGAAAGCACGAGGGAGTCCAAACAAGGCCGGATTTGGCGAGGTGGGATCGCCTAGCAGGGAGCGAAGGTGCAAGGAAGCAGCCACACAAACAGAGCAATTTAAACACCATTGGCCCTCCAATTTGTTTTAAAATATATATATTATTATGATTTTAAAACAAACAAACAAACTTACACACAACACACGTCTCTTTCAGCTTTGAGGCCAGGGTTGTGGTGGGGGAAGGATCTAACGTGAATTGTTGTGCTTTCTCCCCCCCCCCCATCTTTCTAATGGGGCGAAATAATGAAGAGAGGAAAGGGAGACTGAAAGAAGGGTCTCTCTCTCCCTCTCTCTGTCTGCCCCCACCAGCTCCAAGCCAAGAAAGGAGAGAGCCCCCAACCTAGGAATAGACACCATTCAATGTAAGAGTAAGAGTAATAGCAACATTACGCATCTCTAAAGGAAGCAAGTGTAGTGGTTGCGAAAGTGTGTCTGTTTGTCTGGTGGGGAGGGGGATGCTCGGAGGAGAGGGAGGGGGTACCAGCCTTCTCTCCCTCCTCCTCCTCCTCCCAACCTGCCCTGGACACACACACAAACAATCCGGATCCGAATAGGGAAGAAATAATATTCACCTTCCCGCCTCATGCCCACTTTGAGGCACTTCTTGAGGCGGCAGTACTGGCACTGGTTGCGGTGGTGCTGGTCGATGGGACAGTTCCGGTTGGCCCGGCAAGTGTACGTTAAGTTCCTGCGGACGCTTCGCTTGAAGAAACTTTTGCAGCCCTCGCAGGTGAACTGCCCATAGTGCTTGCCGCTGGACTTGTCGCCGCAAACCACGCACTCGATGTGCTGCTGCTGCTGCTGCTGGCTCTGGCCCGATCCCTGCTGCTGCTGCCCCTTGTCGCCCGGCGTGGACGGCGCGCCCGGCTGGCTGGGCGTCTGCGGCGTGTGGGGGGCCGCCGAGGCCCCTTGCTGCGGGTCCCGGCCCGGCTGAGCTGCTCCGGTGGGGCCGCCCCCGGCCACGTCCTCTTGCGCATCTCGCCAGCTGCTAACTACCATTGCCATATCTCGGGCCCACGGAGGAAAAAAAAGAGGGGGGGTGCCTGGTGGTGATGGTGGGCTGCCGGAGAAGAGGCCGGGAGAGGAGGAGGGGTGGGGGGTCGGGTGGGTAAGGGGGGTGGGGTAGGGTAAGGGGGGAAAGAAGGGCGGCTGCCTGGGTTTGTCGCGGGGGGGGGGGCAGAGGCGAGGGATCGGGGCTCCTCCCGCCTCTCCGCGGCTGTTGCTGCTGTGGCTGCCGCCGCCGCCTCTCCGCTGCTCCCGCTGCCGATCTTTTTCTGCTTCTTTCTGCTGCCCTGCCCCCTCCTTCCTTCCTTCCCTCCTTCCTTCCTTCCTTCTTCCCTTCCTCTCTCTCTCTCTTTCCCTCTCTCTAATGTGGAGTGGCTTCTTTTTCTTTTCTTTTCTTTTGGCAAGGGGGGGAGACAATGGAATTCCAAAGGGTTTAACCCCCACCCCCCGGACTAGCAGGATGGTGTCCCCCGCTCTTCTTCTTCTCTTCCTCCTCCTCCTCCTGCTTCTTCTCTCAGTCCCTTCCCTCCCTCCCCCCCAGAAACGTGTCCCTTTTCAAGTTGCAAAAGCAGCCAGGGCGAAGCGGGCTGTCGCGAGAGGCATTCAGGAGGGTGACCCTGGGGAGGAGAGGGAAGAGAGGGCGACGGGGGGAAGAAGCAGGAGGAGGAGGAGAAGGAGGAGGAAAGGGAGGAAGAGGAGGCGACCGGCTCGCCGGACACCCTGCCTGGCCAGCCAGCCCCGCACCGTCCGCGGCGGGCTAGCGGCGCGCCCGCCCGGCCGGTCGACTCGAAAGAGGCAGCAGCAGCAAGGAAGGAGCCCGGAGCCGCGCGATGCTGCTGCTGCTGCTGCCGCCGCCGAAGCTGCTGCTGCCGCCGCCGCTGCTGCTGGTGAAGAAGCTGGTCTCTCTGCCGGGGCTGCGGCCGCCTCCGTCGCCGCCACTGCTCGCTGCCGAAGCCGCTGGGGCCCGGCCGGGAGAGCCGCCGCTGGATCGCGCCCGTCGGCGCGCAGGGAGGCCGGCAAAGGCGCACGGGGAGCCGAGGCGCGGCTGCCGCTCAGGGCGCGCGGGTGTCCGGGGGCCAAGTCCGAGGCAGCGCGTCAGCCATGCAGGAAAGGCGCTTCGGGAAGCTCCGCCGACCAGCCCGAGGGCGACGACGCCGAGGAGGACGCGAGAGGAGACTGGACGAGACACTTTGGGGGTCTCTCGCCGCCGACGCCGCCGTTGTTCTGGGCTCCGGCCGCCGCCGCTGCTTTGCCGCCCGGCTCCCTCTCTCTTTAGCTGTGTCTGTCTTTCTCCGTGCGCGCCGCTTTCTCTCTTTCTCTCTGCCTCTCTCCCTCGTCAATTTCGCTGGGGAAGATACAAAGGAGAAACCCCAGCAGCGCCCTCGACTTCGCCCAGGCGCAGCAGACCGAGGATCCCCAGCCAAGTGGCGGAGCGAAAGGCGATCATGGAGAGAGCAGAAGCGGAGCGAATGTCAGCCGCGCGCCGAGGGGAGGGGAAAAGCCGAAAGGCGAGCGAGAGATCCAAAGTAGGTCGAATAAATAAAAGCCCCTTCTCCTGCTTCTCCGGCTTGCTCTCCTCCTGGCGCCTTCCTCGCTCGCTCGCGCGGCAGCTCCTTCTCTCCTCGCCTTCTTTCTTCTTCCGTGCTGCTGACAATAATCACTGGAGATCGCCCAAGAGGAAGGGGAAGGAAAGGAGGAAAAAAAACACACCTTCTTATTTTTCTTCTTCTTTTTTTCTTTTCTTTTCAAAGTAAATTTCGGAGGAGAAAAAGAAAAAGAAAACAAACCTCCGCAGCCAAGAACAAAACCCTCCCCCAAAATAACAATAAAAAAGTGTTTAAAAATTGAAGATATGAAGATGTTCAAAAGGCGCCCCTCTCTCTTTCTTTTTCTTTCTTTCTTTCTTTTTGCTCTTTTTCTTTTGCGGTCTTTCCCCTTTCTTTTAAGTTTTCCCTCTCTCTGGTCTCATGAAGGAAGGAAGCGAGAGGCACCAGGAAAAGGAGAAAAGGAGTGGAGAGAGAAGGAGATAAAGAGAAAAAAAAACCAGCCTTCAACTAATAGAATATGCAAGAAAGGAGAGAGAGAGAGAGAGAGAGGGAGAGAGAGAGAGGGAGAGAGAGAGAGAGAACCAAAAAATGAATGCGTTTAAACGGGAAGACTAGCAGAGCAATGTTTCCGAAAGGGGGATCTGCGCGAATGTCTGTATATAGTGAACTTTGACACTACTATTGAAACTGACACGTTTCTATGGAGATCGCTGCCTTATATGGAGCTCATGTCAAGGAGCCAAGAGAGGGGCTGCTGGCAACTGATAATCAAAGGCGACTGACTGGTCAGAGCCCTGAATTGGGGGGAGAGAAAATGGGAGGCTAAGGTTAGCCAAGCCTCCTTCACTCCATTGGCTGAGATCTCCTCTCTCTCTCTCTCTCTCGCTCCCCCCCCTCCGCCTTTATTCTTTGCTACCTACTGACTGAGATGGGAAGGAGGGAGGGGGGAGGAAAAGAGAGGGAAGGGAGGGAGGGAGGGAGAGAGAGAGAGAGAGAGAGAGAGAAAGGGAGGGGGATTCTTCTGACAAGCACAATTTACATTGAGATCGCCCTGCTCTGCTATTTACTTTGAGACCTGATTAGTATGGGTCGTCTATGGTCACACACACAGACACACACGCACGACAAAAGAAAGGGGGGCGGGCGGGGAAGAGATGCATTGCGATAGGGGGAAAGGGGAATTTAAAGGAAATTATTTTGGCTCATTCTGAAAAGTTTTTTTTTTTAATGATCAGATTTCTCTTTGGGATATTTCGCCCCCCCCCTCCGGTCTTCCTTCCTTCCAAAAATAACCCTATTAGGAATTACGATACTTGGACTGGATTCTATTGTTTAATGGCTGCAAGGAGATGGCTAAGGAGAGTCCATAAGGACTGTGAGTATTTTAAAAATACATTTATGGTCCCATATGTTCCAGTTCATCAGCAGCCCCCTGTCTCCCCCTCCCACCTCGCTGCCTGTTCCCCCTCACTTTAAATTATTCTCCAGGATTTCATTCCCGTCGCAATATGACCGGTCAGAAATCGACAACCCCATTTCACATGGAGGTTCCACTCCAACTCCCATTATTTTTATTTATTGTTTACTATTAATATATAGATACATATATGAAATTAACTTGTCCGTCCTCCTTGTGTTTTGCTTTCGCGAATGTTTTTAAACAGCCTCAGTAATGATTAATGGATAACGTAAGTAAGTGATCGGTTTTGCCGTCTTTATGAAAGGATCAATGCCTGTAAAGGAAAGTTCAAGTGAGAGAGAGAGAGAGAGAGAGAGAGAGAGAGAGAGAGAGAGAGAATGTGAGTTTGGAGAAGTGTATTCTGGGAACCGGGTAGTTGGGGGGGGGGGCGCGACGACGGCACAAATTCCCCTTCGCCAGTCCTAGAAGAATCGCTGGTTCGTGCTGCCATCTAGCGGACAGGAAGAAAGCGGTGAAACTACAGTTTGTTTAGCTCCCCCCTTCCTTGTGTAGTTAAAAAATAAATAAAAAGCTTGCGCCTCCGATGAAGGAGCAGAAAGGGACGCGAGAATATCTGAATGGCTCTTTCCCTTAATATTTGTCCCCTGCCTGCATGTTTCTATGGGGAGTAATCCTTCCCATTGGAATATTTCTCCATTAGCTTCTAGATCTTCTGCCCCTCCTGACTTCTCCTTATTTTCCTTGTTTTCTCAACTTCCATCAAAGTTTCCACACCGGCAGAGAGCCGGGGTTGGCGGGCGGGCAGGGGCTATTCCAAAACAGCGCAGCGCACTAGAGCCTAGGGCGAGAAAGAGAGAGTTGTGTGCGTCCCTTCTCAGGTTGTAAAAATATTAGGCACCAGTTAGAGAGGAGAGTCCCACACCCGAAGACACGGTTTGCGATTTGGTGGTGAAATAATGAAGGGTGGTTTTCTCCCTCCCTCCCCCCACCCTCCGCATCAGTTTTTCCTGCCAAGCCGTCCCTATTGTAGATTGCATTGATAAAAAGGATGTTATTGACTATGCAACAGTGGGCTCTCTCTCGCCTGCCTCCTCGCCTCTCTTTTCTTTCCCAATAAACTCTCGGTCCTGTCTTCTGGTGGTCACTGAAAAGGTGAAACGAATAAGATTAAATCACACACACACACACACACACACACACACACACACACACACACACCCCAGCTCTGTATGTATATCATCTAAGGTTTTACTCTCCGGACTATGGAGAGACAGGGAGGGAGAGAGGGGGAAAAAAGAGGCAGAGCAAAAGAGAGAGAGAGAGAGAGAAGAGGGAGGGAGAAGGGGAGAGAGAAAGAAAGCCCGGGAGAAGGTGCACAGAGAAGCACCAGCTTCTTGACAAGGTTTCGTCGGAGTCCGGATCGCTTCCACCAGCAACTAGCAGAACCTCCGCTGGCCAAGGCAAGTAGCTTTTGCTTTCTGTAACGTGTGTTTCTGGTGGGTTTTTAGACGCTGTGAAGCAGCATCCGGCAGCAGGGAGTTGGGATCTCTCATCCCCACCCCATCCTCTTCTGATAGAGTTCCACTAGGGCAATGTAACTTTTTTAATAAAAAAAAACACAAACCACCCCCCACCTACGCTCCTTCTTCGCTTTCCTCAACCATCTCGCCTGCTTTGTCGGAGACCCTGAAAAGGCACCCAGTTCAGGCCTGGCTGGGATTTCCCCGCCAGATTTCATCTGAAGGAGAGGCGGCAGGGATGGGGGCGTGGGGGGGGGCGGAGAAGAGGGAGAGAGAGAGATGTAAGAAGTTAGGAAGCAGAAGCAGAGGTAGCAAAAATTAATAATTTTTGTTTGAACAATGTTGTGGAACCCCCCATCCCCAGTCCTTAAGATCATGGGACCAGCTGCCTCCGGGAACAACCTCAGATGGGAATGAGCAGGGATCGACTTGTCCAGATCCAGAGCTGAATCCCATAGTCCTCCTATTGCCTAGGTAGGCTTAAGGAAGAGGTGAACAGATCCATTCAGTGGGGCTGAGTGTTTATGCCAGGACTTTTCATCCCCTAAAGAGGGATTGCAGACGAGTGTCAGCGTGCTAATGCTGTTGTCTTTCACCTGCTCTGTTTGTTATTTGATCACCTAATGAAAAGATCGATGGCAGCCTGTTTATCTAGGGTGGTGGTGGGGAGTGTCAACAGATTAAAGGGACAACAGGGAGATCCACCGAACGAGAGAGAGGGGGAGACAGAAAGACCTTTATGACAAGGAAAGGCCCATTAAAAATAATTACAAAACCCACCCTTAATTCCGATTATGTTCTGTCTCCCCCACTCCAAGATTGCCTTTGCTGTCCCTAAGGATACCACATTTCTCTTAGAATAGGTATAAAACAGAACCCACTCAATCTCTGCTTTTATTCAGCGAAAATAGAGCGAAGCCTAGCCAATTTTATGAGTCCTTCAGGAAATCCCATCTTTTAGGGATCTGGCTGGGTCTTTGAATGGGAAATGGATAAGAATTCAGGCCGCGAGAAATGAATGGATCCTTCATTGGAAGCGGGGATCCTTAACCTCTCCAAAAGAAGCTGACTCAAATATAGAAATCCTTTGTCAATTTCTCCCTCCCTCTCAAACGCTCACTTTCCTCTCTCTCCGAGAGCAAAAGAAAATAAAGAAAAGTAATGTGGCCACAATGTAATTAATTGGGAAAATCCGGCTTTCCCCGCCAGCTTCTTGCGGTGCCTAAAGTATGCCCCGAAAAATAGAAGCGAGCTCTAACTTCCTCAAGACTGCCAACCCCAATGTTGCCCTAACCATATTTACATGGAAATCGCATAGGTTTTCCGCGTCTCTTATCTGTGTTTAGAATCCCATCTTGGGCCGCAATGGGCAAATTGGTTAAGCAGAGGGGAGTTGCTAAACCGGTTGAACTTCAAATATCAGGACAGCCGAATGGCATTTTCAGATGCAAACCAGCGAGGGTGTGTGTGAAGAATTTAAAATAAGGCGCATCCATGGTGTTCAATAGGCGTGCGAACTGGGATGGTGGTAGAATAAAGCAGATCAGTTATGTTCAACGAGGTTGTAATATTCTGGAAGTAATGCACGGGCTCCGCTTAAGGGGTTTTGTTTTTTCCTGCGTGGGGCCAATCAGGATTCCTCTTTCGATGTTTCAGCCAAGGCTTTGTAATCTGATAAGGTCATTTTATGGGAGAACAGAGATGCAGACAGGCTGAGTTTAAGACCACGAGCCACAGCACACTTACATAGAAGTAACCTCTGTTCATTTGAAATGGTGGGACTTACAGTCACTTTGTGGGTTCAGAAAAGAAATGCTGTCCTCTCTGGGGTTGTTTTCGGAGACACCCATCTTCACTGGACCAGAGGAAAATGTTGTGTCTGTCAGAACTTTTCCTGGAACCAGGAGGGGGGGCATTTAAAAAACGAAACCTCCTCCCTCCGTAAAACACCCAAACCAAATATGGGCTGAAGAGAAGGTAATAGCAAAGCCTAGCTGGGGGATGGAAATGATCTGTACCCAGAAATATTTATCCGCTTGCAGTAACCTTTGCTTTTTTTAATTCAAAGGCCCGATTCCTTTGCAAAAATCAAGTGTATGGCGTATGTGTGGTTTTTCAATGCAGCACTGTATAATATATATTGACTGTGTGTTTGTGCCTGGCTGTGTATTCGAGAATCCTTATAGGGGAAAATAGCACAGGAGGGATCTTCACTCTCTCTCCCAAGTGGAGAGAAAAAAAATCTGTTACATTCTTTTAGCAACTTTGAGCAACTCACTCCCCGTTCTGGTAAGAGATCCAGCTGCATTTCGTTAGGACATGACATTTGGGAAGTGCTTTTTAAAGCACACATATGCCATCCCCGTTCTACATAGATCAACTTAAAACAGACCCAGAAAGCCATACGGAAGGCGTGCTTTGAATGCTGTTCTCTCACTTTCACACGCTACCAGCATGCTGGGCCGCTTGCCCCACAAATCAGCGAGCTCGCGCTTTCGACGAACTCTTGACAAGCTCTGCCTTCCAGCTTTTGGATGCCTGATCCATCAGAGAAGCCAGCCTGCCGAGGGGCATCCCTCCCCTCGAGGACTATTTCCAGTCCTCGTCAAATATTAATTGCAGTGTAAACATTGCTGACCCACCTCTTTCCCTCCCCCCCACCTCCCCCCAAAAGCCCCCTCCTCAAGCAAAGTGCGTAGTGGCGGCGGCCTTGCTGGTTCCTCCCTCTGCCTTCCGTTGGCGAGGGCTTGGTGTCCAGCAGGGCAAGACTGTCAGCGAGCCAGGCCTTGGCAGGGAAGCCTGCCCAGCAACGCCGCTGCCACGACTAGCGGAAGTAGGCCTCATTCACCGTCTGCACTAGTGCCGGGTCACAGGCTTCCAGCGCAATGGAACTCCTGCCCGGGTGGAAAAACGAGGCGCGCCTGCCCCTTCCTCGACTGTCGTTTGTTATCTGCACAAATCTGCAGATTTCAACCCCCCCCCCATCCCTATCCTATACACAATTGGCCATTCCCAGAATCCCAGCCAAAGTAGACCCAGTGGATTACAGCGCCCGTTTGCAAATAAATAGCCACTGGCCACCTAATATTTCGGGGGGCCCCTTCTCTCTAGACAAAGCCTGATGCACTCACACGGATGCTCAGATTCGTGTGCATGGGAGGGAGGGAGGATTTCACCAGTGCCTGGATGGATCCCTGAGAGTTCTCAACTGATCTGTACTCGCTTTCCTTTATGTCCTTACTCACTTCAGGGGACCAAGTGCGAGATGATTCCCATTTTAAAGCCTGTTTGGAAACAAACAAACACGCACACACGCGCACGAGATATTCCAGCAAATCCTTCCTCCATAATAATAATAATAATGTATAATCATAATTTATTATTTATACCCTGCCCATCTGGAAGGGTTTCCCCAACCACTCTGGGAGGCTTCCAGCAAAATATTAAAATTACATAAATGTAAATGAAGCTGGCTTGTGTTGTGCACATGTGATATAAGTTCTAGTTAACTTACTTCCAACATCTTAATCAGACCTACTTTTTAAAGCAGTCCTTTCTTGGAATCCCATGTCTGCACAACCCATTGGGGCTTGAAAGTAAATTCTACTGAATTCCATGAAACTTACTTCCAAGAAAATATGTGGATACCATTCCTTCTAGGCTTTCTTACAAAAGAGGAAACGCTGCGTGTTTACTATAAAGGCAGCTGGGCCAAGGGAGGAGAGCGTCTGGAGGAAACAGGGGCTCTAACCTGGGCAAAGGTTCCCGGTTAGGCACCCGCCAGTGGTCGAAGGCTAAAATGAAAGCTGTAAAATAGGCTGCCGAGAGTCTGGCTTTATGCTTTTGTTGTGGAGTTGTAAGAGAAGCAAGGCAAAGGAGCAAAATACCTTTCCCAAAGGTCCCGCCAACCCCCGCGGGCCCCACTAGGAGCCATTAGGCCGTATTCTGGGGTCGACTTGGTCATTTGGCACCTAGCGAAATGTCGCGCTGAGTTACCAGGTGCTTTCAGAGTGCGGCGGTCTCCTCTCAACCAGACGGCGGCAGCTGGCCACTGAAATCGTGGATTTGCCGACACGACAGCCAGGAAACCCAAACAAGTTGAAAACTGTGCAGAGGTCAGGGGCAGCGCGATCCCACACCAGCTGTTTCTTTGGAACGAAGTCCCACGGAGCTGAGTGGGGGACTTATTCCCAAGAAAGGGGGGGGTAGGATTGCAGGTTTACAGTACAGCCCTTACTCAGGAGTAAATCCCTCTAATGTTCCCTGGAGAATATTTCCAGGAAAGGGTCCTTTGGGCCTCTTAAACCAGGCGCCGTAGTCGAGTGGCCTCGAGGGGCGCAGGAATTTCCCAGCTAACAGAGGGACCCATATTGGCCAGCTTTTATAGTGTGCCTTGTTTCACGGCCGAGATGGATCCGGAAGATCCTAGCAGGACACAGGAAACTGGCGGTCAGCAGGCTCTGCAGCCTTCCTGCGTCAGAGCTGTCTTATCCCATGCGCTCCCCACCCCGTTCCCTGCGCAAAATGGCGAATTCTCACAACCAGATATTGACTTTCCGCACAAATAAAGCTGCGGGGATCTTAATGCGGGAAGCGAAGCGACATAAGTGTGTGCGGATGCCAGGAAGGGAGCGGGGTGGGGAGTGAGGACTTTTCATGAGTGTAGATGGCAGCGCTGGAGAGTCTCCCTTTGGCTTCTCTGAGGATCTACCCTTCGTTTGGAGACCAGTCTTGTCATGCGCGCATCACGTAAGGCCCAGGCAAGCTGATGCCCAGATCTAGTAGGTGTGGGTGTGGGTGTGCGCGCGCGTGTGTAGACATTAATATCTGGCTATGCTGGGGATGAAAAGGGGGCACACTTGCGAGAGAAGTTTCCCCCCCGTGTCTTGACAATACGATCTTCTGGCTTGTAGAATTATTTCCCATAATAGTCACCTGTCACAGCTCCCATTTCTTTTATCATAGGCATTAGCCCATCAGGAGATGAGTTCAGTTGGACTTCTCTTTTCCAGGCTAAAAATTAAAAGAACTCTCTCTCTGTGTGTAAGAAAATAAAAGATTTGCCCCACCGATTGTTCAGTTATCGCTTAGAGGCGCCGAGAGGGTGTCAAAGGGTGGGGGAGGGAATCCAGGCTTGGCTGCTGGTGTGAGCATCACCCTGAGCTCCTCCTAAACTTGATATAACTAATAAATCTGACTTTTCCCTTAAACTGTCAGGGTCGAGATGTGTTTATTACAGGCCTGTTCAGGCAGCTAAGGAGATGGGGCGGGAGGACTTTTAAGTTGGGCTTAAAAAAAAAGTCAATGAAACAGCTCAAGCAGACCATAAAGAATCGCGCCACACTGAAGCTGGCTATGGGGAGCATGGAGGGGGTGCGCGCGCGCGCGAGAGAGAGCAGCGATTGTGGGGGGGGCTCATAAAAAGTACCCTGGAAGACATGGGGCTGGCAAAGCCGTGTGTGTGGTGTGTGTGTGGTGGGGGAAGAGAAATCTGCTTTATTGTTAACCCCTTGCACGGAGGCTTCTGAAGCTGAAAGGGCAAAGGAGGGGACGCTCTTTTGTCCCAGCTGATCCTCGGCTATTCTGGGGACTCAGGTTGGTGTGAAAAGGACGAAGAGGTCACTTGAAATCGCCTTTTATCTACTCCTCTTTTCTCTCTGGATCAGCAGCTTTGAATAGGCGCCATCTAATCGCTCTTCATAGAAAGAAAGTGGGGCAAGGCTCGAAAATGCCTTCACTCTAGGAAGGAGGGGACTGGCTTGCATGATTGCGCCTAGGCCTCAAGCCAGGCGGCGGCGAGCGGAGGAATGCCTCGATCCCCACCGCGTGCGCCTCGGTTGGAGACGCGGAAGGTGGCGAGAGGGGCGCGCTGCCTGCTCCCCTTGCCTGCATTTCGCCCTGGCAGCAAGCCGGGTTGGGATGGAAGGAGTCCCTCGGCCTCATTGATGGACTCGTTCCGTAAATAAAATAAAATGTCCCTTCCAACCACCACTCCCCATTGGCAAACAGATACAAAGGAAACCAGAGCAGGGAACAAACCTCGAAGAGGCTTCCCGCCTCTCCCATTTTTGCAAAGTCCCTGGGAGCCGAAACAATTTTCTCAAGGCTAGGACGGAACTGTTGGTCTGGCGAGTAAAAAAAAAATAAAAAATGAGCGTCCATCCGCACTCCAGATCCCGGACTTGTTTTGTAGGCTTCGCACGAGGCCCTGCTTCGTCCACTGCTGCTGAGGACACCCAGTGAATCCGAAATAAACTGATAAGGGGGCGGGCGGAGAGAGAGCTATCTCTTCCTTCCCAATAGCTGTCATGCTAAGCTAAAGTTGAACCCACAAGACACGAAAGCCAAGTCCCTGTTTGTTCAGAAACGATTTTTTTTATCCCCCCCCCCGAACCCTTGTGTGGGAGATGAGTATGTGTCTTTTTTGGCAAAAAAGAAAAGAAAAAAGAACCTGGTTAGACAGAATTATTTGTTCCTTTGCATCAAAAGACAAGGCCTTCCTATTAATAGCCTAATGGCTTTGGCTGCAAGGAACCAAGAGCATTTCAGAGGCAGCTTCCAAATCCCTCTGCCAGGGAGTGGGCGGGAAATACCTCTCTACTACTGCTGCTGCCCCTCCGACTAGAAAGAGCCACCTTTGCTGTCTGAAGAGTCCAGGGATGCTTGGAAGCTGGAAATACTTCCGAATGGTGGCATGGTTGCTAGGGGCTGCCCGTTCCCACCCATGAATCTCTCCTACCTCCCAGGGCCAACCGGGCTTCCCTGAAGGCCACCTCCTGGCCACCACGCTCTTTGGAGCGCCTTCGCGTTTAAACGCCTCCGAAAGGCTGCAGGTCAGAGCAAGAGCTCCCCATTTGACTTCGACCCTAGGGCTTCGGAGAGGCGGGGGCGGGAAGCCCCAACTCATCTCCCGGCCCAGTGCCGCGAAGATTAAATTAAGTGGCGGAGAAACCTGGCGGATCTTCCGTGTGAAGCTCCGCTGGCGCGTCCAGGAGTCACTTTTAACGCCTTGCTTCCCCCCACTGTGCGCAAGTCTTCATCAGGAAGACCCTCTTAATTCCCTCCCTCCCCATCTTCAGCAGAAAGGAGCGGGGAGGTCGGCTTTTCGCCTGTTCCCTCACCTACCCCCGGCCTCATTTTCTTCACTCAAAAGTAAACATAAACGTTGCTAACTGATCCGGAATTCCTGGCTGAATGCATGCGTGTGTGTGAGAGAGAGCTGGGGTTCCAATCATCCCATTTGTCACAAAGAAAATGACCGGCGGTGTATTAAGCAGAACATCTGATTTATTTGATTTAGTGCTCTGGGGCCACAGCGAAGACACCCTAAGCAATCCCCCAATGCAGAGTTAAAATTGAAAAGGAGAAGGGCGAAGAGGAAAAAAAAATCAAACAAAACTTAGAAGCAGTATTTAAGCCTCCTCCATTTGGCAACACTGATCACCATTCCCGAGTGGCTGGGGAAATATTGTTTTTACAAACCGCCGCAGCAGAAGGAACAAATGTTTGGGAACCACTGAACCTCTCGGTTTCGATGGGAAGGGGCAGAAATGGCAGAGAGAGAGAGAAAATCAAGGCAGTCGAAGAGAATCTGCAAAGCTGATCTAAGCTCTGGAAAAGTTTGAGCTTGGTGCGATGACCGCTTGCAAATGCAAATGCAAATGAATAAATAAACCTCAAACCGGCTAGTTTGGGGTGCAGTAGTTTAGCAAGACTAATTGCAGACAATGGAGCTGAAATGACTTTTCCAATTAGCTGCTGGTTGGAGTTTAGTTGGAGGAACTGTCAGCTCCACCGATGGGTAATTGCTTTATTGCTCACAAAACTATCATCTATTTAGAACATATGTGCTAATTACTGTGGATGGGCGTTGGGGAAAAAAAAAGGGAGACCATAAATCTATTAGCACTTGAAAAAAAGTCCATGGGGCTTGTAAGCAGCACGAACTCCTTTTCCACATTATGATTTGAGGGGAAGAATGGTGTGAGTGATAAGCGACTCTCTTCCCCAATGCAACATCTGAATTAAACCCATCCGGGAAGACAATGCAAACAAGCGGCCCGACCCACAAGCCGGAGTAGGGGATTTATACCGGGTTTGTGCCACTGGAGTGAGGACGGGTACAAATCAATCTTCAAAGCATACTGCTTTGGGTTAATTGAATTTTGGGAGGGAGGGTTGTCTGACATTGGTCAATTTCAGATGCGAGCGCTTAGTTTTAAGAGAGCCGCAGAAGGAGCCGTCCGGTCTTCTCAATCAACCACGGCCATAAATCACTTTCCCTCCTTTCCCCCACCCCAGCCTGTTTCCCCACCCCAAAAGATTAGTTTAGAAATCTTTTAATTGGATTATTCTAGAAAATTAATCTCCTTTCGGCTGGCTAAATTTTGTGTACCAAATATTGAAAATTAAATCCGCCTCATTTAAGGGTGGGGGTAGGCGGGAAGAGTGAGGACTCCTGTTGCCTTTGGATGGGTTAGCTGTTGGTTTTTTTTAAGAACGAGGACACGAGTAAGAGAAATACCATAGGGGGCAAAAAAGAGCAACATAAGGTGTTCAGAGCTCCCAAAAAAGCAATTGTCACCCACCCAACAGCAGAAAGTTGGTTTTCTAGTTTATATAAGAGTGCTATTATAAGGCGATAGCACAGAGCTGGTAAGTATCCGGGATAGAAGCAGAAGACTCAGATGAGGCTTGTTGTTGTTACTATTTTAAAGAAATCTAAAAAGCTTGCCAGCATTGGGGGGAGTTTTTTAACCTGGAACCTCATGGGTTACTCAGAAGAGGAAACGGAGGCAAAGTGGCAGGGAATAGACCCTCTGCCTTCGAACACGCTGCTGACCGGCAACATTCTGTTCCGGGCATTTCCCCACACTTTCTCTTTCCTTTGGGGTGTGTGTGTGTGTGTGTGTGTGTGTACGTGAGCGAGCTAGGAGAGAGATAAAGAGAAAGAGATTCCCCCCGTCTCTTTCAAGACAAATTCTGGGCAGAGTTGCTGGAGAAGCGCAAGGAGGGTTTCTGCTTTCTTCCTCAAGCTCTCCGAGTTTCCCCATCACGTCTTCTGTTACTCCCCGCCAACCCACCTGTGACACCTGGAAGTCACACCCACACCGAAAATCAATGGGGTTTCATTCCTGTTTTGTGTGATGAGAAAGAGAGCGAGATAAGAAATCGGATGTCACAAAACCAATTTAGGAGGATTGGATAGTTCTCAGAGTCACAAACGTGTGCACGTGCATTTACTTGCCTTTTAATCAGCGCTTGCTGCTAATTTACAATTCAGTTGTGGATGCTTTTTTTAATTATTTTTTTGAGACAAACGATCTCCTCCCAATCTGCAATTTCACCTGAAATTCTTTCTCCTTTATTTCAAGCTGTTCCGCAAGTTCTTCCAGGACCCTTCCCGCTCCAACCTCCTACCTCTGAACTTTCTAGCCTTCAGATTTTCCCCTAGTATATTTAATTCTCCCCTTATCGGGGTTGCGTGGAGTGGTGTTTTTTATTTTATTTTAAAGACCTGTTAAGGCAGAGATCAGGAGTCAGAGCTCCATTTTTGGCTGCCTGCTGGGATTTCCTGAGCGAGATCACGACATCTCTCTGAAATGGGATACCTCACTTTTAAGCTCAATGTAGCTGTTAATAGCAGCCCTCTGAGGTGTGGTTAATTGGTGGGGATAAAGGCGTAATGACTTCACAGGGAGACTGCAATGATCCTTTAATGTACCTTAAAGAAGCACACGCACACGGGTGACATGGCATCGCTTTGCAGAGGAGCATTTTAAAAGTGGTCTTCGTAGGAAACAAATTTGTCCCTGGAACGTGATGATCTGCGCAAACAAGGGGAGAGGGAGGCAGGGAGCGAGTTTGTGTTTCTGTGTTTAAAGGCAATGAATTTAAGATTGAGTAAATAAACTTATTGGGGAAGTGCGAACCGAGAAAGTAAATGGTAGGAGAATGATAGGGTGGGGATAAAGGCCCGAGAAGCTCTTTGGTCTTGGGACATGACGGTCTTTCAAGCCGGCCTACCTCTCAAGATTGTCGTACTCTACTGAGCTCCACCGGAGGAAGGCGAGATACAAAGAAGCAACGTTAAGCAGGGGTCCGCTCATCCTTCTTTCCCAAACTCAAAGGTGGTGAGTGATTCTCTCTCTCCTACGCTCGGCCTCTCCCCCCAGCAGCCGACCTTTAGGCCATGCTAGCTGGGCGTGAAGTCAAGGTTGCGACTGCAGAGCCGGATCAGATCTCACTCCTTTCAAGCGGTGGCGTGGAGTTTTCAGTGCCAGCCGACTGTCCTTCGGTTGGGGAAAAGACAAAGTGAATTGGGATGTTGTTCCACGGGGAGGGAGTCTCCCTATGGCTTGGATACCGAGCAAGCATGCAATAGGATCCTCCGGCACTTCGTCCTATCCTGAACGTCTTACGGTCATATGCAAGAGTAAAGAGTGCAGCGTAGGTAAGGAGAAACTGATAAAGATTTGGCAGAGCGTAAGACTGCGATGTGCTCGCAGTCCAAATCCAACCTTCGCCTATTAGTATACGATCAGTGACAAAGCTCTATACACACACACACACACACACACACACACACACGTGTGCCTGCATTTCTTGGCATCTGAGAAACGCACCAGTCACAGAAACTAACAGAACGCGTGTTTGTGAAACCGAAATTCTCTCTTCGCTCTGGTTGCAATTCTCCTTAGGGCTCCACTTAGATCAATGGAACTTTCTCCCAACCAAGGGAGCAGAAGATTGCAGCTGTCTCTAGTGTGTTATGTCCAATACTTTTATAGAGCGTTTACTCGCTTGTGTTGTGTATTTATTTATCTCTCTATCTACATACCACAGGAGCCAACTACTAGGGGCCGAGGTCCCTTCGTCCCCCCCAGAAAAGATTTGAGGGGGCCGGGCCACCATTCAAATGGTGTTTGTGCGCCGCATCTTGTGATCGATTCTGTGATGCGGGGATTGCCTGACCCCCCCCCCCCGCAATATTTTAACCCCTTTGACACCACTGCGACGTACATTTCTACTGGAGCCCCTATATACTGTGCACACGGGTCTGCTTTGACATGCACAGGAGATAACTTTGCACAGATACACATATTGCTATATAGACACACCGCATGCAGTACCTCGGCCCTATTTTAGCGAACACATTGCGCTCTCTCTCACACACGCATAGGTAAAAGTGTACACGTATGTGAAAAGTGTGCATGTGTGTTCATGCAGATCATGCAAATGTCGCCCAAGGGGTTACAGCGGTAGAATAAAGGAAGGTAAACACTCCGGCGCGAGGTCATCGCTCTTCGCCGTGTCTCTGTTACTTTCCCACATCTCGCAAGGAAAATGAAGTGAAACTTAACACCTTCCCTTTCCTGTGTGCTTTGTTAAACTTTTCCTTTTGCCTCAGTCCAGTTTCTTCTCTCCCCGCGCTCCCGCGGATGAAATGTTGACGTCCTGACTCTTTAGTAACCAGATCTTCAAGACTTACTAGGAAACCAGAGCTATTGGAATTTGGAATCGATGTTATTGCTTCCAAGTGAATTTGTCCAGCCCTATATCGTTAGACGCACCCAAACTCACCGAAAATCAATGGATGCTTAACTCTGCATAGGATCGGGCTGAAAGTGTTTTGGCTGGGGATGTTACGAATCACCGTCTAATATATGTTAAAGGCACCCGACGTGTCCTGGGATCAGGGCCTCCAGGAAAGTCACGCACAAACTCGACCTTTCCCTCCCTGTTGTCCCTTTGCTTTTGCTTCGGGAGCTGCGGAAGCGATTTATGCTTCCAATGGATCCGAACCTTCATCTCTCATGTTCGAGTTCTTTCTGAAAGCAGAGAGAGGGAGTTAAAGTCGATCGCAGGTGTTTTAGCTCCAACTGTCGCAATTTCATCTGCATCTCTCAGATCCCCGAAGCAGAAAGACCCCGTATCACACGCCCCGGCACCCGGGGCAGGGATCTAGTTCAGCTTCCCACAACCTGGAGCTTTCCCAATCAGCTTTAGACTACAACTCCCATCCGCTCAGCCTATGGGGTTTAATGGGGAAACCAGTTTAGTGGTGCACAATCCAGGTTGAGCCAGTTTAGATCCCTACCTAGGGACGTGTCAGCTCTGCCCACATAAAGCCGGGCGTTTAAGGTCGGGTTCTGGCTCGCTTCTCACGTTATACAGGGGTGGGAGGAAGGGAGACGGAAACCTCCCCCCCCCCCAAACCAAACCTCTTTAAATTATAGCAAGGTAGCATTTCTCTGCTTTTCGACATCAGAAATGCAGACCTTGGCTCTCTCCCTCCCTTGCTCCCTTGCTCGTTGCTTTTGGCCTTATAGTTGCTTGGATTTGTTTCAGACTGACCAGACCTCTGTCCTGAGAGAGTCACGTTAACTGGACAGCTTCCGTGCCCGCTTACATGGAAGGAAGCCTCCTAACATAAAAGGGAGCTGACTTCGGAGTAAGATTAAAGGAAGGCCGTAAGGTTGGGTTTTGCAGAAATTGTCCGCACTCTCGCCCCTTTCGCCAGCACTCTAAGCGTGCGATCCAACATTCCAAATGTTGGAATCCATTTCCCATTCATGAGCTCTGTCCATCCCTGGATTCTAGAGTGTTTGACTCCATGTGTCAGAAAGGAGGGATCCCCGTCTCCCTTTCATGTACATTAAAATATCCCCTGTGTGGATTTTCTCTCTGCTGCAGAACCAAGTTTGCTATGATTTCAGCAACAAAAAAGGAGGCGGCTATATTTGTATATGTCCCGCGTGCACAACTAGAATCGTATCGATTTAATTCATTTCAGTTTCTCATTAGTGTAGTGATCCTCCGTATCTGGAATCATCTCGACTTTGAGTGCAGAAAGCAATCCTGGCAATAAACCTTGTAAACCAGCGAAGTCCTGGTTTAATTTCGACCCCGTAAAGACTCAGGCCTGGTCAGAACCCCTTCTCTGAAGCAGTGAAACTAGAAAGGTCGACTTTGAAGTCCTCCTTTTCATTCACGTTCTCCGACATAAGGGCTTCGTGGACCCGGCTGAGCGGGGACGTGAGTGGCAGCTTTCGTCCCGATCCTATGCACCTTCTACTCAGAAGCAAGGTTCACCGAGGGCAAGCGCGGGTAATGCTAGACTTAATGGTATTAAGGAGCTCCCCCCGCCCCATTAGATGGCAACGTGTATCATTTTCAGGTCAAAATGTGGGATGTCTTTGGGGTTCCTCTTGCTCATTCTCCTGCCTGCGGGTGGGATTTCCTGCGGCGACCGTTGTAGCTTTGAGATCTCTCTGGGCGGGAGTAAGCCCCATTCAGTTCCGTGGAACTTGCTTCTGAGCCGGCCCGCTGTTAAGTCTCTGGCCTTTGGGGCAGGAGAAGGAGAACGGCGAGCAACTTGGAACAGAAGCGAATCTCCCGCACCTGCCTCCCTGCGCGTCGGAGCAGAGAAGCGCAGCTTCCCATTAAACGCGATGCACCCGTAACCGGCGCGCCTGGGTGACGGATCTGCGCCTGTCCAGGTGTATATTGGGACATAGATCTGGAGAACACCGGCTGGTAAGGAGAGGCGAAGAGCGCTCTCTGTTATGATTAGGCTTTCTGGGCTGTTTTGCAGCTCATAAGGCACAATTAGATTGGAACCTGTAAAACAGACTGCGGGAGCAGGGGAAGAAAGGGGAAAAAGACGGAGAGCCGGCGAACGGAGACCTTTATGAAACTAATAAAGCATATTCTCCACCTGGGGGAAAGGACAGCTCTTTAGGCACAGCGTGCTAGCAACTAGAGAGGGGGGGGAAAGGCTGGGATCCATAAACCACGAAGCAAGAGAGCAGGCAGGGCAAGGCCGCCTTCTGGGAGCCTGTCTGAGGACGTTCCTTGGCCTTCTGCCCTACTAACCACACGCACCATTCCTCGGGAGTAAATCCCCTGGAACCCATTGGCACTTGATTCCGAGGAGACGCGCGTGGGGAATCGGGTCGCGTGGCTGCGATCTCTCAAGCCGGCTTCCTACTAGAAAAAGAAGGGACTTCCAAGCAAACTTCCGCGGCCTCTTTTGGACGAGCGTTACAGAGACTGGCAGGCAGCAGGCACATCATGCCGCTGCGGAGTCTCCAGGCCTTGGCCGAGAGGTCAACGGGGCCGGGGGCAGAGCAGCTTTAGGGGCGGTGAGAGCAGAGCGGGGCCCAAGCTTTTGTTCCTTCCAGCAGGAGAAAGCCTCTAGAGTCCCCGTCAAAGGGGAAGGGGCGCGTGCTGGGAACCTGACCTCAGAGGTTTGCGCAGCCCCAAGGAGGAGGAGGAGCATCACCCGGGAAATGCCCATCAACGCCTTGTCGGCTTCTCCTTGCATTCAATGCTCTAGTAATAATATATCCCACACCCTTTGCCTTCAACAATTACCTAAGTGGCAGAAATTCAGCAGGTGGAGCTTTTCCAGACACAGAGATGGAGTGATAGAAACAGTTCCACCTGTTTATTTTTTGCCTCTGGGTCATTACAAAGGAACTATGCTAGAAAAAAAAGTTGGCAGCCCTACTTGGATTCCTTAGCAGACACTTTGTGTCCTTCATCTCTGGGATGGTCACTCTGATATGCCAGCTCCCAGGCCTGAAGCATAGATATTTTTCAGGTGTGTGTGTGTACAGATTATAAATGTGTGTGTTACACACACTCCCGTTTCTGGCTTTAACCTCTATTATGTTGCACCTGGTGGATTGTAAGACTCTTGAGATCTGAAAGTTGGCCTGTTTGAGGCCTCCTTGAAGATTATTGAGAAAGGCAGGGGGCTTTCTGTGAAATCCCAGGAACATCTACTTGGAAGTAATTCCCACTGGATTCAGTGGGACTTACTGCTGGGCAAGGATTGCAACCTGAAAACATCTTCTTTGCAATTAACAGACAATAAGTACGCAAGACATATATATATGTATATAACTGAGCACAGCATTAAATAGTTCTGCAAAAAGTGTTTTAATTTGCTGACTGAGTATGTTGATTGAGTTTATCTGGAGAAGGGATTGAAAACTGTATATTTTTTTGGTATTGTCATATTATAAATGTTTACTGTTGTAAGCTACCTTGGCTGGGCACTGTCCAGAAAGGTAGATTAGATTTTTTAAAAAATGAAAACCACCACAAAAAATGCTGGTGCTTTTTTATGGACAACTTGCAATACTGTACATAGTCTTAATTTTTAAATGCACAATCTCTTCCTCCCTACCTTGAACACCTAGTGTCTACACAGGAGAATATGCCATAAAACTTGCTTAGAAAGGTTATAATCCATAATTTGGCCTACCAAGCATTTTGAGCTACCTGTCACCAGACTTTCATACACACAGCAAAGTAGGAAATATTTTGAGTCATTCAACTTATCATGCTTTTAACCGATTAACTAGGTAGGTCACTCTACAAGAGATGTCATTTTATCTCTCTACGCAATATGCAGCAATATTGAAAGAGCATTTTTAATGTAGAGTAGATAGGCTCCCAAACTCCAAAAATAAATCATGGCTATTATTTTATTCACTAGGAGGACCCCCTCCCCACAACAGAAAGGATTGTCCAGAGCAGGAAATGGCTTATAACAGTGTCCTGTTTGGCAGGTTTTTATTCTCTACTATTTTGCTTTATAGATTAAAATCCCATTTAAATAGCTATGGGTGCAATCCACTCCATACTGATTTGAAAGAGCTTGGACTGCCCAGAGTATTTTCAACCTGTTCTTATTAAGCCTTTTGGGTCATCATACCGATTAACTGACCGCTTCTAACCTCTGCAATCTGTTTGACATTAGCTTAGGTTGACATAATAATATTGTTGACATAATATATTCTGTGCTATTTATAGATGCCAGCCAATACAGCAGAGTAATATCTCCTTAAGCTTGCATCCCAGTGTTTAAACAGACTACTCAGGAAAGTTCAGGTCTTTTCCAGATCAAGGATTCTAGGACTGAAATACGTTGCACCCTTGCTTTGGAGTTAGTTCAATCAAAATGAGCAGGACTTACTTTTAAGTAAACATGAATAGGACTGGGCTGCCCCAATGAAGGGCTTCAGTCTTGTGGATATAGCATAAAGATGTATAGGTAAGAATAGGTCTAACACATGCAAAAGCATGTTTACTCAGAATAGGCTCCAAGGAGTTTCAGTGGGCCTTACTCCTGTACGGGATTTCAGCCTCAATCTGAATTGACTGCTCCTTAAACCACCCTTTAAAGGGAGTCCGGGAACCAGTGGTCCTCCAGAAACTGCTGGACTGCAACTCCCATCATCTCTGATCATTGACCATGCTGGCTGGGGCTGATGGGAGTTGAAGTTCAACAACACCTGGAGGCTGCAGGTTGCCCATCACTGCCCTTCTTATTTTGATAGCTCAAGTGCGGCACCCTCCCCCACCATTCCCAGTACATGATTATAGGTGAAACCATTCTTCTTTCTTTTCCTAGTGATTGTGAACATAGGCTGAAGAGTTAAATGTTGTTTCAAAACACTTAATTCAGAGTTAAGCTGTGCAGCTTCTGTTTGTGTTGCACCACTCATAAGACAGTGGCTGTGTTACCAGCAAGCCCAGGGTTCTTTCTGGTAACGCTGCCAAGAGATTTTTAAACCTGCTTCTATCAAAAACGATTGGAATATCTCCTTCCTTGTAATAAAAGCAAAGTGCTGAGCCAGATGTTGTAATAAGTCCGGTTGATGTGTGAGCAGGTAATATAGGCAGGAGTGACACTGTTAACAAAAAACATCTAATTAACAGTGACTTCATTTGATTGGGAGGATGAAAAAGCCTTTTTAAATCAATCCAGATTTACTGGCCTCGGCACAGCCAATTTATGACTCTGGAGGATGAACAGAGTCTGCTTTCCCTCAAGATGTCATCTGAGGGGGGAATAAGGGGCTAGGTGAAGTCATTTGGTTCGCCTGTGGAAACTCCAGGAGTCCTCCTGCTTTTGGGATTGAAGTCCGTGCTGCTTCTTCATTTTATTAGGAACAGGCCAAGCCCATCAATGAGGCTCTCCGGAATATCTTGAAGCAATTAGGCCCTCCCAATTAGCATACTTCTCCCGACCCCAAGAGCTTCTCCAGGTCCTTGCATTAGGCAGCTCTTTAAAGATGAAAAACTTGAACACAGCATGGACTTGAAGGGGTGAGACCACATTCTTCAACAAGCCTATCCCCAGTGGGAAGAAAACAGTTGTTGCGGATCATGGCTAAAACACCATTATCTCATCTGCCCCAACAATAGGATTTCCTCTAGGCCTTGAAAGGGGTCCCAAAACTATTGTTTATAAGTCTTTAAGGTCCTGGGGCGCCTTAAAGATTTATTCATTTATTTGGCTATTAGATTGTGATAGGCAAGGGAGGAATAGTTCGCTGAACACAGATAGCTTCTCTTATTGTGGTGTCATGATATGCAATTTTTAAAGGCATCCTGGAAACTTACTCAGGCTCAGTGACTAGCTGATCTTGTGAATGGCAAGTCCTGTATTTTAAGGCTAGGGGCGGGCGGGGGGCTCACAACAGTGAGTTTAGATACTCAATGATGAGGGAAATGCACTTTGCACATATTTAGAAGCATTCTTGTTTGTGACTGGTTTGGAGCCTTAGGGTGGATAGGTTCTGGAGATCGACCTCTATGAACACTGGTTGAGTTAAACCCTGCCTTGCAATTAAGACAGGGATTTGAACCCAAAGCTAAGTTCTGTGCACAGAGTCATAGGTAAGCCAGGGTAAGGATTGTAAGGCCAGCATTCAATGGCAGCTATATCCATGATGATACTGCTAGTCCAAGGGGACAAATATGCTCAGTTTTATGCACTAATCAAATTGCCTGCAACATATCTTGCAAACAGCATAGGGGTGTATGGGGGAGGAAGTGTGGATTTTAGGGACTCATTTTTGTGTTTCTGTTTTTCTCCTATGGAGCCCCTTGTCAGCAGACAGCATTTGCCTTCCCCCTCTTGCTCCCTGCAGTACTTAAGCTATTCCTGAAGAAATTAAGAAGAAGCTATATTTCCCCTTTGCTTTTCAAGGCAAGATCTATAATTATGCCACTGCTGAGGTAAGAGGAAAGGGAAAGGGGTAGGTTGGGAGAGTAAGGGAGGAAGGCTGAGGGGCTCAGAGAGCTTGCATTGCTTTCAAGTAAAAAAAAGGTAAAGGACCCCTGGGCGGTTAAGTCCAGTCAAAGGCGACTATGGGGTTGCGGCACTCTTCTCACTTTCAGGCTGAGGAAGCCAGCATTTGTCCACAGACAGATTTCTGGGTCATGTGGCCAGCATGACCAAACCGCTTCTGGCACAACAGGACACGGTGATGGAAACCAGAGAGTGCACGGAAACACTGTTTACCTTCCTGCCACAACGGTACCTATTTATTTACTTGCACTGGCATGCTTTCGAACTACTAGGTTGGCAGGAGCTGGGACAGAGCAACGGGAGCTCACCCTGTCGCAAGGATTCGAACCGCCAACCTTCCGATCGGCAAGCCCAAGAGGCTCAGTGGCTTAGACCACAGCGCCACCTGCGTCCCTGCATTATGCATTTCATAATGTAAGACACTCTTGGTTGATATTAGATGGGGTGGCTGTATGCTGGAATCAGATCACTTAAGGCTTTCATGCTAAAAACCAGTACCTTAACTTTTTATTGGCATGGTATAAAGTTTAGGCTTGGAAGGGTTAGAGAGCTTTCGGATCATGAGGAGCATTTGCTTTCCTCATGACCTTGTGGTGTGAGCTAGGCCACAGTTCTTCTTCGTTTTCAGATGGTAGCAGAGAGACTATTACTGGTCCCAAGTAAGATTGGGCAGGGATTTGATTCCAGGTTCAGAATCTTACTTGTCCGTGCCTATGGAACCTTTTAGGTCACATTGCATAAAAGGTCTCAGCTTGTGTAGAACTGTTCTGGAAACTTGTCTCTCTCCCAACGGGGTTAGGTTGGTGGGTCACCAGCAGCATAATGATAGTGTTGCTGTTCCAGTATCACAGGCTTCCTCAAACTTGCCCCCCCCTGATGTTTTTGGCCTACAACTCCCGTGATCCCTAGCTAGCAGGACCAGTGGTCAGGGATGATGGGAATTGTAGTCTCAAAACATCTGGAGGGCTGAGTTTGAGAAAGCCTCCAGTATTAGCTCTGCATTCCTACTGTGTCCAAGGCAGAATTCAAGGTCAATGTTTTTAAGTTAGCCCTAAGTGACTTGGATCCACTATGCCACCGCACAGTGGAGGCTGCTTCTATTAGGTTGCATGAAGCACTGCCCAACCAGCCTCAATCTGTCTTCCTGTTGACCTATCTTCTTATTTACAATCAATCCAGGGGATAGCACGGCCTATCAGTGTCCTCCTCCTTGGTCTCAGTGTTGCAAGAGGAGCCAACACTCAGCGGAGAGGAGGATGAGGACTAGAGTAGAACTTGTTTGCTCTGTTTGTTTGCTCTGGCTCTGATTCCACATACTGTTTGATCTCCCCCCCCCCCTCTGCACTGCCAGTCTGAATGAGCACCAGCCACCACAATATGTTCTGTCAACTAAGCAGAGGCGGATTTAGGGCAATGCAACAGGTTTTACTGCACTGGGCGCTGAGTCTAGGGGGTGCCGCAGGGTGTCCCAACTATGAAAGTTGAACAAAATGGAAGGCAAGGGGCAGGGGCTGCCAAGTGTTGGCCTCACACAGGGAGCCACTGAAATTTGAAAGGCCAATCCCTGAAGTAAGGCTGCAATCTAGGCCCCATTAAACTCAATGGGACTTACCTCTAAGTAGACCTGAGATAGTATTAACTAGGAGTGTCTCAGACTAGACCTATTGAAATTAATGGATCATAGCTTCTGTTTACAAATTTCACTGGGTCTACTCTGAGTAACACTTAGTTGAATACCACTCATAAAAAACAGGATTTGCACCGTAAGAGCTCCATCTTACTGACAGTCTCCGTGCCCAGTTAGAACATCACATGCACACAGACAGAAGGCTATTTAGATCTACCAAAGCTTAGGCATTTTTTTGTTTGTCTGGCTTTTGGTGATATATATTATGCTGGCTGGGATCGGGTTTTAATCTGCTTTTTAAAGTGTTTGTTTGATGTGTAAGGAAAATATTTTTTCAAAAATGATTATTTCTGCCACAGTGCAATATTGCTGCTTAGAGTGCATTGAAGGGTAAAAAGGTGGAGGAGGTTACTAATAAGAGCAAGAATGAGGTGGTAGCAGCTTTATGCTACATTTAACATTAAGCTTTGTCAGAAAGTGGCATTATTTTCCATTGTGTTATACATGAGAGCTTAATCATTAGTGGGAAATGTTTGGCTCAGACTGAGTTATGAGCTCACAGAAGTATGCTACTAGGAAGTATGTGCCACTGAACTTAATGGGACTTACATCAGAGTAAATATGTATAGAATTGTGCTGTCAGCGCTCACTTTCTCTCCCCCACCCTGTCCCTCTCTCAAATATAAATATAGATGGCTTTATGAGCTATAATAAATGAGAGTAAACTTCGGGAATTTAGGAACAGGATAGAAATTTGAACTAAGGGACTAGCCTTGAAGCTAGCCTTTGAATCCTAGAAATGGTTCTGCTCCAGATCATGTGAAATGATAGGTTAAAAAAAGAGAACGTCCTTGGACATAATATGGAGTGCACTTTGCTCACTAGAAAGCTGCTGTAAACAGCCCCCTTCACACACATTTGGGAGAAACTTCCAGATGGGTGTGAATTGATGTGAGTTCTGAGCCCTATCAGGTGAGGTCTTCTTTCTTTCTTTTTCTTATATAAGGAAAGAAAGAAAAGAAAATAAGACCTGACCATGAAGCGCTTTGGTTCACAGGCTGGATATGTGATAAGAGCTCTAACTGACAGAGGAAGTTAAGAGACAGGCTTTGCTTCTATTTGCTATTCCAGTGGTGAATTATTCACTGTCTTTTGACCCTTGCAGTTTCCTTCTCTGTGTGACCTCCCCTCCTTTCCCAAGCAGTGTCTGCTAGAAGAGATCTGCCTCCTGGATGTTTTGACAGATACTGGATCAGATACTGAAGGGGCCTTTTCTATGCTTAGCATAGCGTGAAGTCCATCACACTCCCCTCCTCACACTGGGATATATTTTCCCCTACTTTGCCCTCCCTAGGGAAGCGGACATTCACACCAGCTTTGCACCCAAACCAGCCAAGCCTCTTGAGACAAAGTGTTTGTTTGAACACTAATGGATTTTAGTTTGCTTCAGACTTTCAATCTCAAGAGAAGTTATAGCTCAGTGCATTGTTTTGGCGTAGACCACGGAAAGAGCATTGTTTGTCCTACTTAAATATACAGGACGCAGGAGAGAGGCCTTTCAAGTTCTCTCTGAAAAATAATGGGCATACTTGCAAGGACTGAACTTATACTAGGTGGGGCTTTTGAGCAGACAGACAAAGGTCAAGGAGGAGTGTAGCTAACACATCACTACAGGGAGGGCGAAGTGGATTATGGTTCCTTATTACATTACCACTACAGCTGGCTGTTGTCAAACAAAAGCTTCTGACCACAACCAATTATTTACCTAATCTAGAGAAGCTCCATTGACTTCGGTAGGAAAGTGTGAGTTTTGAGTGCCTGCCTTTCTCTGTCAGAACTTTCCAGTAATACCAGAAGTCTCCAGAAGAGAAGAGAAGAGAAGAGAAGAGAAGAGAAGAGAAGAGAAGGGCCTTGGAGCCACCATCGTTGTATAGGTGACAGAGCATGTTCCAGGGACAATTTGCTTCATTCTTGCAGTACTTTGTCACCAAGTGGAGACACTTACGGTATGTCATTCACTCTTGGATGCAGCCATTAAAGGTCTGGGGCCTCAGCTGCTACTACATTTGACCATTACCTCCTTTTATTGCAAAGATACCAAATTATTAAGTAGCATTAATGCAGTTATTTCCCCTCTTTTATTTATTTTACAAGATTCATATTCCAGCTTAATTAACAAGAATCTCTAAGTGGTTCACATAAAAAATATCCATAAAAATATCAATAAACTCAAATGTTAAAAACATATTGAAATTAAAATTCATCAAAATATAATAAAGTCATTAGTTTTCAAACAAACACACACTAAAATCACATGTTGAAATTATGTGTCTGGGCAGGCTTGCTAAAACAAAAATGTTCTTAGCAGGGACAGGAAACAGTGAAGGCGGCTGCCTAATTTTAGTGGGCAGGTGTTACACAGGCAAAAATAATCAGGTCCCTGCCTCCCAGGAGCTTACATTAACAAATAATTAATGGAGGAAACAACAGAGGGAGGGAAGCAAGAGACAAAATTAGGAAGAATGTGGGCAAATGGTATTAAGCTTGGTTAAGATGCAAGTAAATCCTAGGTGAATTAACTTGGGAAGAAAGCCTTATAGCACATCCTTACTTCTGAGTTAACATGCACAGTATCAGACTGCAAAACACAAACAATGGCATTTGACAGGATTACAGGCAGCCTAGTGATTGCAGCTAGGGAAAGAGATGTGGTAAATGGAACAATTCTCCCATGCATTCTCATAATGTATCTGGCCACATGCCTCTTTCTTTTTCATGTTTAATAGTTTGAAACTGTATGTATTCTAGAGGCAATGTCATTCTGTATGTAAAAAAGACACAGAGTCAAACAAAGGGGCAGATTCCACCATAGAATCACTATGGTTGGCAATATGACCCCACAAAAATCAGCTTATTGGAGATGTAAGATTGCCTTCCTGAACAAAATACTCAAGGTGATCTTGAGATGGAGGATCAGTTCAGGAAGGTATCCAAAGAAGAATGTGTTGCATTAACAGGTGACTGATTATACATACATTAGGTAAATGCATGTTCTAGTTCACAACAAAGAGGTAATCACCCAGAGCACTTGGTGTCGGTCATGGAACCAACTAGAGAGGTGGTGACTTTTAAGTGGCATCCAGGACCTGGTGTGAGGCATGTTATTGAACGAACTGGAAATAATGGTCAAATTCAGTTAATATGTAAGTGGAGAAAGGCCAAGAATGTCCAACATAGCTTGGACATCAAAAGAGGAAATTTCTGAAAAAGGAGGAGGTGACTAGTGGAAAAGTTGAACAAGGAAGCCAAATCAGTCAAATTTCTTCAGAACACTTGAGAGAAACATTCAAAACTGCCGTAAATGGATGCTCAGTTAAAACATATACTGCAGATCAGGAAAGGTACCATCAAGTCCAACAGAACACCTGTGTGGTTAATGAGCAGAAGCTCACTAGAGACCCTGCAGTGCCCCCTGGGCTTGGCGCACATTGCAGCAGATTCACAGCCTGATTTACAGATGACAACAAATTATTTGAGGTTGTAAAAGCAAAAAGCATTTGTGAAGATCTCCAAAAGGAGATTGCCAAACTGGGTGAGTGGGTGATAGAATGGCAAATGTGATTAAATTTATGTATACACATTAGGCTAATAATTAATAATGATTATAATAAGACTGATAACTCTTAACTTCACATATACATGGATGAGGGCTGAGCTGGCAGTGACTGACCAGGAAAGGGATCTTGAGGTCATGGTGAAGTATGAAGCTGCAGCTGTGAAAAAGGCAAATTCCATGTTGGTGATCATTAGGAAAGCGATCAAAAATAAAAGTACCAGTATGCATTTATTATACAAAGTTATGGTGTGACCCATGCATGGAATACTGCATAGAGTTCTGGATGCTGCACCTCAAATATGGCATGGGAAAAGGAACAGCAAAGAAGCAAAGTTATCAGTGCAGAGTGACTTCTCTATGAGGCAAGGGCTTTATTGTACAGGAAAAAGACAACTAATATGGGCAGGGAGAATAGAAAGTAGACAGAGATGTTTTTCTTCTTTCTCATAAATATGAGAACTCGGGGCCATGCAATTAAGCTGAATGGTGGGACATACAGAACTTTCCCCTCACACATGGTGTAATTAAAGTATGGAGCTTGCTACCACAAAATATGAAAGCAACCATTAATTTAGGTAAAGGGTAAAGGGACCGTTAGGTCCAGTCGTGGCCAACTCTGGGGTTGCGGCGCTCATCTCGCTTTATTGGCCGAGGGAGCCGGCGTACAACTTCCGGGTCATGTGGCCAGCATGACTAAGCCGCTTCTGGTGAACCAGAGCAGCGCACAGAAACGCCGTTTACCTTCCTGCTGGAGCAGTACCTATTTATCTACTTGCACTTTGATGTGCTTTCGAACTGCTAGGTTGGCAGGAGCAGGGACTGAGCAATGGGAGCTCACCCCGTCGCAGGGATTCGAACCGCCGACCTTCTGATCAGCAAGTCCTAGGCTCTGTGGTTTAACCCACAGCGCCACCCACGTCCCCAACCACTACTTTAGGTAGCTGTAAAGGGGGATTGAACAAATCCATTGATTTCAAGCTTCTCAGTGGCTCCTATTCATGATGTTATCTCCAGGATTAGAGGCAGTATACCCCTGAGTTACCAGTTACCAGGGAACAACACTGGGAGAGGGCTATTACTCTCATGTCTTGCTTCCCACAGGCCTTCAGTTGACCATTGTGAAAACAAGATGCTGGACTTGGCAAATCCCTGGTCTGATCCAGTAGGGCTCTTGTAATGTAGATAATCTAATTTCAGGATTTGTCACTTCCCCCTGAACAGAAATGTGGATTTTACTGGAAGATATGTCTAGCTTTGGGTTACAGATGAAACTTGTGGCTTCTGGAGCTAGACACTGAGTCCTGTGAAGAAAGCTAGTGTTGTATAAAAAGAAAGGCACCTTTGCTTGGCTTATGCTTTCCTGGAAAATAGCATTCAGCTCTGTGAACTGTTTCTGGCTAATTCCTCTTGGAAGTGCAACTCAGCTTGTACTGAAGACTAAGTGGGTTTGCGCAGGAGAAAGTAAAGAGAGAGAGGAACCTCTAAACCTCCTAGACTATCCTTTAACCTGTGATGAGCTTTCCTTGGGTGCTAGACTGATGCTCTCAGGGCTGTTTTCTTAATTCTCTTACTTCTCCTTCTTCCTCTTCACCTTTGAGGAGGAGACATATTTGTTTGTTACTCTTGCTGAAATCGAAGAGCTGGCATGAGTCTTTGTATTTCTACCATAGTTAGACAGATCAAAAACTTTCCTATCAAGTATGTTCTTCCTTTGCTTTCCTAAACTCAGAGTCACAGTTTATAACCAAGGGTAAAGCAGAAATTCAAGCACTTAGCTCGGCTTTCAAGCTGTGTGTTAAATCTGCACACATATTCCAAGAATTCCAGAGGGGTGATGTCTACTGCTGCTCAAGTGGTGAGAGAGATCAGACATCATCTTCATCATCACGACCTGAGGGCTCCTTGGCTGAGCCCTAGCACTGAAAACAGGTTCCTCCGCACAAATTCAGTCCTCACAGGGGATGTGGGTTGAATCCTCAAATTAAACTATCACATGGGGGTGGGGGATGACATATATCCTGTTGCGAAGTCAATGTTAAAATATGAAAGGTTCTGATCTATGTCTGCATAGTGTTGGACACCCAACACTAACTTCAGTGGATTTCAGGTCTGGGGAATTACTAAAGAACTCAGCAGCTGAGACCCTACCTGCCTTCTCCAGAACCAGCAGGATTGGACCCTTACTAGAAAAAGCCCTCAGCCTACTGTGTTTTTGTTCTGCTCCATGAAGGACCCAATCCTGCCTATTAGGCGATACAGCAGGGATCACTTTGTCAATCCTGTCCGCGTGAGGCCCCGCCTGTAGGGATTGCTTTCCCACTCTTGCAGATCAGTTCTCCTATCCCCCTCAGCAACGCATCAATCCCTCTTTGCTTGTTATGCGAGGAGTGTGAAATAACAAGCCACGGAGGGCTTAGAGAGGCACTTTCAGAGGGGGTGGGCCCTGGTTTCCCCACAGCTCGGAGCAACGTCTGGTTCCTAGAAGGGGTCGCTTTCAAATTCACCAGCAAAGCGATAAGAAGAAGAAAAGGTGGGTCTGCAAAATGGAAGAACCAGGCGTCCCAGCGGCACGTGTTTATCTGCAGCATCGGACGTCGCTTGCATGTTGGAAGGAGCCGCAGGACTCTGGGATGCTTCTGCCCCAGTCCCTCCGCAGCCCCAGAGGCGGAGCTGCCCGATTGAAACGGGGCTAGCTGTAAAGGGGTTGCTTTGGTGACTAGGCCACTTGTTTGTGCTCCTTCGAAGCGGGAGGGCTGCAGAAGAAGAAGCAGCTCCACCGGTTCAGGCGGGCGAGTAGTCCCGACGTGGCCTCCTACTGCAAGAGCCACCCACTTTGAATCCTGCAGCTCCGATTGTGGGTTCAGAACAGCAGCAGATGCTCCTCTCTCTTTCAGCCCCTTGAACAGGCCTTAGCTGACTCCTCCAGCCTCTGTGACAGCAAAACTCTTCGGCTGTTTTTAATCTCTGCTGCCCCATTAAAGCTGGGTGGATTCTGGCCTCTTGCACGCTGTTGATGGTGGAGACAGCACGCAAAGAAAGGCCCCGATTCTGAGTCAGCCCAGTGGAGTTCTTATGGGGCGCTCTCCAGTACATATCTGAAGAAGGATTGGACGCAATGTAAAGATCGCTTACAGAGCAATCCTATGCACGTATATTCCGAAGAAAGTCCCATTGAGTTAGGTGGGAACTTACTGCATATAGGACTGCAGTCAAAGGCTTACCCGGGAGTAAAGCCCGACTGAGTTCAACGGGACTTTCCTTCTGAGCAGACGTGCAGAGGATCCTGCTTGTTAATACGGATTAGTGATCTTTTAGCCATCCTGAGCGCTCTCCGATAGCCGGCTGTGAGTGAAAGGAGATAGCCCCCCCCCCTTTTCGGTGCACACTTATTTGTGGATCTGGAATTCTAATCTAAAACCAGCGACAGTGAGTGCAGATGGTGGCGGGGCAGTTAACTCCGGATTGATTAATGTGATGCGGAGCAGAAGGGTGTGATCTTGTGGATGTGGCGTTGAAACAGCAACTGCTCGAGGCCTCAGGTGGCGAAGAGTCTGTTCAGATGCTGAGGATGCAGACCGGGTGGGTTGGGTTGGGAACACTTGGGAAATATAGTCATTCGCCCATTGGTTTCTCAGCAGTCGGGGAAGGGGTAAAAAAAAAAAATCTTTATAGGGTGAAACAGGCAATCAAGTGAAATCTATCCTCTTTAAATAAACGGATTCCTCTGTATTTTCCCAGTGTTGGTGAAAGTTGTTGTCTCTGACATTCCCCTGGGCTTTTCCCTCTGCACTCTGATTTGGTGTATAAAAGCAGTCCTGAATGATGGATTACTGTGTCATTGCAGCCTGCGAAGGATTAATTTGTTTCATTGATTTCTCTTTAGGCAGATTGCCAGAATCCGCCGCTTCCCACCTTTCCCCGAGACTTCCAGCAGTAATAGACAGTAATAGCCTAAGACAAATCAGCCAGTTTTGTGTAAAAATAGAAAACGCAGAACCCCTTTACGCTGAGCTCTCTCCGGGAGAAGTTGGTCGCCTGCGCCTCTGTGCTCAGAAAGTAAACGGGTCTGTGAATATCTTAAAAGAGGATCTTTAACAACAAGGGGGGCGGGAAGGGAATATTGAATTGGAATGACTGGCAGTTCTGTGCTCCGGCTCCACCCCGGAGTCTCCTGCTAGTGCTGGTCTCTTTGCCAATGTTGGCAGTCGAATCATAGAATTGCAGAGTGGAAAGGTACCATAAGGGTCATCTAGTCCAACCCCCTGCAATGCAGGAATAAAGACGAGTAACTCGGAGCATGTGCAGAATGCCTTTTTCTTTCGTCGCACTTGGGGCTTGCAGGTCAGCTTCTGTGTGGGAAAGACCCCCTTTAAGAAATACGGGTGTGAAACGCAACCATTTCCATCCATGAGATTAGCCACTGATGTCAATGAGTGGCGTCTGCTTTGGAGGCAACAGTTCTTAAGAAGGGCGAGTAGCAACAGCGCCCGACGCAGCCGCCCCAGCCCTTACTGGCCCATAATGAGAAGCCATTGGAAAACCATTAAAGGGCATTTCGTGGCTGCTCAACCCCGGTTCAGTCCAATAGAAGAAAACAAGGCAAAGCAAGAGTTCATTCTTTTTATATTAGGCGTCGGCCTATAGCTAATCTGTTATCGATCTGTCTCTCCGTATGTCCGTCTGCGATATTGCCAAGACACGTCAGGCTTCAGAGTCCCCTCCCGAGTGCAATGTAGGGAGGAAACCGTCTGATCAATTTGTCTGGAAGCGTTAAGAGGGTCATTTGATTGGAAAAACCAAAGACACTCGAGCTAGACGGGCAGATGGGGAATCATGCCACGTTCAGACATAGAGAAAAGTCACGCCCATTGTTACATAAGGAGATCGCCAGAGTATGTGCGCTTGCAGACTTGAGTCAAGTTGCGATCCTATGCGTGCTCTTACATAGGAGTAGGCCCCATCGAACTCACTGGGGCTTACTTCTAAGTAGACCAGCACAGGATTGCACCTCATAAGACTAAATACTTCGGCTTAAGTGAGCTATTAATATGACTAATAATTTTACTCTTGGATGGAGTGAGCCAGGGTTCCAAATTCGCATCAGCACCTTTGATCTATTTGGAAACAATGTGCTTTTTTCCCCCTTTCCAAAAAAAAGAGCAGTTGCTGAGCAAATAATACTCAACTACAACAACCAACTTACTGCGTTTGGGAGAGGCAGAAGTGATTTGTTTCCGGAGCTGGAAACTGTTCTGATTTAGTGATATCAACTTTTATTTACGGGTAATGAGTAAACTGTCAATCAGTTAAAGGCTTATTTTTTTAAAAGGTTGATGAGCTGTCTGGCTTTCAACTTATACGTCGATGAATTGACCGGCTGCCTAGATTTGGAAGTCGGTTAAGATAGGCAACCGAGGAGGTTAGATTTATGATTGAGAAAGAACCACGTATTGCCAGGATGGAGAAGCTGCCCCGCCCCGCAAGATGTTGCTGGACTATAGCTGGTATCATCCCTAACCATTGGTCATGCTGGCTAGGGCTGATGGGGATTGGAGCCTATCATCACCTGGAGGGCCACAGTTTCCCCATTCCTGAAACATTCGGCTGTTGCCAATAGACCTATCGGCTCCGAGCAATTTTCTTCCTTTTCTAATCTAAATCAAACTCGGGAAACCAGATTCCCCCGATGCCGACGTAGTTAAAAAAAAGCTATGGTTAAAACCAGTTTAAACCATGGTTAAAGCCAGTGCCCAGCCCAGGCCTACAAGTTCCTGAAGTTCAGTCTCGGCGTGACGCCGACGTGGACTGTGAGTCAGCTTGTTAAGTTTACCAGCCGGGGGAAGAAACCAGCATCGCTTGAAGTCGCGTCGGAGGAGAAGCCTTTAGATCTCTCTGGGATATGCCTCTGAATGTGAGCTGGCCAATCGCTGCTTTCCTCTGGCGGAACTCTGATTCTACCCCAGGAGCGTCTTCCAGATTCTCATGGGACGCCGGAGCAGCCCAGAGCCATCGTGGGAGGTTTGTGTTCAGTTCCAAAGAAACATTAGTTTTGTTAAGTCGGCGGAAAGAAAGCCCTTTGACAAGATCCAGTCGCCTTGAAGAAGACCCTGATAACGCTTCTGTGAAAACCATCCCTTGATGTCCAACTTTGAGAGCGCTGTCTTTAATTAATTACTTGACCATTGAAAATGTGCTCAGTGCGGCAGAATTTATTATTGTGGCTCTTGCAACAATTCTGGTATTATTTCCATTTTATACACAGGAAAAACACAGTCTTATGGCAGAGGTGGGGCTTGAAACAGGGAGGGGAGCCTATGGCCCCTTTCAGTGTTACTAGACAACTCCCATGGTAGCATGTTGACCATGCTTACAGGAGCTGATGGAAGTTGGGGTCCAGAAAGATCTGGTTGGAGCCACCAGCTTCCCTATCTAGGGAGAGAGCTTAATTCCCTATCTAGGGAGTAAGTTGGACATACTTCTGAGTAAACATGCTTAGGATCACTCTGGAACCGTGCAATCCTATGCACATTTACTTGGGAGTAAGTCAGTGTGTTCAGTGAGCCTAAGTTCCTAGTAAGTGTGTTTTGGGTTGCAAACTGAGTCTTCCAGATCTAAAGGAAGATGGACCAAAATAGCAAGCGATTGAGTTCTGCAGAACTCTTCATCAGGCTGGCTGCTGAGCAAAAGTGTGTGTGGTAGGGATGAACAGAAAGCTGGTATAAAGATAAAGCCATAAAGTCTGTAGCTGCAGCAGTCTAAGATGGAGTCCTGGAGGGATTTTTTCATAGTGAATTTGATTAGCATATGCTAGGTGCTAATAGATTTCAGGTGCGATTCTGGGACTATGAAACACTTATATGTCTCAACAGGGCTCCCTATGATTTTTGTATGTTCCAGATCTGGAATTGCCACCATTTTTGTCCCTTGGCAATGACCATATGCTCTTAACAGCAGCACCAGAGGCAGAAATTCAACAGATGTAGAATGGGAGATATGCTGGTGGAAAAGCCATATCTGTTTATTTTCTGCCTATTCAGCTAATTTTTGTGCACCCAGCTAATTTTCTTTCAACTGAAGCACACTAGTTAGCCATATGAAGTAGCCCTTCACCCTGTTATGAATATCTGCAGGTTCTCTTGCATAAGTCCTATTGAAAGGCCTGGGGTTAGGGAACTGTGCAAAATCTAATACACAGTGGAAATTGCTTCTTCTGAGTAAACATGCATTGGACCAGGCTACACATATAAAGTACATTTGTTGAATATGTGGCTTGAGAAATCCTGTTATGAAACTGTTCTGTAAGATTTGCCACAACATGCTTAGCTGTCCAGTTATCTATGCAACAGAAAATACAAAAGTGGGACAAAGGAGTCCCAGTGAACTCCACAACTAGCTCAGTGATCAGTGGAAGAAAGTGCTTTGCGGACTGAGGCAAATGATTGCAATTCTGTATATTTTTATCTGGAGGTAAACCCTATTGAATTCTATAGGGTTTACTTCTGAGTAAATATGCATGGTAAATCATGTATTTCATAGATCTGTTTCTATGCACAAATTCAGAAAAATACACATTGGCAGTTGACGCATGTCATCTTTGTCACGATAAACAAAACTGTGTGTACAGGAACAAAAATACCACTCTTTGAACATGCATGAAACATAGTATTGTGATATTAATTGCATTGACTCAACCTTCCAGAACCAAACTCAACACTGTGCAAGGCCATTAGCACACAAAAGATGAGCAAAACAAAACAAAACAAAACAAACCACACACACACACACACACACACACACACAGAGAGAGAGAGAGAGAGAGAGAGAGAGAGAGAGACTGGAGGTGCAAATCTAATGCATACTTTTATAGGAATCAGACCTATTAAATTTTGTGGGACTTCCAAGTAAACATGCATAGCTTGAATTTGCACAGGAAATATGTGCAAGCAAGAAAGATATCTATTTGTTACTCTTTAACGGGCTTCTTGAAACCACTTCACTGTTACTTAGAAGCCTGCAGTATTCTTCAACCAACAGAAGGCTTTCTAAGGCAAGACTTCAACTTGTCTTGTCGGTCTTCAGTAATTAGTAGCCAAGACTCAATATAATAATGCACAACACTGATGAAATAAACCACTTCTAAAATGGCTCCCACTTGGGACCACTTTATGGTCACGTTTGTTAATTCCTCAAATGTTTTATTATCCCTCTTCCACTCGGCATGGCAAATCAGAGCCCAAACAGTCAATGTATCCTCCCGGCCCTTTCTTGTTCTTTTGCCACCTACAAAAAGCAGTAAGATGAATTTCAGTGAAATCCAAATCTGAAACTCTAAAACAAGGCTGCAGCCTTTCATCCCTACAGAACCGGAGAGAAACAAGAGCCAGCTAGATTAGCAAACATTAACCCCTCGAACAGGAGTGCACGCCTATTGAAGTGACAGATGTACGCTCCTCACAGATTTACTTACTGTACCTTTTAACACTCATCAGTTCCAAGAGCTGCGTATAATAGCAACTTTATCCTTGTCAGGAAAAGGCTTAATGTTACATTACAATGTGTTTTCTCAAATTTATATTGTTTGAAAACTTAATTCTCAGTTATTGTATTCAAAGTGCACATGAGATTAACACTTAGCACCAGATCTAATATAGCATTGGGCAAGACCACCCACAGTATTTCCAGCTGTGACCTTAGGATCAGTTTGTCTTTGGGCAAAATTGAGCCCCCCCCCCCGCTCATGCCAGTGCTGGATTTACACATAGTTAAAGCTTAGTTGCTGCCCACATGGTGTCCTATAGGTTTCTTAGTACTTGTACATTATTAACATCTTTATTCTCATGATCTATGGGAAATTTGCCTTTTATCTGAATAAGCCTTTCTTAAGGAGCCGGACCCCTAGAAATGACATTTTTTTTGAAGTTGCATGTATGAAACTCTTAGTGACTAAAATAAAGCAAAGTATTTTTTAAATAAAAAAAAATTATATATATTTTTTGGCAGGGGGGATCTGATAAAAGATATTTCAGCTTTCAAAACAAATTCATATCTCTTTTGCATCAGCTGAAGCCCTGTGTAGCCCTACTGGGAACATTTAAAAAAGAAAGGCAATTCTATTTTCAGATGAAGTTGTATTTAAGTAAATGAATTAAGGCATTGCTTTACTTTTTATGTGAACATAAAGAGTCTCTTGAAAGGCCTGTTGATCCCTTGACCACTAATAAAGACAGATCCATGATGTGCAGTGAAAATACTGGCTCTATTGAACCAAACTGAGCAACCTAACCCCAGGCATGGATGAGCTTGTAGAACAGACACAGACCAGTGACCAGCATGTACTTGAATCAGGCATGACTGTGGGAAATACATTGTACTCAAAGCCAAGTGGGGAGACTGATGATAAGGCTACTTCAATAGTTTTGCTGACTGTGATAGGCCCACAGGGGCATCCTTGGTAAGTTATAGATGGCAAAGCTTTCCCTTGTGGGCTTTGGTACACTCTGGTATTGTTCTCAAAGGGCATTTGGAAACTTTTCCTGTGCAAATTCCATTGAAATGAAAGGGACTGTCATGTGAGCAGAAATGTTAAATTTCAATCAGTTTGCTGAGGAAATGGTTTCTTGGGGTGCCTGTGCCCTTGGCCAGACATGGTCCATGGTTTCCATTTTTATGTTAAAAGGGCTGTAAAAGAAACTTGTGAAACCAACTTTTATGAATATATTACTCCACGGCATTTCCAGTTACATTAGGACTCTTAATCTAGAAGAAAGTTTTTCCCCAATTCACTTCTAGGCTTGAATATATTCCAAGAGCATAACCAGAACTAAGTTAAAAAGGTTGTGGTTGCCACAGAAACTCCACTCACAATTGCATAAGGTCCTCAGATTATGGCAGCAACCTGCTCCAATGTAGATAAGATGATTCTTGAGGAGAGGGACTAATATCAGTGCCCCTCCTGTTCTTGGAAATCTAGCACTTGACGCTCACAAGAACTGTAGGTGAATGTTTCAGAACAACCATAACCCTAGTTCCCCAAAAGGTGTGAGTTCACCAGAGAGACAGGCATTCCTAAGTACAGAGAAAACAAATTTAGTTGGTATCTTGCCTTTGCCAGCTGTCAGAAGTAGGCATTCTAGGTAGATCTGTACGAAGTTGCTTCCAAAGTTTGTGGAATCGTTAATTCCTTCTCTGCAAATTATTCTGATTTCAGTTTTCCCTGCAATGATTTATAACAACAAGACGAACAGCAGCATATTAGTTTTACTGTGTTGTGAAAAGCCAATAGCCTGATGGGTCTTAATTATTATTATTTTTTTGCAGTACAGTATGTTTTATTATTCACCTAGAAGTTTAATGAGCTTGATTTACAAGAGGAAGGGGTGTTCAACTGGCTAATACACAAACACTTCTGAAGGATATTTAGAGTCTCTTGCCCAACCATTAACCTCTGCTGTTGCAGGGCTTTTATACTAATGACAGTAAAATCCATTTCCCTGTTCTTTGTGTTGTTATACCAAAGATTAAAGTGATGTTATTTGCCAAAGCAAGCAAAGTCCACCAGTTTAGTTAAAAACTAGAATTCTTAATGAACAATAATTTTCTACTAATCCAAAGGCAGATGTGCACCATGAGGGGGAGAAAAAGAGGAAATGTTTAGTATTGTTATAGGCATCTGTTTTATTAAAAATGCATTTGACAGGGTGCTAAAAAGTTACTCTGTGAATGCTTTGTTCTGTACGGTCCCTTTTGTTCCATGTGGTGGGATCTTGCAAATGTATATTCTTATGTTTGACCAAGCTATCAGAATTAGTTATATCCAATTGTCTCTGTAACTCTACACTGCATTAAACATCTTAGCAGCTTTTTAGTTTTACTACATTTCAGGGTATTGAGAAAATTGCTACCATTAAGAAAAGTGGCTCTGAGGAGTCTGGAGGACTTCAGGAATGTTAATGTGTTGTAGAGACTTAAACATGTTAGTTCCAATTTGTTCCAGATAGATAGGAAAGCAACCCATCTGATTGCAGTTTGGTAACCTTTGCATGAGTTCATCCATTACATTTCCTAGCTGTATTTTCATGGGGTTTCTTGCATAAAGGAGGCGAACAGATTTTGATAGTTTGGGATTCAGCTAGCAGCCTGAATTTAAGCTGTCTCCCTCGCGATGTGCATAAATGTTAAATATGAGGCTGCAATCCTATACTCAAGTACCTGGGAGTAAGTCTCATTTCACTCAATGGGACTTATTTCTGAGTAATCATGTGTAGGCGTGCACTGATAATATGCTTATATGTCAATTCTAAAGACATTTATGTGAAAGCAACATTTCAATAGAACTTTACTTCAAAGTGCTTAGAATCGTAGTAGCTACGATCATGACTAACACTTCATGTTAAACGCATTTACTTGGGAGTACATCTCATTGATTTTGATGGTATATACTTGTAAGTAAATGGAGTCAATAAGGCACATAAATAAATTATTATTTTTATTCCTTTTTGGTAAAATGAATCACAGACCTCAATGGGAACTGTGAGCCTGTTCAAAGCATGCATCAAAGAATGCAATGACTTAAATCCATGATAAATCAATTTTCAAACTTGTGCAATATTGTATGTATAGTCCTTGCCAATATACTGTGACATAGGGCTACAGATTTTTCATGTTCTGTGTTCTTTTATTTTCCCTGTATTTACACACTAATCTTATGTTAACTGTAAAATGTCTAGGTTATCATCTAGGCACATTGTAAATATGAAAAATACTGTTTTTACTTACAGCCAACAGAAGTTTTAAAAGAATAAATAGTTCAGGGTGTTCTATGACAATTTATAGCAAACCAAATATCAATTAAAATCCACTAAAATAGAATTATTATTCAGAGCTCAATGAAGGATTATTATATTTTTTTGCTTTGTTTTATTCTTTGTCTGATGCATGCTCAATGTATTTGTCAATTTAATTCTTCATTAATATATCTATTGTGCTTCCTCAGCACAATGCTCACATTGGGCACATGCAGATTCCTATTATTATTATTGCTTGAAAAAAACTACTATATCAAAATGTGCTTTTTAGGTTTCCTTTTAACATGCAGCTGTAAATCACATACTTTTAAAAGTGATTCCGGTTTATAGAAGATGTGCAAAAACACTGACAATAATATAGTATATTTTGTAAATGAATTTGAAGAAGTCTAAATATATATTTTAAATTAAATTAACTGTACATTCTAAATATCCCCCTCATTAGATCTCTCTGGAGAGAGAATTCTTATTCTGCGCTGAAATGTGATCTCACATTGGTGCATTGTTAGTGCCACATTTCACATACAAGTTCTGGAGCTGGTAGCATTTCATTGCAGGAGGAAGTTAACCATCATATTTTGGATCAATTTTATGGGAATTTACAATTAGTTTTAATAGGAAGTTTGTTTCACACACATGGATTGCTGAAAGAAGGCTGATAAAGCAACTGCAGACTTTACGGTCCTCCTGTCTAAAAGAACAGCAATGCCACTGTAGAAATATATCATTGAATATGTCAGTCATGTCCTTTTAAAAGCTTTTTTTAAAAAAAGGCAAGGCAAGGAGAAAAAGACTTCAGACTCGCAACATCCATTGCAGGAAGTGTAAAAATGTTATAGGGGACCAATCTACCTTAACCATATCTGATTATATTTGGATCAGTTATGTTTGGTTCAAACACCAGCATACCTAAGTCATTATGAAAGTATTGTACAATAAATGTAAAATGGGGGGGGGGGGAGTCTGGATGCTACTGAACATGGCAAACAGCATGTCCAAAAATTTATTACGTAATAAATAAATTTCTGTGAAGGTCTTCCTGTGTAGTGGCAGGAGTCTGTTTTATTTTATTCTTATATGAAAAGAAATCAAATGAATGCAAAATGTATTTAGGGAGACATGTGTCAAATGTAGCTTAGTTTTTCTGTTTCCATATCTTTAGCTGGATCACAGTTTTTGCAGAAATCTACATTTGGCGATCACATGTTATTTAGTGCTAACATGTTAATAGGTTGATAATCTGTAAAGATTAAGAGGCAGGGGAAGGGATGCTGCTGTTAAACAGATGGCATGCTATATGAATTATGTCATTTCTATAGTTATAAAATAACTTGAGAAAATGTACTGTAACAGTATGCTAAGATTCATTACCCCCAAAATGCTTTCAGGAGGAAATGGGGATGGGAGCATAGACTCTTTCTCCACAAGCTTTACATCATAAAAAGGTTCAGCTTTCATGAAGAAAAGAAATCTAGCTTTGTCTGTTACTCCAGTGGTCACTCTCTCTTTGTATGCGCATTAAATAGCCGAATAGATTCATGCAAATAACTGTGGGGTGTTTAATTTGTTCTACTGAAGTAGAGACAACTACCAGCAAGAGCAATAAAAGTCGCATAATGAAATAAGAATACTACGAAATCCAAGGATTTTAGTGTGGCCTGTTATTCATTCAATTCCTGGCAGCCTTTATGATTACAAATCACTTGATTGACTAACTAGACATTCTCAGAGTGAATTATGAATCAGATTCATTTTTCCTGGTTGATAGTTGGTACATGTTGTAACTCTTCCTCTCTGTGATATATCAAGTTCTTGTAACAGTAATAAGAGATATAATCAACTCTTTATTTCAGGACAAATAAATTGCCTTTTCAAAAAATGAAATGTGGCTGCTAACATTTTAACAGGGCAGCAATGTAATTCCTGCCTGCTATTCCAAGGCGGAAGCTGATGTGATGAAATAGCTTTTAAGTATTTGACTTTGCTGAAATTATTTGAAGAGTAATATACCTTCTGTCCATACATGGAACTCCCATAGACTTCAGTGGAAATTATCAGCACTGATATGGGGAAATAGTGGCCCATTTCTTGTTTTGGAAACAAAAAAATCCTGAAACAATGGAATCAAAAAATAACCAGTGATTTTTGTAGGAATATGTGAAGAATATCCCTGAATGACAACGCTGACACTGGAAAAACCCACAAGATTTAAGAACAGACTACTAATTGGCCATTGTCAGTCTGTCTATTTATTGTACAGTTTCATCAGACTATTTAATATGAGCCATATGGTGAAAGAGAAAAAGCGTAAGAATGAATGCACAAGGCACATTTCAAATATGATTTTAAAATACTGCAAATCTGAATTACTGCTGTAATTTCACATAGTCTGAATCAGCCCAAATTGGGCCAACATGGGGTAGCTGATAGAAACCCTTCCTAAGGACACTTCATCACATGGTCAATAGGAAGTCACTTCAAGGAGGGAATGAATTTGGTAGATGTCTAGTAGTTTGAGGGAAATTTCTCTTGGATTTTCAATGTACCATGGGCACTCCTTATTTTCAGGTCAGTGTAAATTTCATGACAACCAGAAAATGTGATGGATATACACCATCTAGATGAGTCACAACACTATTCAGATAAGTGAGAGCAGAACATCAGGCAATATTGTTTTGGCTCTCCGGCTACCGAGATGGAGAGACGTGTGAGCAAGTGAGCCATTGCAGAGCAAAGAAGGAAAAGTGGCACAATGTTTAGAAACGAAACCTAACAAGAGGTGCTTTTTGCAATTAAGCACCCTTGGTGAATGATGCTATTGCAAAGTTTTTGTAACTCTGCCCTTGGAATGCTTAAACCATTGCAATCTTAACGGAGGGGCTGGATTTGGCTGGAGACAATCATTTTTATAGAAACTGAAAGTGACAAGCGCACCTGCAACAAAATGCTACAGTGTGTATTCCTACTAAGTACCAGCCAGCCAGATCTCCAGCCAGATCCTCTTTAAGGACACTCCATTCCATTCCTCTTCCCCTATCCTACTTCCTCTGCACCCCACAACACTTAGCTACTGAGCAAGTTCAGTCCTCTTTGGGTTGTTTTTAGACCCCCCCAAAAGTTGTTTTTTTTTGTTTGGACTTAAGCAAGACTTTGGGTTCCCTCAAGCCTGCTAACACCTCTCTCTTGTGTACAGATGGTGGTGCTGTTTTGGCTACAAAATAAGAACCAAGATCACCCAGTGAGCTGGGTGGAAATTTGAACCCAGATTTGCCTCCCATTTTTGTCAAACTTTCTAAGGACTACACCTTAACCCTAACCCACACACACTCTAATCACTAACCATTCCATTATGGTGACTGTGTGAGAAGACAGCATGGTGGCCTGCAATCACATTTTTGCTTTGCTTTATGAAATATGGAAGAGAACGATTGGGAATACTAACTGACTGAATCTGAACATGGCTGTAGAAGGGGCTGTCACAATGGGTATCAGTGATACAAGTGGATGGGTAACAGAATGGGACACACACACATGCCTGCACATTGTGGCAAAGCTTGCGCGCGCACACACACAGCAGTTCAGTTTGGTGAGACTTGTGTCCGCTTGGCTCTGTCCTTGCTCTATAATGACAGGTTAGACCAGGGGTCAGCAACCTTTTTCAGCCGTGGGCTGGTCTACCATCCCTCAGACCATGTAGGGGGCTGGACTATATATTTTTTTTTTGGGGGGGGGGAAATGAACAAATTCCTATGCCCCACAAATAAACCAGAGATACATTTTAAATAAAAGGACACATTCTACTCATGTAAAAACACGCTGATTCCCGGACCGTCCGAGGCCGGATTGAGAAGGCGATTGGGCTGCATCCGGCCCCTGGGCCTAAGGTTGCCTACCCCTGGGTTAGACTGACATGAGTCAGATGTTTGGATTTTGGATGAAGAGAACAAAGCAGAAAGGTCTTTGGTCAAGTCTTGGTAAGAATTTGGGGATCAGGCCACAGATAAAGGGATAAGGAGAAAGTGATACCCACCTAGCATCTATACGCATTTTAATATCAGGCATACTTTGAAAGGATAGCATTAAGCATAAGCCACCACAGCATATTATATTCCATGTCTTATCCTCTCTGCATCTCTTTAACTCTTATGAAAGGTTTTAATTTCTAAATTAAAACAGCCTATATAATCAGCCTCAGAAGCTCAGATTTGTAAGACATCCTGTTATAAAATAATGTGTGCCGTGATCCAGTCTTAAGACAGGTACTTTTAAAGTACCACTGATTCCAATAGGAGAGAGTTATGTCATGCTTTCCCACTGATAATCAAGAGGACTAAAATACTCTTACTTTTGCCTGGATCATGATCTGGATCCAATAATTATCTAACCTGCTCTCCACAGCCTCCAAAGACTCTCAAAATCTCCACACACTACAGAAGGGTACAATTCAATGTTACTGGGCTGAACTAAAGGTGTTATAAGTGATCTTATAAACCCCTGCACAGCACAGTATTTGTCAGTGTCCTCTCCCTTTGTCAGCTGATGAGGGTGTTGAGGTCACTGTATGTGAGTGTGAGTGTTTTCTCATTATTCCATTGCTGGCTGTTGCATGCTGGGTCATCTTTGCTATGGCACCTTGGCTATGGAATTGTCTCCTTCTGGAGGTTTGGAATGCCCCACCCTTGATGGTATTCTGCTGTCAGATTAAAATACATCTGTTCTTAGCAATTGGCAAATCAAATTAAGGCTATTCAAGGTTTTAAGATGTGTTGAACAGCTGCTATTATATGTGATTGTTCTACCACTGAGTGATAAGTTTAGTTGCTTTGTGAGTTTTCTTTTTGCATACTATGTTGTTTTATGGCATTTTGTAATGAAGAGTGGCCTAAAAGTTTAATAGATACATAAATAAATTGGAAGCATTAAATTTATGAATATGTTTCGTGCAAAATTGTTTAGATCCCATCCCACAAGTTTTAAGACCAGTTTTAGAAAGTATTGACAGGAATGCATGCATCATTAATATGAATGGAACAAAAACTTACGGATCAGATGGAATTCACACCAAGAATGTACAAAAGCAGATTCTTAATTCCATTATGCTTGCCCAGTCAGAGATTTTTAAGGCATAACACTGTTAAAGGAAAAATCCCACACTTCTAGGGCTGTCATTTATCAGACATGTGAACTTTGCCAAGTGCGGCAAATCTCAGAGACCAGAATACCTTTCAGAGATGTAAATCATAGTTTCTGATCTGTTTCTAAACAATTATACTCCTAGTAAGCAGCTCAGCCTTGAATAGAATCATAAACCAACCATTTGGTTAATATTCAGTAAAAATGTATGCACCTCCATGACAAGATTCCCCAATCTAATGGGATTTACTTACTTATTTCTCCAGATGGGGAAAAAAAGTATCAGAGTGGTGTGAAGGTATTATTTATGCTGATTTCCCCCCCATAGATCTAGGTGGTATTGCATTTGAAAATGTTCAGCAGCTTATCATGCCCAGTACTGAGCTGGTGTAGCATTATAGCTAACAGTACAATCCTATACATTTCTGTACAGGGACGCGGGTGGCGCTGTGGTCTAAATCACTGAGCCTCTTGGGCTTGCTTATCGGAAGGTCAGCAGTTTGAATCCTCCTGATGAGTCAGCTCCCGTTGCTCTGTCTCAGCTTCTGCCAACCTTGCAGTTCAAAATCACACCGGTGCAAGTAGATAAATAGGTACCACTGTGCAGGGAAGGGAAATGGTGCTTCCATGCACTCTGGTTTCCATCACGGTGTTCTGTTGCATCAGAAGCAATTTAGTCATGCTAGCCACATGACCTGAAAAGCTGTCTGTAGACAAATTCTTGCTCCCTTGGTCTGAAGTGAAATGAGTGCCGCACCCCATAGTTGCCTTTGACTGGACTGAACCGTCCAGGGGTCCTTTACCTTTACACATTTTTGTATACATACCTATAATCTGAGCTATGTATTATGAAGGGCAGTATAATTGCCCTAAATCAGGGCAGCAATCTGTAGCTCTAGGCTATGTGTAGCATCTGGATGGATGTCAAAGGACTTCTGCAAGCTGTCATTTCAGACCTTTAGTTTGCAGGGAGAAAGGAAGCCCCTCTCGTCTCTGCCATGTGGCTCCCAACAGATTATCTCTGAGCGAATTTGGCCCTCAACTGATAAAATCTTGTTCACTCTGTCCCAAATGAATAAGCCTAGAACTGGCTATCAAGTGAAGGTGCACAGCTTGTATGAATGAAGCAGGAATTCAATGCTCTGCGTTGTGGACCAGTGAAAGCGTAAATGTCGATTGGCGCTCAGGGTGAGAAACTTGAATCTCTCATGGTCTGAATCTCCCAAAAGAGGCAAGTCTAGTGCTTTGAGAACCTTTGTGTTCTATTATTCAATATATCTATATTAAAAAATAAATAAAGATGAGGGGTCGCTTAAGGAAGTTTGATCATTGTTTAACATACAAGATGATCTGTATTCATTTTCATCATTTCATGGCTCCCACTTGGCAGCTTCCTCATGACACTCGTCTTTTACTGATGCTTTGAAGTGTCTCTTGCTTTACTTTGAGTTCCTTGAACTCACCTGCAGTAGGCAGTTCATTTTCAAGTTAACTTTCCTATCCTCCTGATGTCAGGTTTTTCTTTCCTTTTTCAACATTACTTTTTTCCTGAATAAATCTCACAGAGTTCAGTATCCTATATATAGCGAGTCTCCTATTTTAAGGAAGGGAGGACTGATAAGTATTTCAAATTGACCAACTTCATTTCACAGGTAACGATTGATCTTGGAAAGCAGGCATTGTGTGAAGTCATTTGCATGTGCTTCCCCTGTAGAATTGCCTTTGTCATGTGGGATAGCGGGATGTATACATTCTGATGTGAATAATATCTCTCTGTCTTTTTGTAGCGTTTTCAGCGTACCTCGTATTGCTGGACATGATGTTTTAAGTTCAAGACTGTAGATCCACAGAGCAATGGGCAATGTTTGCTGCAATTGTGAAGAAGAGTCTTGCAGTACCTTAAAGATCAGCAGGTATTGACTCATACTTTTTTTTTACCACTTTGCTTTTAAACACTATGGTTCACAATTATTATTGTCATTCAGGCACATAAGGATTCAAGCCTATCTTAGAGGCAGTGATGGCCACAGACCTGGATGACTTTTAAAGACAAAGTCACGCAGGAGAAGGCAATAAGTGGCTATGGACCCTGATGGTTATGTTCTACCTCCACCATCAGAGGCAGAGAACACTTCTCAATGCTGGTTGATGGAAACCGAAGAAGAGGAGAGTGCTGTGGAGCTCCAGTTTTCCTTGAGATCAATTTGTGGCATAGGAGGTGGTTGTGGCTTAGGGGGCTATATGTATGGCGTTGATTGGGTAGTTTGAGGTGGGCCAACTGAATCCAGCTAACCACGTTCCATTCCTTTAAGCAGATAATAGGCATTGTCAAGGCTGACAGTGCTGACTAGCTGATAAGGCAGAGTCATGAATGCTGAAGGATGTAGGAGGAATCGGTTTTGCATACTTTTATTTATTTATTTGTTTAATTCATGAACTGCTTCTCTAGAAACATCCCCAAATAGTTAACAACAACAATGCACATAAGCACTGGAACAGTAAGCACCACTTAATTGCCACTTAAAAGGCTTGCTGGAAGAGAAAGGTGTGGAAAAGACAATAAAGATGGCATGTATCTGATATATAATGGGAGGAAGTTCCAAACAGCAGATGCCACCATGCTAACTTCAGGATGAGATGATATCTGCAGGAGGCCCTTTCCTGTAGAGCCCAGTGATATGCTGGGTATATAAAAAGTGAAGCGATCTTTCAGGTATCCTAGTTGCAAGCTTTGTACACAAGCACCTTAGAATTATATATGGAATCCAGTGGTTCTGACCCAGTTAGCTTTGTACTACTTCCTGTATTGAGTCCCCACTTATCTCTGAGCCACTTATGTATTATCAGGTTTTTTAAAAAATAAACCTAATTCCATGCAAATTTATATGCAAAAATTACATATATTATGCAGGCAGAGGGCCTTCTCGATAGTGGCACCCACCCTGTGGAATGCCCTCCCATCAGATGTCAAGGAAATAAACAACTATCTGACTTTTAGAAGGGAAGTTTTTTAAGTTTGATGTTTTATCGCTTTTTTTATTCTGTTGGGAGCTGCCCAGAGTGGCTGGGGAAACCCAGCCACATGGGCAGGGAATAAATAATAAATTATATTATTATTATTATTATTATTATTATTATTATTATTATTATTATATAAGAGCCAAGTCCTATGCAATATTATATTTATGTAGTATAATTGTAGAAGTATATGCATTTCTATACAGTTATATTTGTTGGTTACTTTGGAAACCTGGAGTGTATAGGTGTATAATAATGCATACAATAATGCATATAATATGCAAATATTGTTTGTATTACAAACAGAACTGGGGTAAGGGGGACAAACACTCTCTTTTCACTGAGATTACAGAGCAAGACAGGAATTAGAAAAAATCTATGTGAATAAGCTTGACATCAAGATCTTCAGAAAAACCCATCCCTATGCCTATGCACACTGTTCACTACTGTGTACACAACTTTGTATTGTGGACAGAGTGAGAAAATTGTGCCTGTGAAATAGCTATTAAACAGGCACAATCTGAAGGCGTGGAATTCTGCATTCAAGTTATTCATTGATTTTCACCTTATACAACCCTAGTGAAGTCAGAGATGTGTCAAGAATGTAGGTCAGTACTGGAAATAGCTCACTAGAATATATCAATGAATTTTAAAAGAGATTGTGGGAGTTCAGTGTTGACCTGAAACTGAACTGAGGGGTCCAATCTGATCAAACTACCAGCTGCATCAGCTTATTGTTCCCAATTGTGAATTTATTTCTATTTCCTGCCCCCAAACCACAACCTACATGACAGAAACATGATGAAATTTCCTCTTGGCAACCACACCTTTTGACTACCGAATAAAACGAAGTAAAACACAATACTCATTTCAATTACAGTAATTTGTTTTAGTCTTGAGAGCAGGATTAATAAGGCAAAGAATGCTTATAAAGGTGTGGGTAAAATCATTCACCACAGAAAAATAAGAAAGTGGAACTACTGCCATGTGTGAAACTGGGGTAAACAGAAACCCCTTTCTCTTTACAAGATGAGGCTGGATTCATGTCTCTTGACACTTGTGGTTTTCATGTAGGACGTCCAGGCTGCAGTCCTCTATCAACTAACCTAGAAGTAAGCCCACTGAATATAATGGAACTTACTTTTGCTGGAGTAAACATGCATGGGAATGTACTGTTAAAGCATTACCTCATGACTCTTGGGTAAAAGAATGGCTTCCTCAGGCCACAGTGGCCAACCAGATCCTGAAGTTGCATATAGTCATCATTATTAGTAGCCAGTGATGATTGAAGACACAGGCTGCACATAGAATGTAGAATGTAGAAATGTGGAGGACTAACCCTAAGACTGGAAATATCAAAAACGCTAGAGAAATTGAAATGAACATATTCCCCCCTCCCTAGCCACAACACACACACACAGCATGCACCACACAACATTCTCACATGTCTACATGCATGCACACCCCCATTAGGGCCACATTCTCCTCTAAGCTGATCTTCCAGGAGGTTGCAACTAGAGAGGGCTGGGCTAACTCTTCCCCTCCCTTTCCATTGCTCTCTCCAAGATGATTACCAAGCCCTCCACAGCAATTAAGTTTGAAAAAAGTCTTCCAATGGAACCAGGAGTTGGTGCCCCCCCCAAGCTTAAGTGTGGTATGTGTGGTGTTTTCGGTTTCAGGGCATGTCACAGTGTATGGGAAGGGGTTGGGCCACTGAAAGACATTTTGTTGTTTGAACTTCCGGCGGGAGACACGGCGAGCTGAGTCATCTTTTACTAATGGGCTCGCTAGTAGGATGATTAAAACAAGACATTTTGCTGTCCAAAGTGAAGCACAGGATGGACTCCTAGGGGCCAAGTCCTTCCGCCCCTCCGCAATAAAATATTTGAGGAATCTGACCCACCCCCCAAACTGATGGGCACTGCCATTCAAATGGTGTGTGTGCACAGCCTCTTGTGAGGCAGGGTTTACCTGCCCCCCCAATTTTATTCAAGTTGGCACCTTTGATGTCTGCCCTTTTTAGATACAGAAGCTGGTCTGGCAATTGAATCTTAGTTCAATGTCCTTTGCTGCCTTTGAGTATAGCAGGCTATGCTAGCTAAGGGGCACAGAATATGCTACATAGCAGTGTACACACAGCTCTGTCCCAGAGACCTGTCTATGGCTTTCTGCCCTCCTGCACTGGCTGCCTTTGTCAGCCACCTCACTCTGCCCTTCAGTGGGGCGCCAGCTCCATGCAGGGTATATCTTTGCCACCCAGCTACTAGTACAAGCAGTGACATGTGGCTCTTTGACTTAATTAGGGGACTGTTTTGTAGCTTGTGACCTAGATACGTCCTTCCAGGCTGTTTCTGAAGAAGGCAAAGGCTGTTTATAAACATGGCAGCCAAGTATTCCTTCAGAGGTTCACTAAGCATGAGGTAACAGGAGGATGAAGTGTCAGAAGTCAAAGGTGCGGAACCATCTTGGGCTTGCTCTTCTGAAGAGCCTGTAACTGCTGTTCAGGCTGAGGACTTGGAAACAGTCCACTGAGAGGTTTCCTGCCAGGGGATTTGTTAGCTGCAAGAGCTTGACTGAGACAGGATTGCATTACAAAAATGGTCTTTATTCCTCTGCTGCCTTGCAAACTCCTCTATATCAAATATATAACTTCTTGGCAAAACTTACAAATTGCTATTTCAAAGAAATAATGCATACATTATGTTTTGCCTCTTAGGGATGGAGGCTAAACGTGAGCATTTATTAATCCAATTATTTATTGCAGATGACACCAGCAAATAGCAAGCTAGATAAAATGATACTCAGATAACAGAAGGATTTTAGAAGACTGAAAACTACCTGGTAACAATTGCAAATACTTGAGCTAGATGCACATTATAAGAGCAAGGCCATTAACAAAATATATTACCTACTAAGCCGTTTGCTTTTGACCTATGGCCTGGTCGGTACACACAGCAGAATGGATTGTACCACTTTTGACTGCAGATGGAAGAATTGCATTTTAAAATATTTGTGGGAGGAAGAAAAGTCCCTGAAGTCTGACTGCAAAGAGCTTGTTATATGAGTAAACATGTCACCTGTAGTCTGAAGTGGTACAGTCCAGTGACACCTGCTGAAAATCCTTTTTCTATGCAATGAGAAAAGGCAGAAATGTTTGGTCCTCCTTTATATCTGGTTACTTACTGTTCTGGGAAGTAGGGTGCATGGGGAAAAGGGTATTTGATCTACAGATATGCTGGAGAAAGCTAGTAGATGGAAAGGGACATTACCCACCTCTTCTCCCCCTTCTCCTAAGGATTGGGGAAAACTTCTGAATGAGGGCGGCTGTAGCATGGGGGTGGGAGGGAAAGGAAGAAAGCCTGAAAATCATGCAGAAACATTTTCTGGGAATGGGAGCTCCATCTGGCTGCCTTTTGTTTTTAGGTCCTTGCAGATTTTATTCATGCTCTTGTACTCTGGAATCTGATGAAGGACAGCTAAGAAATATTTCAAACAAACAAAACACCCAAGTTTGACTCCTGCCAGTGGCTGTTTCTTTATATTTCTTTCTCTGGCAAGGGACACTGAACATAAAGGAAATGTAATCTTTGTGTGTGGTACAAAATTCATTCTTCCACTTAATTCATTTTTGTGTTCCCTCATGTGTTGGGGCCTGATGGTCGGAGCTCCACAGCTTTTTTGTGTTTGATCAAAGGAGAATGAAGTAGCACCACACTTGCCTCACACCACAGCAAGAAAAGAGGTTTATTCACCCACCTTCTGGCACTTAGCATCATTCCAGAGTTGGGTACAAAGCCCTAAGGCCTTAGTTTAGGGTTGTAAATTGTGGTGGCCTTTCAGTGTGCCCAGCTCAGTGTCAGAGCTCCTTGGCTTCCTTCTTCCTCTGGTGCCGCTGCATTCTTCTTTCTATGGGCACCTGGTTTATTTGGCCACCCCTGCATCCAGAAGGTTGCACCTCTTGGCAGACTGATGCCATGAGAACCAGTCTTTCCTTAGCCCTCTGCTGAATTTTGCTCGCTCTTCTTCTCAATTATCTGACATCATCCGTCTCTCCTCTTTCCTTCTTCCCTCCCCCTGTATTGAGCCTAACTCTTTTTCTTATTTCTCAGAGTCAAGGGCTCCACCCTTCTATCGGCCCCCTACCTCCTTTGACCTTTTGTACTCTCCATCTGTTTCCTGGGGCCATGCCAACCAGGCTCCTTCATCCCTTTCTCTTCTGGGGTAACTTCTCTTGGATTTCTGTGTGCCCTGTATTAAACAATCACATGAAAAGTATCTAAGTATGTTGTGAATGGAGAAGACAGTTGGAACATGGGAGACAGAGGTTGAGATTTTCCAGCACTTGTGAACCTTGACAGGTCCATCATACCTCTCAAAGTAGTTGTGAGGATAAATACATGAGGCTGAAATATTCTTGAGAAAAAGACATTCATAAAAATGTTACACTGTGATGTAGAGGCAGATCATTTGAAAGGTAAGAAGAAGCTTAGCTCGGCTATGTGCACTATCAATGCTGAAAGCCTTTTTCTGTTCTTTACTGATGGAGCCTCGTTTTTATTTTCAGACTGTGCTTTGCCAATTTCCTGCTCACACTGACTATCTGCAGGGAACCCAAGCAAATGGCTAGCAGGAAGGTCACTTGCATCCTTTTCTTTGTTTTCGTGGAACCATTGCCTAATGTAAATACAGGTAAAACTATGAATTTATTCTCTCACTGTGATTCATTGAACAATGGCAAGCTCTTCTGATGCTGTTGTGTAAGTCACACTTTTTACAACTTACTCAGGGGAAAAAATATTATTTGTATTATTCTTCCTCCCACCAACTACAACTGAATAAACAGAACTGTCCTTTTAAGTAATAGCTGTCTTCTATCAAGCAACCCCCAGTGTTTCTACATATGGTTCTGCTAAACTGGGTATACAAAAACCTGTTGCATGCATGGACATCCATTCATCTTATTTGTTTCCCCATGAGGCAAGCATGAGAGAATGTAGAAATAGGCATGGCTTTTCTTGTCATTGGTCTCTATTTTGCAAATGGTACTTTAAAAAAGAGCAATTACAAATACATGTTTATTTGGAAGTACCACTGAGGTCAATGGGGCTTTCTCCCAGGTAAGTGTGCATAGGTGTGTCTTTAACATAGTGGTACACCAAGTATTATTTTGCCAAATTGAATTTTGTTGAATAGTGTATTAATGTTATACTCATGTTAGTTTCCACTGCTTGCAGCCAGGAGAATGAAACTGATTGATAATGTTCAAATTTTCCTTAAAAAACCCCAATCAGTTTCTGTAAAGGCTGACCCAAGTGAAAATGTTGCAAGTAAAAGCTTAATGGGTATTAAATAAACCATTTAGCATTGTTAATAGGTGTAAACTAACACGACAATAATGGATTTGCTAATTTATAGTCATAATACCCAACAATGCTCAACTAGGCTCCTTTTGTCTATAACTGGAGTGGCAAAATTCCCTATTTGCTTTGAACAAGGTAATACCTAGAGTCTTATGATAATATTTTATTTTCCATATTTTCCCCAAGTTCAAGTTTGGAAAGATACACATTATTTCAGCCCCCACTATTTTATGTTAGTTTTATTTTAAAAGAAGTAAAATGGGAACAATTGGAGGCCCACCTACCAATTCACCATACGAAAAGTATGACCAAGGCTAGATTTGTTGTGATAAAATATGTCAGGTTACAAGTGAAAACTCTAGGTGAGCTATTTATTAGGACACAATAGCTTCTTAATCTGTAAAAAAAACACATATAACTAATAGACATCAAATCATTTCCTTGGATTTAGTACCTCCAAATCTGTAGAAACCTCTAAGGATATATCATAATAATGGGAGTCATATTTTTTGCTTTAATAACTAAAAAGTGTGCTTTGAAGTAATGTGGTCTCACTGTAATCTACCATCAAGCACCTAAACTAACAGAAAAGGTAGAACCATCACAATGGAGATTGTGGAGACGGAAGTGTGTAATCAGATAAATGAAAATAAAGTTTGGAAAAGGATTGCAGAGGAGTAACAAGAGATATTACTGGTGTGTTTCTTAGTTCATTGTTGTTTTTCTTTCAGTAAAAGTTCTATCAGCTGGGGAGACTTGTTCCCTTCTTTGAAGCTAGCTCTTGTTTCTCTGAAGTCAGATTCCTTATTCCCAGGGCTCCACTCTGCAATGCCAGCACAAACATACATCAGCAGCTGCACAGCACTTTCCAGAGTTAGCAAGAAGCTATCAAGCAATTACTTATTCCACTTTAGATCCATGACCGTGATTTTACACCACAGGTCTGAGAAAATCAAAGACAATGAGTAAAGTCAACAGTCGCAGAAAGCAAGGTCATGTGGACAAAGAAATGGACTACACCTGACTGTATTTAATTTGAACGATAATATTTGATAAGATGATAAGTGATAATGTTGAGTTGAATAGTTTGGGTAAGGCATTCTCTTAATTTTTCAACCTTGGCTACTATTGTGGTCTCGAGTTTAGGGGGGTGAGTATCTATAGTGGTGTGGCGGCCTTTGTATGTGCCTACCACATAGATGAGTGATGTAATATGAAAGTAACATGTGCTTACATTGGTATGTACATGCATGCACCCAAGTTTTGTAATCCGTCCATCTAAAAAGTGAATTGGTGGGCTTTGGAAAGGGGAAATGCATGCATAGGAATGTGCATACAGTACTGCAATAAATATGTTATATTGTGCATGTAGTGATGATGTCAAGCAAGTGCACAGATCTTAGCCACCTTCAAAGAGGAGCCAGAGAGGAGATATGATAGCCATCTTCAAATATCTAAAGGGCTGTCACATGGAGGATGGAACAAACTTGTTTCTACCTGTTCCAGAGGCTAGGACTCAAACCAATGACTTCTAGTTACAAGAAAGGAGATTCCGACTAAACCTCAGGAAGAACTTTCTAACAATAACAGTTGTTTGGCAGTGGAACAGACTCCCATGGGAGGTGGTGAACTCTCCTTCCTTGGAGGTTTTAAAGCAGAGGATGGATGGCCATCTGTCATGGATGCTTTAGCTGAGATTCCTGCATTGCAGGGGGTTGGACTAGATGGCCCTTGGGGTTACTTCAACTCTGCAAGTCTATGATTCTATGAACATTACAGTGGTATCACAGGTTGCATACGCTTCAGGTTACAGATTCCACTAACCCAGAAATAGTACCACGGGTTAAGAACTTTGCTTCAGGATGAGAACAAAAATTGTGCAGCGGTGGTGCAGCGGCGGCAGGAGGCCCCATTAGCTAAAATGGTGCTTCAGGTTAAGAACAGTTTCAGGTTAAGAACAAACCTCCGGAACGAATTAAGTACTTAACCCAAGGTACCACTGTATTATTACATCGGAAATTGTGTGAGCTACCCTTAGGTTTCGACGGCAGCACACTCCTCTTATATCAAATGCACATATTACGGATTTCTGCTCATGTTGGAAAAACATTGTAGAGTACTAGGGCATTTTCACACATGTCATAAAGAGCACTTCTGAGTCCCTTTCACGTTGCTTATTTGTACCATGTGTGAATGTTGTTAATGTGTGAAAGAAAGCAGAAAATAGCCATTTTAAAATCAAATGTACATTCTGGTCACTGTAAGCTTTACATTTGCATTACAGATCAATTGAAACAAAAATCAATTTAAGCCTCATGTGTGAAAACATCCTTAAATAGCAATATGGCATTGTAAATACAAGCGGAATATTCGACAGCGACACATGAACTCAAGAGAAGAGAAAAGGAGCTTTATTAGCTATTCAGTTCTTAATTGTATATGACCCTTGTGACATGGAGAAGTGTGTCAGCTGTCATTTTCTGGCTGTGCCACTATGTGGATTTTAGCAGGGAAATGTGACCCCAAGAGTGTCCATAACAGGTTTGAAAGATGTTAATGATGGTTACTGTATGTGGACCGTTAAGCTGGTAATGGTAATATACCAAAAATGGCACAAGGTGGTGTCCAGCATTCTCTGCTCACTAGCACAAAGGCTCATACAGTACTGGGTAGGTGAGTTTTAATGTTGCTGAACAGAGGACCAGGTAACAATTGTGCTAGCCGATTTTTGGGGGCAACAGATTGCCCAATTTTGTTTCACAATAAGGTGCAACCTTAAGTTCAGTTCATAAGAGATTTGGAACAAAACTTGGTCTGGTTCTTTGACATTCTGCTTCCAGCAACTAGTATCTTCCAGCTTCATTCCCCAGTCACTCTCTTAAGATGACACTTCTAGTTTTTTCAGTTTCTCAACATCTGGTGATTTTTAAAAATATATATAATAAAAAGTCTTGATGAAAACCCATCAGCATTTTGGTGCACATTTCTCCTAATTTACAGGTGGGACTTTCCCCCAATTTTGCCTAATAGACACATTTTTGCAAGCATTTTTTTAAACCAATATATTGAATTTTCGTCTGTTATTCTTACTAAACTATATATTTTTGTGTGTTTGCACATCTTCCCCTAATATTTGCATATTTTTTTTACACATCCTTTGGGTAGGAGAAATGAATTGCAAAATTTGAATTCAGTTCGTGTATGTGTGGAAGGCCAAATTAGGCAGGTTTGCCTTAAAATATGAATCGAACAAAATTTCTCTCCATCCCTAATATGAATGCAATACGGATTACTTCCCCGAGCTATTTTGATGGCTGAAATCAGACCCAAATTGTTCTCCCTCACTGTTGAGGACCACCACTTTTCAAAGGACTTGACCCATTCAGACACCATTCTCTGCTTTCCTCTATTCTTTCCTCAGCTCCACCCTGCCTGGGCAGGATCCCCTGAAGTGTATTGCCTCCTCTGCTTCACGGCAAAGCCAGCTCCGGCAAAAAATGAATCTTCAAAAGAGTAAGAACATCTTTTGCATAATGTACCCCTGTCCACTGGTCTATGAATTCGTTTTGGACAGAGATTTGATTGCCACCCCAAACAATGACATTTAGATGGCAACCTAAAAATGTTTTTATTTCTCTAGGCTTTTGGTGGTTTGCCACATCTTGCAAAAGAAATGGCCTACGGTCAACTGTATCGTTGTTGATTCATTGATGACTCCTAATTACTGTCTTAAATGCATTTCTTTCGTTTAAAACATTGTTCTTAGACTCCCTGAGCTCCAGTCGGAAGAGCAGGGTGATAAGTACAGTAAATAAATAAGTATATAATGAACAAACTTTAAAAATTCCACAGTAACTGGAGATCCTTGAAGAGCCTGAAGACACATGTGGCAAAGACCATGGAAAGAGCAAAGGTTTCCCCCCTTTGGAGGAACGTTTTATCCCCAACTTCCTTCCAAACCTGCACACTTGCTAAGTAAAAGGTTGTCAGCTAGCTGAAAATAAAGAACACCTTCCCCTTTAGTGTGGGCAGGCAATGTTTTAATTGCATTTGCATTGATGAAAGTGCTGAGAGGATTCCCTGTCACACACAAACTTAAAGAGAATGATGCTTCATTCCCAGCAATTTGTGGCTTCAGTGTTCCTGTTATCCTCATAGCACACTCTTGTGTACTAAAGCATAGCCGGTCTTGAAACATTTGTGTCATTTTACACCATTAAACCTTCAAAACACACTCATTCGGAGTTGCATAGCGACCCTCCTCATCAAAGAAAAGACTTTTTCAACCCAGTGAATTGTAACTATTCTACTGAATATATTTACGTGGAAAAAATAAAATAAAAGCCTATATGAATTTTTAAATGTCCACTTATTCAATTATTTCCATATATCAAGGGCAGGCTCCTACATTTCAGAAAGCACAATGTACAATGTATTTTTTCCCCCTCTTAGAGATTTATTCTCTTAAAATCAGCCTCATTTATTGCAAATTCTCTCACATGCCTGGCTGGAAAAGCATATCTGCAGTGTGATGCATCTATATGTCTTTCTATACAGTCATTAGGCTGAAAAACATTTTAGAAGGTATGTGAAAATCCTGCATAAATGGTATCTATTTTCTGCCTATCAGATGCTTCTCAGTAAAATTACACTGCAATTCAAAACTCAAATTTATATTAGACATCAAAACTCAACCTCTGAAGCCTTTGCTTCTACTTGTGAGCAATTACTTATACCATTATACCAGGTTTCCTCAACCTCGGTCCTCCAGATGCTTTGAGACTACAATTCCCATCATCCCTGACAACTGGTCCTGCTAGCTAGGGATCATGGGAGTTGTAGGCCAAAAACTTCTGGAGGGCCGAGGTTGAGGAAGCCTGCAATATACCAACTCCATCAAAGTGAGCTGATGCTTCACCATGTTTTTTGCCCTTTGCTAAGAGCTGCCCTGTATGACCAGTGAATGACCAAGTTGCATGATGATGTCACACTGAAGCTCTTTCTTTCATTGACAGCTAGAGCCTCCACATCACAAAAGGCCAAAAATGTAGAGCTGATATTCACACATCCTTGTGTGATGTCTCAGCTGATATCTCAGCCTACAGAAGCTTGTAGCTCCATTAAGTATTGTGTTTGAGGTTCCCTTTACCTTTGAGGTGATAAAGCCCTATCTGTGGTAATTGATCGGTGATGTATCCCGATTTGTATACACTAATTATGCGGGACATTATACAACATCACTTGTTTAGTGAGCTTTTCTTCTGATTTGTTTGCCAGGAGGTTATACAACTGCCTTAAGCAGTTGTTACTACCCCACACTTTCTGGTGCCTTTTGCCCATCACTTTCTTTACTGCAAAAAATCCATTGGTGAGCTGTGCAAGAGTTCCAAATCCATTTTCACTGTGCGCTTTCCATTTGTTGGTTTGCCGCTGAATCCCATCTGCAAAATAACAACAGTCTGGAAACAGCCTGGGTCTTATTTTTTACACATAGTTTGGAAAACTTCAGAAGGTTCTAGAAAATTAAGAAACAGGAGCTTGGAACATTAATAAAAAATAAAGCTGGTAAGAACACATGGTTAAAGCAGTCAGTCTGATACAGCCATTGATACTAAAAGGAGTTTTCCTTTCTTTTCCCAGGCAACGAGGAGAGCAACTTGAATGGCGTTTCATGTTCATCATAACAACCACAATAATTAAAAATTGATGCTGCAACACACACTGGAATGTGGAAAACAAACAGGGGCCAGAATCAGCTGACCTAAGGTATGAAATATTCAATTAAAAAACCAAACAAAGGGGGTGGGAAGGGGAAGGGGAAGCACAGTGCCCGGTGTGTAAAGAAAGGCTGCCGGAGGCCAAGATCTTGGGATAGCAAAGCCAATAAGATATTAAAACCACCCCATATTACTTTGTTTTCTATCTGCTGAACGAATAAATGTTGAAAATATGTTTATCTGTTCTGTTTTAGCAGTGAAAACAGTTTCCAGAATGTATATATTAAGAGAGGATGTATAGTTATTTCACAGAACTCAAGGGCAGGCAAATGTGACTGGTGTGGGGGGAGGGAGGAGAGATGGGGGACAGATACTTGAGCAGAAACAGGCTTTAGTAACAGGGGGTCTTGCCTGGGCCATGGCATACCATGTCCCACATGCTGATTACTTGAACAGACCCACTGCCAAGAAAAATTTTCCTTGGACTGGAGCGTTTTTTAGGATGTGCTTGCCTCGCCTTGCCAACACAGCAGTTTCTTCCTCACACAAACAATTCTGCTTTTGCTAGTTGGGATATAAACAGAAAGGATGCCGGGTTAATTATTTGTATAAAGGCAAAGATAGCTGGAATCTGGAAATTGTATAAGGACTGAGATGGCTCTTCTCTGGTGCATCTGTGCGAGCGATCATGGTTGCATCAGCGACGTCCAAAGCTTACAAGCCACAAAACATTCCCATCTGCCATCTGCCAACAATGAGATTAAAACCAGAACAAGCCAAGAACTGGAGAGCCAAGCCTTGCACACGTGTGTGCAAGCGGAAGAGGAAATCCCAACCTTTGCACCATTTAGAGATCACCAGAAAGTCAGAAAGCCTTTATTCCAAATAGCTTTAAAGCACCAGACCCTTCACGAATAGCCTTGCACCATCAATCTGTATATGGAATTTCAAGATGTTTAGCTGAAATGACTTTAATTTAAAGAAAGGTGTACTGCCTAAGGTGACCATGATCTCAACCTGCATGCCTGTTTTGTTTGCTTATTTATTTTATACACCACAAATCAAGAAAAACCAATCAGAGTGGTGTATGTAATAAAACCAGTGTGTCATCATGGAATTGGATTTTTATGTATTTATTTATTTCTGCTTCTTACCTCCCTGCACAACAGGGTCCTACTGTGGGTTGCAACGCTAACATATTACAATCTTAAAATAAAAAAAATAAAAAAGAGTTATAGCCATAAAAGAAGTCTAAAAACAATTAAAAACAATTCCATATATAAAATAATACAAACATTTAAAAACAATTTCACTTACAAAGGCAGTTAAAAATAGTTCCAGTTTAAAACTCTTTCTGATTTAAAGCCATGAAAATCAGAGAAACGTAAGAACTGGGTCATAATAATAAATCATCACACTTCCTCTGTTTATATAGCAGCAGTAATGTATTGTCTAGTCAGAAAGAGGAAAGTGGCATGCATGTACTTCCTAGTCTAAGGGTGTGCTGGTTCTCCAGGGACCTGTTCTCCAGAGCTTTGGCTGAGGGGTTTTGGGACTGGGAAGCAGCCTAAAAAACATGCCAATTGTACCTTTTTTAAAAAGTGCTTATTTGATTTGATTTTTACAGCTTTTAAAAAAATATTAATTTTCTGTAAGCCACCTTGAGCGTTACATAATGGAAAGGCAGGACAGAATGTCTGTATTCTTGTCTGCACTCTCCCACTTTAATCTTGTAGAAGGGTTGTGATAATCAGTAGCCATAGAAAGAGGAGCAAAATGGTGCAGATGAATTATTGCCAATGCGCAAATTGTTCCTTTAAGGCAGCCTTTCCCAAACCCTGGGACCCCAGGTAATGCTGGACTATGTCTCCCATCAGCCTCAGCCAGCGTGGGCCGATTTGTCAAGGATGGTGGGAATTGAAGTCTAATGAACTGGGAAATAAAAACAAACATAAGTCATTGCTAAACAAATCTGAGGGGGCAATCCTCCGGGTATAGGGCAGTATATAAATTCAATAAATAATAATAATTGTCCAATGAGTACTGGAAAAACTCAGTAGCTACACAATGTAGAGCAATGGTTGGAAGATGAAAAATGGAATTGTGAGGTGGTGGAGGGAAAACAAGTATTGCTTGGAGGTAGGATTCCCATATTCAAAAAGTGAAAATTCAGGCAAGTTGTTGAACTTTTTATTTTTTTTTTTGGGTGGTGGCGGGGGGCAGCTTTTTTTTTTTTTTTGCAAAGTCTCCAAAGAAAATGAAGTTTTAACCTATTTTTAAATGAAAATCGCCAAAAAACAACACTTCCAATATGGGCTGCCAAAGACCCCGGGTTTCCCCGGACATTTCAGATGCTTTTAGGAACAAGGATGCACTGCAATATTTTGTTGCAGTTCTCACTTGCCCTGTTCTTACTATAAAAACCCTGGTAATCTAGTGACTTAATAAAAACACATTTACTGTAGTACAGTTAGGAAAAAAATCCATGTCAAATGAAGGCAAAACAAATACCTGTAAATAAATCAGTTGGTAATGCTGATATTAACAATGCACATGTTATTGAACTTTAATCATCCTGGTTTGGATCCTATAGCTGCTTTTGGAATATATCTCATTTTAATAAGATGAAATATGTACAAATCCTTTGCCTGTGCAAAGGCCCCTCTTGCCTCTCCCCACAGTGTGAAACAATTAAACCGGAAGTCTTTAATTAACTACAATTTCCCATTTTATTTGAACCAAGGTTACCAGGTTCAAAGCAAGCCAGGCTTTTAAATCATGGTTTGAAGTAGATTTAAGATCTTGGTTTGTTAGGGTTGCCATATTTCAAAAAGTAAAAACCAGGACACCCCAAAATTGTTGAGCTTTTTAAAGGAAAAACCGAAACTTGTTGAGACAAAGCGTTACCTTTCAGAACTTTCCCCAGGACACAAATTCCGCCTTTGACATTCCAGTAATATGGCAGCCCTAGGTTTGTTCTTATTAAGACATGATTGTTTGAACCAGGCCTGTATATGACGCCTTTAGATTTATGCATTTACCTTCAGAAATGTGCTTGCTATAATCTTCAAGTTGTTTGTTTACATGGTCCTGAGGCTGTGATCCAGATTTGTTAGCTTGAATCAACAACTTCATTTGGAGGTGGCTTATATAAGCAGGGGATACACGAATGATTTCGCCCCTGTTCCTACTTGCTTCTGTTCTGGAGTTTGCTTCCTGCGAATTGTGAGTAAGAATGTAGTGCAGAAGTTATTCTTAGGGAAAACATTGGATCTGCTGGAAATAAAGAGGGGTTATCAGTAATAGCCTGGAAGCTCTCCCCTGTATACATCCAAAGGACTGAGCTATAAGCATAGCACACCATCTTGATGCATTGGTCCACTTCCGATGTAATGCTGAACCATGGCTTAGGGCTACATGAGCAAGCCTCAGCCATGTGCTTCCTCCCACTCTGCTCCAGGGCCAGTCCTGTCACAGGGCAAAATGAAAAAATGGTCTCAAGCAATGGGCAGACGTAGTAGTAAATTTGTGGTCTCTCTGCTGGACCACTCCTCAGGCTCCTGTTGCTGCCCATATGATGCTACTCCTGGGTTCTCCTCCTCCACCCTGCCTCATTCTTAGAGCGGGATGAGGGAGGGCCAAAAATTCTAGTCACTGTGGCAAAGTAGTGGTGGTACAGGCAGTCTCCTGGCCACCTTGCCCAGGAGGTCTCACTCTGATGGAGTGAGTATGGCCTTTTTTCAGGCTGTGTACACATTTCCTCTGGGTCCAGTGCACTCATACCACTGATGCCTGAAGCCATGTACACCTGATGTTAGAAGACCCCCCCTCCCAAAGTTACATTTTCCAGAACTGCTTACAAATTCGCAGGGAACTTTGGGAACTGTAAGGGGACCAGAGGTTTCCCAACAACTCTCAGAACCTTTAATAAACTACAGCTTCCTGAATACTTTGGGCAAAGCCTTGACTGTTTTAAGTGGTATCACAGTGCTTCAAATTTATGGTATGAATGTGGCCATGGATTCTCTTTATGCCTTTTAGGATGAGAAGTTATACCAAAGTTCTTATTTTTTTAAAAAAGGGAGAGAGTGGCAGAACATGTGTTTTCCATGCAGAAGGCCTCAAGTTCAATCCTTGGTATTGCCAGCTATGTTTGGGGCAGATGCGGGGGGCGGGGGAGGACATATTTTTCCCTTTCCTTCCCTTGGCCTGGCCCTCACATCCTCTCCAGCAGTGATGTGGGTCGGTGGAGGAGGAATTGGTTGGCACAATTCACCTCCCCCCCAAATGCCCCATCTAGAAATGTGGTTGCCCATCTCCACAAAGACAGCTGGCTACATGGCTGGTTAGGAAGATTCCCTTTCTGAAACCCCAGATAAATGCTGCCAGTCAGTGCAGATAATACAGTGGTACCTCGGGTTAAGTACTTAATTTGTTCCGGAGGTCCGTTCTTAACCTGAAACTGTTCTTAACCTGAAGCACCACTTTAGCTAATGGGGCCTCCTGCTGCTGCTGCGCCACCGGAGCACAATTTCTGTTCTCATCCTGAAGCAAAGTTCTTAACCTGAAACACTATTTCTGGGTTAGCGGAGTCTGTAACCTGAAGCATATGTAACCTGAGGTACCACTGTACTGAGCTAGATAGATTAGTAGTTTGACTCAATATAAGGCAGTTTTCCACGTTCAGTTAAACTGTATGCTGTTTACAAGGGAAGAGTGACTCCAAAATTAACATAATTAATTATGTTCATTGTAAACAATTGAAACAGACAGAAACCAAAGTTCGACCATATATTTTATGTAAGGAAATCATTTGAATTTTAATAGTCTACCATATATTGCAGCTGCTTAAATGTATCAATGCTGGTATTGAAGGAAGGGCAAAGGAATATTATCAATCAGCACAGCTGTTAGCATTAAAGTATTGATAATATATATTTGATTTAATATTGTGGTTGATAAACAGTACTTCCTTATCATCACATATAGT